AAAAAAAAAAGCCTTTTTTTCTCAAATGCTCTCTGTTGGGGGGTTTGGACTTTATTTTTCGATGTCCAATGAGGTGTCCTGCCCAGCTAGAAGGCAGACTAACCACTGTTTGCCTGCCAAGGCTCCGCCCTGCTGTTGTGTGATTCGCCCTGTTCCTGCAGGCTCTGCTGTGGTCTCCGCCACGCCCTGTTGTGGAGTCTTTTCATTGTAGCATGTTGCCTCGGCAACGGGAGGCTGCGTCAGCAGTGGGCGTGTATCTCAGTAGGGACAGGTTGCCTCGGCAATGGCTGGCTGCGTCAGCAGTGGGTGTGTATCTCAGTAGGGACGGGTTGCCTCGGTAGTGGTGGACGCCCCTCCCCCACAGAGCGTCTCCGACCATCTGCTCGGGATAGTTTGAAATCACGGTTTTGTTTGTCCCACTGGGTATCCCAAACGATCTGTCCCTGCAATCCCCTGGGCTGGCCTACTGTCCAAGTCTCATTCAGTCTCAAGTCCAGCCCTCTCAAGTCTCAGGTTGCCAGTTCAACAGGGCACCCGGAAAAGCGTGCCCTTTGGGGATTGCTGGGTAGGGCCGGCCGCCGCCGCCCCGGCTGCCGGCTTCACCAGGCCGACCTACTGTCTGGCGTCCCGTGTCTTTTTTATACTTGGGAGTTTCCCCGTTCTGTGGGCAACAAAGATCAGTCTGGAAATGCAGCTCCGACTCACCTGTTTGCGGATTCAACGAGAGCTCCAATCCTGGGTTGTTCTCACAGCGCCATCTTGAGTCCTCCCCCATCACAAAGACTCTTAATAAGGATATGGTAAGATTTTAATTTCAGAATTTTTAAATTGTAGTTTTTAAACATATTATTCAAAGATCTTTGATCACATTTGAAAATTTTAAATTTCAGAAGATTTTGTATTTAGTTGTTTAAATAATCATTTTGAAGCTCTTGCATCACTATGAGATACTAGAGGTTAGACTTGCTTGTGTGCATACTAGAGTACCCAGAATACAGTCTAAAAAGCATTTTAGAGGTTTTCAATGTGAATAAATATGTAGACAAATGAATTTTTGTATAATGTAATGTTACAAGTAAGATCATATGAATAATATAATAATTAAATTTATTGCATATTAAAATATGGCTTAAATTTATATTTTCTATTAATGGTTAGAATACAAAAGTTCAGGGGAGATAAATTGAAAAAATATCTCTTGAGTAAGAAGTCAGTTAATTAGAGATATGTAGTAAATATGAAAGCAGGTTACCCTGTATTTTCTAGTATCCTCCAAGTGGAGTTTAGATTTTAAAAATTTAATATATTTTAGTTGCACCTCATGTTCTATAAACATTTCTTTTCAAGCAATACATTACCCTTTAGGATTCTGATTACCAATAGTTTCTTCAGGTGAAAAGATTATGAATTATCCTTTTTAAAAAATTTTTTTTCTCTGTAGTAAGAATGTTCTAGCTTATAGGTAGTGGCTGAAGACTATGTTTATCCAATTGAATGTCTTATTATATAATAAGAAAATTAAAATCATTATTACGCAGGTATTATCCAAATAGCTAATTGTAGTATAAATACTGATCAGCATTATAGGAATATATTATAAGCAAAAGTCTCTATTGTATGTATTTCATCACATATCGTACAGTAGTTTTTTTTCTTGTTTCACAACTGGAGCTCATGTTTCAGTACTTGATTGACTGGTCATGTCTGCTGTTTGTTTCTCCCTCCTCCTCCACCTTTTTAAAAATGATTTACCTGAGACTTTTTTTTTACAGAATACATTTCTTCAGTGTCTGGTTTTTAGGGCATCTCTGTCTCAATTCTCAACCTATTTAGTTACAGGTTTCTACTTAGTTGCTATATATGGTTTTCAATTATCAATCATTGCCCTTCCCGACCCATGACCTTTTCCCTTTTTTCTGTTTCATGGAAGAAGCCAAATTTATACAATTAATTTATATTTAGGTTTTGACATACAGAATAGAAACAACCTATACTATTTCAATGTAAACCCATTTAATTAAGGTACTATAAATACTAAACTCTCACATTTTTCCACAGAAGAGGTAATTAATACAACTGTAAATCATGAAGAGATATTACAAAATATGATATGAAATTTAAATTTTTTGATGTTAATTATGTCCACAATATTATAAACAATGTAAGGGTAAATTTTTGTCCCAGGTTATTTTGCTTAAAACATAATCTAATGGATATGACTAGTTTTTCATAATAATCAATTAGATGAAGAGGATGAAAGGAAATAATTCATTGAAGAAGGGTAAGATAAACATAGAGACTGCATGAGAGAGTCAAGGTGAGACAGATTATTATAAAAACACAGCAAAAGGGTGGATTAAATGAGTGCCTGAACTCTCTAGAATGAAAGATATGATATAAATTATTTAAAATAAAAATTAAGAAATGATAGCCAGGTAATAAAATACTGCTCAGTTTTTTTGAGTGACTTATAACTGATTTTGATAAAAAGCTGAAAGAAAATATAAAGACAACTACAGGTAAGAGCAATTTGTTGTACTATTTAAAATAGCTAGAAGAGAATAATCTGAGTATTTGTAGCATAAAGGAGAGGTTAATAATAAAGGTGATTAATATCTCAATTATTCTGATTTGATATGTAAATGTATTGAGTTATAATGTGTAACCCCAAAACATGTATGTTTACATTGTATCAACTAAAAAAATTATAAAAAATAAAAGAAAATTTAATTCTCACTTTTTTAGTAAATTTATGTTTATTTAATCTATTTTTACTTATATTAATGGAGAATGCAAAGTGAGATCTGTTTTAAGACTTGTCAGCTTAATTGTTATTAATTTTTGACTCCTTGCTTTCTTGTTTAAGATTTCTAATTTAATGTTTGATATATCCTTAGGTTGTTTACCTGATTTTTCTTACTCTTTGAAATAACCTGGGTAGCAGTTTTGAATATTTTTGTTAATAGAGAGAGATTAAAATAATAAGCAAGCATTTTATCTAATCTTGTTACTAAAATTAAATATTCTGGTCATATGAACAAGGTTTTTATCTGGATCTCTTAAAAAACAAAAATCATTTTTAAGCTAAAACACTGTCAAAGAATTAAATAAAGAAATTATTCATCTCTAGGTATATTCTGACATCTTTTGCTCTTAATATCTATATGTAATGGTATATGCACACATCAAATGAATAGATCAATATTTGTGAATTTTTAAAAGTAGAGTACCTATTATCGTAGAATTATATGTATGGAAAGATTGTTACCAGAATACACAAAATTATCACTAGAAGACTTTTTTCACTCTTAAAAATATGTCCTGCAGTGGGCACATTGTGACTTGAATACTCTTCATTTCTCCTGTGAATACGGGAGAATGCTTGACAATCATAAATATAGGTAAAAACTGTTAAATCTTCAACTTGAATAATTATAGCTTTATTTGATTTATATGAAATCTTTTTTTCCAATTTTAAACTACCATTCTATATGGTGTAAGTAGGCAATTTGAGCTAGCATTGTACTGTTTACAGGAAGATAAGGAAAGTATGTGAATTTTAAAACAGGTTTCACATTTCCATCTCACCTTATAGTAGTACTTAAAAATGCCTCATAATTCTATTATTAGTTAAGCATTTCTCTTGTACAATTAAAACTTTCAAGACTAAATTTTATAAAGGTCCTTTTGCAGAATCTTCAATTGGCATCTTAGAATTAAATGTTTGCATTCAATTCAACTATGCATATTGCAAAAATATTTCAGAAATAAATATTTACCAATATAAATACAATTATGTTCTCAAAACAAACTTGGACATATACAATGGAGAAATTTAATCCCATGTTTTCCTCTCTCCGTTGATTTATTTTAAAAATTTCAGCATTCTGTCTAGGTTTGTGTTATTTAATTCTTCCCATTTAGTCTATCTTATAAATGTTTATCTTCTTAACGCTATGCAATTTTCCTGATGTAGGTCATCTACTCATACTCCAAATGTATTTATCCAGATATTTCTTCCAAGCCCCTTGGATGCCTCAAATGTTATGGGTCTCAAACAGAAAATGTCATTTTTATTATTTTCCTGACTCTTTTCTAACTCTTTGTAATCTACCCTGTCATCTGGTTTCCCCATCCTAGTAAATAACACCTGGGAAGTAGCAGTGAAACACTCAAGCACTGCAACCTGTACTTCAACCCTCCCCCACAACCTACACTTTAATCCTCCTTCACATCATCAGTCCAGTCACACACCAAATTTTGTAGTTTCTACCTTCTTATATTTTTCCATCTCTTATTACTGTAATTAACTCTCTACCTATAATTTTCAAGTACTCCTTTCTAGTTTTGCCCCATCTCCCCATGTTCATCTATCTTTACATCACTGAAAGGGTCACCTTTCTAAAGTATGTAGTAATGTAACTCATATGCATATTGAGTGGATATCCACTACACAAAGGGATAAACTCACATTCTAGAATGACACATATGTTATATGGTCCGGACCCGTTTCAGCTCTTCATCTCATTTCCTCTGACTGTGTTCCAGTTTTATCACATCACTTTGGCACCCCTGATTTGCCATGTTGTTTCATGCCTTATTTTTTTGCACATGCTATTGCACCGAGAGTCCTAGATTCTTTGTATCCTGACTCTGCACTTTGTCCTTCCAAATATGGCCCAATTATGGCAGCATCTTCTAGGCTTTTCAGGTAAAACTTATTGTTTTCTCCTTTGTGCCCTTATGTGTTTTCTTGACTTAAATTGTAGAACTGGTGAATTTTACTTTTCTGTTCTTGTTTTCATAAGTCTCTACCATTTCTTAAATATAGGTCAGAATCTACCTTCTGTTTATATTTTCTGCTTCTCCCAGGATAGTGCCTCTGATTTGATAGTTACAATACATTTTTTTAATTTTACTGACCAATTGAATGAGTGAATAAATGCAATTTTTTTCTGAAGTTGTTTATAATTTTGATTGCTTTTTGTTGTTTGTAATAGGAGGGAGCATTGAAGACAGTAACTGGACAACAAGAAGATGATATTTGCATTATTGAACAAGCTCCTCAAGATCAAACAAGTAATAACAATTTGTTTTTATAGTAAAATAATAGAAGTGTTGTTAGTGAATATCTCTAAAACTTTTTCTATGCTTAAATGCTATTATTTAGGAAACAATTTTATTGACCCAACTATAACATCTACTTAAAAAACACTTTTGCTATCTTTCTTTATACTATTATTTCTTTTTTCTGAATCTGCTTCAATCCTGAAATACTATTCCTGCTATTACGTTTATTTTATTGAAATTTTTGTAAATTGAAATAGGTTTGTACATGTTTTTACCACTTACAGTAATAAATGTTCTCATATATGAATCTGTGAATAACATTTTGTAGATAAGATGCCCACATCAGAATCAGGACCAAAAGAATATGGGAAGTCATCTTCAGATTCTGAGGTACTGTGTGTTGTTGTTGTTGGAGTTGTTATTGTTTTTGCTATTTACAATGTAAGTAATGAGTAATATTAAGATTTAAAAAGGTGATTTGACTTTATTCTCTCATCTCTGTATGTGTCCATAAGAAATAATTTTCTGACGTTTATCAGTACATACTTTACAATCATGTGTGAAGTAGATAACTACTGCATAGTGCAATTCTGCTACTTTTCAGGATTAATACAAGAAGCAGTGTAGAATAGTGTGAAAGAATATATGGCTTAGAAGTCACTAGGAATCTATTTGAGTTCTGAAGTTAAGGTTGTCTGAAAACTAAATCATTTCTCTGCATTCTCCTATGGGCAAATATATGATTCTGTGTATATCTAGATGTATGAAAGCTTTAATTGGATTCAGAGAAATAGTTTAAACTGTAGTCTTAGACTTGTACAACTTGCAACTTGAAAAGATCATGCCTGGGACTTGAATGTATTGGTATATTTTCATTTTCCAGTATAGATCTGAAGGAAGATTTCAAGAGTTGGATAAACATGAGAAATAGGACACCTGTAAAACTATATATAACACCAATTTGGTTGAGTAGCATTTTAATAACTAGACATTCTTTTCACAAATATAACACTTTGAGTCCCTCTGTGGCAGCCATGTTTGCAGCCACATACATGTCAAATAATTATTATGTATTCCAAGGTCACAACTGTGAAGGTGGAAGAGATAGGAAAGACCTCACCACTTAGATATAAGCATTAGCAACATAGTGGTAACAGCAATGAGTGGATGTCAAAGGTAAGTCTGTATTTTGGTTCTGTCACTTACTAGCTGTGGGAACTGAGAAAAAAATTATTTAACCTGATCAAATGCCAGTAACCTTGTTTATAAAAATAGTGCTTATATCTACCCTTAGGTACGTGTGATGAAATAACGTTGTAACAAATGTGAAAACATTTTGTAAACAGGAAAATCTGTTTACGAATACAAGACAAAATGATCAAAGTGGCATTTAAATGAAAGCAGTATTGTTAGGACAAGAATGTGGAGTAAGAACAGGCATGTGGATTTCCAATTTGTGGTCAGGGGATGGTAACTTGCAGCAGGCTACTACTGCAGATTTTCAATAGCAATATAGCAGTTTGGAAAGTTAGACTTTTCTGTGGAAATTTTAAACATTTTGACCTGGAGCAGTTTCTTTTTGAGTACCAACTGTGTGCTAGGCAGTGAGTCTCTGAATATCCAAGATGAGGGATTATGCTATGGTAGTAGGAAGAGAATAACAAAAAACACTTATAAATCACTATAACTTTTTCTTAAAACCAAAGCAGAGAATGTTAAGATAGAGAACTGAAGAACTTTCTATTTAGCATGGGTATGGGAGTGGCAGGGGAATTCTATGGTCAGAGCAGAACTTTCTGAGACTGCCATTTAATCTCCCATCTAAAAGATGAGGAGTCTGCCATGTGAAAGTCTAGGATGAAGACATTCTGAGCAGATTGTATCTGTTCATTTTGTTCTTAACAACCTAGAATGACTACGAAGCAGAAAGTCAGGTAGCCACCAATGTCTTCATCACCCTCATTATTCTAAGGTGAGGAAAATCCGCAAATATGTGTCGGGCACATGTTAGATGTTTCATGGATACCTGTTTGTTTGTTTGTTTGTTTTTCTTTTATTTTGTTTTTTGAGGTGGATTCTCACTCTGTCACCAGGCTGGAGTGCAGTGGAGTGATTTCAGCTCACTGCAACCTCTGCCTCCGGGTTCAAGCCATTCTCCTGCCTCACCCTCCTGAGTATCTGGGACTATAGGCATGTGCCACCATGCCCAGCTAACCTTTTTTTTTAAAGTAGAGACAGGGTTTGACCATGTTGGCCAGGATGCTGTCGATCTCTTGACCCCATGATCTGCCCACCTCAGTCTCCCAATATCCTAGGATTACAAGCTAGAGCCACTGTGCCCAACCAAATACGGGTTTTTATTCTTCGATTTTTATGAAGGTTTGCTCTATTTTTCTGAAGTTATGTCTTAAGAATTAATTGCATATTTTATCTAATAATTGTTTTCTTTCATTTAAATATAGCATAAATATTTGTTTTCCTTATGAATCTTTCATTTTATTCAAGCATTTCTTTATCAGCAAAAAGCTTATCAAAATCATTTTTATTATTTTAAGCCCTTGTTTTCCTAAATGAAACAGCTTCTACAGAGATGTATTTCTACTCTTCATGACGTACTCTGAGAATTCTCTTCATGCCATGCATAGTTTTTACAACAAAAATTCTGTAATTATCGATATATCAAAGGTTTAATAATATTGTATACTGTGTGAAATGCCCTATTATATTTGGTGATGGCAACAGAGGAAGGCTGATGCTTTAAAGTTAATTACTTTTTGAAATACAGTCATGAGTGAATTTTTTGTGACTATGATTTTTTTCATGCTCAGTAACCTAGTCAATAGCCACATGAAGATAAAAGATAAGCATGATCCACAGAACATATGTGAGGTTTTTCTCTTGAAATGTTTTGGTTTTCTACATGTGAACAGCCTTAAATCTAATTGCCTTTAAAGTAAAAAATAAAAATTCTGTTTCAAAAAATATTTTAAATAAAAATGTTGATGGTTGTCTTTATTTTTAAATTAAAATCATTTTTTGAGGCAGACTGTGGTGGCCCATGGCTGTAATCCTCATGCTTTGGGAGGCTGAGGCAGCCAGATCACTTGAGGTCAGGAGTTTGAGACCAGTCTGCCCAACATGGTGAAACCCTGTCTCTACTAAAAATACAAAAAATTAGTCTGGCATGGTGACTCATTACTATAGTCCCAGCTACTCAGGAGGCTGAGACAGGAGAATCACTGGAACCTGGGAGACACACATAGTAGGCTGAGATCATGCCAGTGGGCCACCCAGTGAGAGTTCATAATAGAAAAAAAAAAAAGGAAAAAAAGATTACTTATTGATATTACCTTTAACAGGTTAACTCTGAGACTGCTGCAAAGAATTCAATGTGTTTACCTGAGGCTACATATCAAAAAGAAATCAAGACAATAAATGGAAAAAGAGAAGGTAAGAACCATTTTTTATTTAAAACATAATTTGACCAAATGTTTGTCTAAACTCATGAGGACTCATAAACCCTTAGAGCCAAAGAAAATCAATTTCTAAATATGTAGCATGGAAGAACAGAAGGAGCGAAAGTTATGTCTTCTCAGGTGTTGGCTACAGATAATACTCAAGGTACCCAAAAAAGAGCTGAATTATTAGTTTAAATTTAAGATACTCAAAGACTTGAGGAAAGAAGTAAGTGAGGATATGAAGACTAAAAAAGACAGAGAGAAGGGAGTACAAGAAGCAGATTTATGTAATGGAGGGTGGAAAAATAAAATAATTCTTTTTTTTTCATTTCCCTGCATTTATTTATTTATTTATATTGTACTTTAAGTTCTGGGGTACACGTGCAGATCTTGCAGGACTGTTGCATAGGTACACAAATGCCATGGTGGTTTGCTGTCTCCATTCCCTATCACCTACATCAGGCATATCTCCCAATGTTATCCCTCCCCAACCTCCCCACACCCCACTATCTCTCTGCTAGCCCCCCAACCCCAACAGACGCCAGTGTGTGACATTAACCTTCCTGTGCTCATATATGCTCATGATTCCACATTCGCCTATGAGTAAGAACATGTGGTGCTTGGTTTTCTGTTCTTGTATCACTTTATGAGAATTATGGTTGCCAGATTCATCCATGTCCCTACAAAGGACATGAATGCATCCTTTATATGGCTGCATACAATTCTATGGTGTATATGTGACACATTTTCTTGGTCCAGTGTGTTGGTGATGGGCATTTGGGTTGGTTCCAGGTCTTTGTTATCATAAACAGTGCTGCAATGAACATAGAAGTCCCTGTGTCATTATAATAGAATGATTTATGATTTTTTGGGTATATACCCAGTAATGGGATTGCTGGGTCAAATGGAATTTCTATTTCCACATCCTTGAGAAATCACCACACTCTCTTCCATAATGGTTGAACTAATCCACACTCCCACCAACAGTGTAAAAGTGTTCCTTTTTCTTCATATCGCTTCCAGAATCTGTTGTCTCGAGATTTTTCAATGATCGCCATTCTAAGTGGCATGAGATGGTATTTCCATGTGGCTTTGATTTGCATTTCCCGTATAACCAGTGATGATAAGCATGTTTAAATATGTTTGTTGGCCTCATAAATGTCTTCTTCTGAAAGCTCTCTCTTCATATCTTTCACCCACATTTGAATGGGTTATTATTTTTTTTTGTACATCTGGTTTAGTTCTTTTTAGATTCTGGATATTAGCCCTTTGTCAGATAGGTATATGGAAAAGTATTTTTCCCATGCTGTTGGTTGCTGTTTCACTCCGATGACTGATTCTTTTTCTGTGCAGAAACTCTTAAGTTTTTTTAGATCCAATTTGTGTATTTTGGCTTTTATTGCCATTGCTTTTGGTGTTTCAGTCATGAAGTTCTTGCCTATGCCTATGACCTGAATAATTTTGTCTAGGTATTCTTCTAGGGTTTTTATGGATTTAGGTCTTATTTATAAATCTTTAATGCATCTAGAGTTAATTTTAGTGTAAGGTGTGAGGAAGTGGACCACTTTCAGCTTTTTGCACATAACTAGCCAGTTTTCCCAACAACATTTATTAAATTGGGAATCATTTCCCCTTTGCTTGTTTTTGTCAGGTTTGTCAAAGATCGGATGGTTGTAGGTAAGTTGTGTTGCCTCCGAGGTCTCTGTCCTGTTCCGTTGGTCTGTATCTCTGTTTTGGTACCAGTCCCATGCTGTTGTGATTACTGTAGCCTCATAGTATAATTTGAAGTCCGGTAGTGTGATGTCTCCCGCTTTGTTCTATTTGCTTAGAATTGACTTGGCTATGCGGGCTCTTTTTTGGTTCCATATGAAGTATAAAAAAGAAAACTTCAGGCCAATATTCATGATGAACGTCGATGCAAGAATCTTCAGTAAAATACTGGTAAATCGAATGCAACAGCATATCAAAGAGCTTATTCATCACAATCAAGTAGACTTCATCCCTGAGATGCAAGGCTGGTTCAACAGATGTAAATCTCCAAATGTTATGTATCACATAAACACAACCTAAGATAAAGACCACATGATCATCTCAATAGATGCAAAGAAGGCCTTCAACAAAATTCAGCAACCTTTTCTGCTAAAACCTCTCAATAAACGAGGTATTGATAGAACATATCTCGAAATAGTAAAGGTATTTCCGACAAATCCACAGCCAATATCATACTGAATGGGCAAAAACTGGAAGCTTTCTGAATGAAAACTGGCATTAGGCAAGGATGCCCTCTCTCACCATTCCTATTCAGTATAGTATTGGAAGTTGTAGCCAGAGCAATCAGGCAAGAAAAAGAAATAAAGGGTATTCAATTAGGAAGAGGAAATCAGATTGTCTGTATTTGCAGACAACATGATTGTATATTTAGAAAACACCATCGTCTCAGCCCAATAATCTCCTTAAGCTGAAAAGCAACTCAGTAAAGTCTCAGGATACAACATCATTGTGCAGAATTCACAAGCATTTCTATACACCAATAACAGACAAACAGAGAGCCAAATCATGAGCAAACTCCCATTCACAACTGCTACAAAGAGAATTAAATAGCTAGGAATACAACTAACAAAGGATATGGAGAACCTCCTCAAGGAGAACTACAAACCGCTGCTCAAGGCAATAAGAGAGGACACAAACAGATAGGAAAACTTTCCATACTCATGATTATGAAAAATTAATGATGTGAAAATGGCCATACTGCCCAAAGTAATCTATAGATAGAATCAAAGCTATCCCCATCAAGCTGCTAATGACTTTCTTCACAGAACTGGGAAAAAACCACTTTAAACTTCAAATGGAATCACAAAAGACCCCACATAGCCAAGACAGTCCTAAGCAAAAAGAACAAAGCTGGAGGCGTCACACTGCCAGAATTCAATCTATACTACAAGGCTGCAATAATCAAAACAGCATGGGACTGATACCAAAACAGAACATAGACCAATGGAGCAGAACAGAGACCCAAGAAGAAACACCACACATCTACAACCATGTGATCTTTGACAAACCCAACAAAAACAAGCAATGGGGAAAGGACTCCATGTTTAATAAACGGTGTTGGGAAAAGTGGCTAGCAATGTGCACAAAGCAGAAACTGGACCCCTACCTGTCACCTTACACTAAAATTAACTCCAGATGGATCATAGATTTAAACATAAAACCTAACACCATGAAAACACTAGAAGAAAACGTAGGCACAACCATCCAGGACATAGGCATAGGCAAGGACTTCATGACTAAAACACCAAAAGCAATGGCAATAAAAGCCAGGATAAGCAAATGGGATCTAATGAAACTTCAGAGCTTCTTTACAGCAAAAGAAACCATCATTAGAGAGACTCAGCAACCAACAGAATGGGAAAATAATTTTGCAATCTACCCATCTGACAAATGGCTAATATCCAGAAACTACAAAGAATTAAACAAATGCATAAGATAAAAAAAAAACAACCCCATTTAAAACTGGGGAAAGGATATGAACACTTTTCAAAAGAGGACATATATGAGGACAACAAATATATGAACAAATGTTCATCATCACGGGTCATTAGAGAAATGCAAATCAAAACCACACTGAGATATCATCTCATGCCAGTTAGAATGCTAATCATTAGAAAATCTGGAGACAGCAACAGATCCTGGAGAGGATGTGGAGAAATAGGAACACTCTTTTTTTTTTTTTAATTTTTCATTGCATTTTAGGTTTGGGGGTACATGTGCAGAACATGCAAGACAGTTGCATAGGTACACACATGGCAGTGTGTTTTGCTTTCTTTCTCCCCTTCACCCACATTTGGCATTTCTCCCCAGGCTATCCCTCCCCACCTCCCCCTCCCACTGGCCCTCCCCATTTCCCCCCAATAGACCCCAGTGTTTAGTACTCTTCTCTCTGTGTCCATGCATTCTCATTTTTCATCACCCACCTATGAGTGAGAATATGCGGTGTTTAGTTTTCTGTTCTTGTGTCAGTTTGCTGAGGATGATGTTCTCCAGATTCATCCATGTCCCTACAAATGACACAAACTCATCATTTCTAATTGCTGCATAATATTCCATGGTGTATATGTGCCACATTTTTCCAATCCAGTCTATCATCAATGGGCATTTGGGTTGATTCCAAGTCTTTGCTATTGTAAACAGTGCTGCAATGAACATTCGTGTACATGTGACCTTATAGTAGAACGACTTACAGCCTTTTGGATATATACCCAGTAATGGGATTGCTGGGTCAAATGGAATTTCTATATCTAAGGCCTTGAGGAATCGCCACACTGACTTCCACAGTGGTTGAACTAATTTACACTCCCACCAACAGTGTAAAAGTGTTCCTTTTTCTCCACATCCTCTCCAGCATCTGTTGTCTCCAGATTTTTTAATGATCGCCATTCTAACTAGCGTGAGATGGTATCTCAATGTGGTTTTGATTTGCATCTCTCTGATGACCAGTGACGATGAGCATTTTTTCATATGACTGTTGGCCTCATATATGTCTTCTTTCGTAAAGTGTCTGTTCATATCCTTTGCCCACTTTTGAATGGGCTTGTTTGTTTTTTTCCTGTAAATCTGTTTGAGTTCTTTGTAAATTCTAGATATCAGCCCTTTGTCAGATGGGTAAACTGCAAACATTTTTTCCCATTCTGTTGGTTGCCGATTCACTCTATTGACTGTTTCTTTTGCCGTGCAGAAACTGTGGAGTTTCATTAGGTCCCATTTGTCTATTTTGGCTTTTGTTGCCAGTGCTTTTAGTGTTTTGTTCATGAAGTCCTTGCCTACTCCTATGTCCTGGATAGTTTTGCCTAGATTTCCTTCTAGGGTTTTTATGGTGCCAGGTCTTATGTTTAAGTCTTTAATCCATCTGGAGTTAATTTTAGTGTAAGGTGTCAGGAAGGGGTCCAGTTTCTGCTTTCTGCACATGGCTAGCCAGTTTTCCCAACACCAATTGTTGAACAGGGAATCCTTTCCCCATTGCTTGTTTTTGACAGGTTTATCAAAGATTGTGTGGTTGTAGATATGTTGTGTTGCCTCTGTTGCCTCTGTTCTGTTCCATTGGTCTATATCTCTGTTTTGGTACCAGTACCATGCTGTTTTGATTACTGTAGCCTTGTAGTATAGTTTGAAATTCGTAGTGTGATGCCCCCCACTGTGTTCTTTTTGCTTAGAATTGACTTGGCTATGCGGGCTCTCTTTTGGTTCCATATGAAGTTTGTGGTGGTTTTCTCCAGTTCTGTGAAGAAAGTCGATGGTAGCTTGATGGGTATAGCATTGATTCTGTAAATTACTTTGGGCAGTATAGCCATTTTCATGATATTAAATCTTCCTAACCATGAACATGGAATGTTTCTCCATCTGTTTGTGTCCTCTCTGACTTCGTTGAGCAGTGGTTTGTAGTTTTTTTTGAAGAGGTCCCTTACGTAATAGGAACACTCTTACATAGTTGGTGGGAGTGTTAATTAGTTCAATCATTGTGGAAGACAGTGTGGCGATTTCTAAGGAATCTAGAAATAGAAATTCCATTAGACCCAGCAATCCCACTACTGGGTATATAACCAAAGAAATGTAAATTGTTCTACTATAAAGACACATATTCATTGCAGCCCTGTGTACAATAGCAAAGACCTGAAACCAAGCCACATGCCCATCAATGATACACTGGACAAAGAAAATGGGGTATATATACACCATGGAATACTACACAGCCATAAAAAAGGATGAGTTCGTGTCCTTTGTAGGGACTTGAATGAATCCGGAAACCATCATTCTCAGCAAACTGACACAAGAACAGAAAGCCAAATACCATATGTTCTCACTCATAGGTGGGTGTTGAACAATGAGAACACATGGATTCAGGGAGAGGACCATGACACACTGGGGACAGTTGGGGAGACTAGGAGAGAGACAGTGGAGGGTGGGAAGGGCAGAGAGGGATAGCATGGGGAGAAATGCCAGATATAGTATGCACCTAAAGTAAAGTAAATAAATGTAAAAAATGAAAAATGAAGTATTTCCATGTGTAATCGTACATTCCACTAACAAGTAGAACTGACCCACAGACTATTAGAGCTACGGTGTTGCAACAAGTTAGATCTCTGAAATGATCCATGATATACTTCTAATAATGAGTGAAAATGGTGAGTTACCAACGTACAATTTGAGTTTCTTGGACCCTCTGCATGAAATGCAAACTTTAGAAATGCACAGATCACAAGTTACATTTACTTTTTAAAACCAGATGTACAGTTCTTCAATGTCAAATGACAAACGTAGCCTTAATGATTAAACAGTATTTTAAGTTTTAGTTGTGCATGTTTGCTTTTTTTTTTAAACCTGATTGGAGTAGTCATAATTTGTACTTCTTGTTGATAAAAAAACTGGACAGAATTTATATAATAAATTCATTTTCTGTCTCCTTGGGCTGAGAGCACTTCAATTCTTGTGCGGGCCTTGATTTAATCCTATAACATGTGAGAGCATTAGGATACATAAGCCAATTATATATATATTTCTGATGTCACTCTCTATATTTTTCTGATGTCACTCCAAGGTGTCACAAGCTGAATCTGAAGATATTGCTGCATTTGGGAAGAACTGTGTCATTGTAATTAAAGCAGTTCTTACTTTACATGAAATACAAGTTTTTTAAGCTTATCTTTCTAAAACGTACACACATCCAAAGCACACCCCATGTGCTGGCATGGCATATTGAAATTTATAAAGGTTGGACATATATTTTACTAATATCAAAAAGTCAATATCCTTAAGAAATCTTTTTGATTGATTAATCTTTTTTGAAGAACTGTGTGATAGAGATTGCTGACTTGATCAAACTAAGTAATAGTAAAAGATAAAAATTTACAAAGAAATGAGAGATGACAGGTATTGAAAGGTTTCTGAATGAATAGCAAATATGGGACATACGGTGTTTCATGGGAGAAGAGGATATGACTGCTTTGTGAAGATATAATTTACACAAGTGAGTCAAATTTCTAGTTTTTCTTCATTCTAATTAATGACATAAAGTTAATTTTTAGATTTTCAAGATTTCACTTTTAATGGATTGACTATAGAAGTTGTGATTGTAATCTACGATAGAAATATACAGGCTACAGAGGAAGAAAGATTCTTGAATGAAAATGGAATTGTATATGCTTATTAAATGTATAGTAGAGAAATGTTCTCATGAATGCATCTGTGATTAACCTTTTATAGATCAAATGTTCCCATCAGAATCTGAAGAAGAGGAGGATGAAACAAAATCTTGGGATTCTGAGGTACTGTGTATTACTGATTTTTTCAAAAGTATTAGTATTGCCTGATGTGCAAACATAACAACAGAGGCTTAGATTTATTTTTTCACCTCTGCGTATGTCACCCCAAAATTAGTTTTTCCGATATTTTTTAGAATATACTTTATAGAGAATCTATGTGCCAAGTAGATTACATCTTCATAGTGAAATTCTGCTCATCTGTAGGATTAAATTAAGAAGCCAGTGAGGTATAGTGTAAAAAATAAGGCTTAGAACTCACTAGGAATTCACCTGGAATCTGCAGTAAGTTTGTCTACAAACTAAAGAATTACAGTGAGTCCAGCTGTGGGCAAATGTATGATGTGGTATATCTCTATGTATAAAAGTTCTAATTGGATTCATAGAGAGACAGTTTAAACTGTAGTTTTGTAAAACTTGGGACCTGAAAACATAATGCCTGGCAAATGGAAGTATGGAATTATTTTACTATTCAGTATAGATCTGAGGGAACATTTCAGGAGAAAGGAAAGCATGAGGAATAGGAAACCCATGGACTATAATAACAACAGTTTGGTTGGTAAGTATTTTGAAAAACCGAAATAATTTTTACAAATATAACCTTTTGAGTCCCTTTGTGGCTGTCAAGCTGCAGCAGCGTAACCGTCAAACAAAAGCAATGTATTTTAAAGTCACAACTGTGGAATGACGCGTAAGGTTTCTGACCTCTTAGAAACAAGAAGCTGCTGCATGGTGGTCACAGCAAAGGTTGGAAGTCAATAGAGAAGTCGATTTTATCTAATTTGTCATTAGACACGAAGACTTTAATACGTGTGCGCTTTCATTTAGAAATGACATGATGTTTTTCTTAGTGCATTTTCATTGTATTCAAGCCCTGTTTTTATAATTGTAAATTTTATCAAAAACTTTCTGATTATTTTTAGCCCCTGTTTACCTAAATGAAGCAGTTTATTGAATTTTCTGGTCAGAAATTATATGACAGACTCTGAAAGGTGTCTTCATGAAATGTATCATTTTTAACATTAAACAATTCTATAGTCATGAGTATTTTAAATCCTTAATGCAGTATGTGTTATGGTAAGTAATAAGTGTTTTGTATTTTGTTCGAAGTGCCATACTTATTTTTGATGAGAACTGCAATGTAAGTTAGATATTTGCAAGTGAGTTACTTTTGAAATATGCATGAGTAAATTTTGTGGGAATGTGATTGATTTTTTCTGCTCAGGAATCAAGTTAATAGCCACATGAATGTAAAGATCAGCTTGATCTAAAGCACGTGTATGAAGTTTTGCATCAAAATGATTTGTTTTTCAATATGTGTCTTCCCTTAAATCAAATTGTATTTAAAGTAAGAAATTTTGCTTTAAAAATTGCCTTTTAATTAGGAAATTTTGATACTCTTAATTATTAGGATTTTTAAATTGGACTTATTTATTGATATTATTTTTAACAGAGTCTTTTTGAGAGTGTTAAAGAGAATCGTGTGTGTTTACTCGGTGCTACATATCAAAAAGAAATGAAGACAATAAATGGAAAATTAGAAGGTAAGAATCATTTCTTATTTAACAAGTCACTTGACTGAATATTTCTCTAAACTCATGAGGAAGGATACACACTAATAGCCAAAGAAAAGTACCTCCTAAATGCCCAGCATGGAAAAGAGAGAAGTAAAATGGTGATAAGTGATACATCCTATCAGGTGTTAGCAACAGACTGTGTATTGAGAGTGCTGAAAAGGAGCTGAATTACTAGTTTGAATTCTAGATATTCTATGACCTGGGGAAAATCAGAACATTAGAAAGAAGAAAGTAGTAAAAAGGAAGAAAAGTCTGAGAAAGACAAAATACACGAAGAAACAGGAAGCAGGTTTATGTAATGAAGGATGGTAATGGAAACCATTCTTCAGAAAAAGATAGGGTATGGTTAGAAATTTAGGAAGAATATAAAGTGATCTTCTAGTGCCAAAATTTACCAGAGAATCACAGCATAAATATTCTATCTCTTCCTGCCTTTCTTACTGTTAGGACGCCATTAGGGATGGAAGAATCTTAGCATGGAGAACTGTGTTCTATTTACAGTAGTTGAAAAGAAGCATATATCCATAGCCACACATGTATATAATTTGCCATCATATGCAATCAGTATAGCCCAGAAGTTTTTAAACTTAAGAAAATCAGCTGGAAACCTTGTTAACAATTCACACTGTGATTCAGCAGACTTGGGATTCTGCATTTTCAGTAAGTTCTCATGCAACGCTGATGCTGCTGGTCCTTGGACCTTGCTCTGAGTGGCAAAAGTAGAAGCATTCATGGGAAAATGTGGAAGAAAAGCAATTGAAAGAATGGCAATACATAGCAGGGTTATGTGAAAGCATTATATTGCTCTTACTTTTGAGTATGTTCTTTAGCCAGAGGAGGAGAAACATTCCCCTCCCTGTGCCCATGTTTGCTGTGTATTCAACACCCACCTGTGAGTAAGAACATGTGGTGTTTGGTTTTGTGTTCTTGTGTCACTTTGCTGAGATTGATGGTTTCCAGATTCATCCATGTTCCTACAAAGGACATGAACTCATTCTTTTTCGGCTGCATAGTTTTCCATGGTGTATGTGTGCCACATTATCTTGGTCCAGTGTATTGTTGATGGGCATTTGGGTTGGTTCCAGGTCTTTGTTATTGTAAACAGTGCTGCAATGAACATACAGGTGCCTGTGTCTTTATAATAGAATGATTTATGATTCTTTGGGTATATACCCAGTAATGGGATTGCTGGGTCAAATGGAATTTCTATTTCCACATCCTTGAGAAATCACCACACTCTCTTCCATAACTGTTGAATTAATCTATACTCCCACCAACAGTGTAAAAGTGTTCATTTTTTCTCCATATCACCTCCAGTATCTGTTGTCTCCAGATTTTTCAATGATCGCCATTCTAAGTGGCATGAGATGGTATCTCCATGTGGTTTTGACTTGCATTTCCCTGATGACCAGTGATGATAAGCATTTTTAAATATGTTTGCTGGCCTCATAAATGTGTTTTTTAAAAAACTGTCTGTTCGTATCTTTCACCCATTTTGAATGGGTAGCTTTATCTGTGTACATCTTGTTTTGTTCCTTTTAGAATCTGGATATTAGCCCACTGTCAGATAGGTATATGGTAAACAATTTTTTCCATGCTGTTGGTTGCTGTTTCACACTGATGATTGCTTCTTTTTCTGTGCAGAAACTCTTAAGTTTAATTAGATCCCATTTGTGTATTTTGGCTTTTGTTGCCATTGCTTTTGGTGTTTCAGTCATGAAGTTTTTGCCTATGCCTATGTCCTTAATGGTTTTGCCTAGGTATTCTTCTAGAGTTTTTATGGATTTAGGTCTTATGTATACATCTTTAATGTATCTAGAGTTAATTTTAGTGTAAGGTGTCAGAAAGCAGTTCACTTTCAGCTTTGTGCACATGGCTAGCTGTTTTCCCAACACCATTTATTAAATAGGGTATGCTTTTATTTGTTAGATTTGTCAAAGATTGGGTGGTTGTAGGTATGTTGTGTTGCCTCTGAGGCCTATGTTCTGTCCAATTGGTCTGTAACTTTGTTTTGGTATTAGTCCCAATATGTTTTGATTACTGTAGCCTTGTAGTATAATTTGAAGTCCGGTAGTGTGATGTCTCCCACTTTGTTCTATTTGCTTAGAATTGACTTGGCTATGCGGGCTTTTTTTTCATTCCATATGAAGTATAGAAAAGAAAACCTCAGGCCAATATCCATGGTGAACATCGATGCAAAAATCTTCAGTAAAATACTGGTAAATCAAATGCAACAGCACATCAAAGAGCTTATTCATCACAATCAAGTAGACTTCATCCCTGAGATGCAAGGCTGGTTCAACAGATGTAAATCACCAAACGTAATCTATCATGTAAACAGAACCAAAGACAAAAACCACATGATCATCTTAATAGATGCAGAGAAGGCCTTCAACAAAATTCAGCAACGCTTTTTGCTAAAACCTTTCAATAAACAAGGTACTGATGGAACATGTCTCAAAATAGTAAAAGGCATTACCGACAAGTCCACAACCAATATCATACTGAATGGGCAAGACTGGAAGCTTTCCCAGTGAAAACTGGCACTAGGCAAGCATTCCCTCTCTCACCATATTTATTCAATTTAGTATTGGAAGTTGTAGCCAGAGCAATCGGCAAGAAAAAGTAATAAAGGTATTCAATTAGGAAAAAGGGAAATCAGATTGTCTGTATATGCAGAAAACATTATTATATATTTAGAAAACACCATCAACTCTGCCCAATAATCTCCTTAAGCTGAAGAGCTACTCAGTAAAGTCTCAGGATACAACATCATTGTGCAGAATTCACAAGCATTTCTATACACCAATAACAGACAAACAGAGAGCCAAATCATGAGCAAACTCCCATTCACAATTGTTACAAATAGAAATAAATACCTAGGAATACAAATATCAAAGGATGTGAAGAACCTCTTTAAGGAGAACTACAAACCGCTGCTCAAGGAAATAAAGGAGGACACAAACAGATGGGAAAACATTCCATACTCATGGTTAGGAAGAATCAATATCGTGAAAATGGCCATACTGCCCAAAGTAATCTATAGATAGATTCAAAGCTATCCCCATCAAGCTACTAATGACTTTCTTCACAGAACTTGGAAAAAACCACTTTAAACTTTATATAAAATCACAAAAGACCCCACATAGCCAAGACAATCCTAAGCAAAAGGAACAAAGCCAGAGGCACCACACTGCCAGACTTCAAACTATACTACAAGGCTGCAGTAATCAAAACAGCATGTGACTGGTACCAAAACAGAACATAGACCAATGGAACAGAACAGAGACTCAAGAAGAAACACCACACATCAACCATGTGATCTTTGACACACCCAACAAAAACAAGCAATGGGGAAAGGACTCCATGTTTAATAAATGGTGTTGGGAAAAGTGACTAGCAATGTGCAGAAAGCAGAAACTGGACCCCTACCTGTCACCTTACACTAACATTAACTCCAGATGGATGAAAGATTTAAACATAATACCTGGCCAGGTGCAGTGGCTCACGCCTGTAATCCCAGCACTTTGGGAGGCCGAGGCGAGTGGATCACGAGGTCAAGAGATAAAGACCATCCTGGTCAACATGGTGAAACCCCACCTCTATTAAAAATACAAGAAATTAGCTGGGCATGGTGGCGCACATCTGTAATTTCAGTTACTCGGGAGGCTGAGGCAGGAGAATTGCCTAAACCCCGGAGGCAGAGGTTGCAGTGAGCCGAGATCGCGCCATTGCACGCCAGTCTGGGCAACAAGAGTGAAACTTCGTCTCAAAAAAAACAAACAAACAAAAAAAACAAAACAAATAAACATAAAACCTAACACCATAAAAACACTAGAAGAAAACGTAGGTAAAACCATCCAGGACATAGGCATAGTCAAGGATTTTATGACTAAAACACCAAAAGCAATGGCAATAAAAGCCAGGATACACAAATGGGATCTAATGAAACTCCGGAGCTTCTGTACAACAAAAGAAACCATCATTAGAGTGAATCAGCAGCCAACAGAATGGGAAAAAAATTTGCAATCTACCCATCTGACAAAGGGCTAATATCCAGAAACTACAAAGAATTAAACAGATATACAAGAAAAAACAAACAACCCCATTCAAAACTGGGCAAAGGATACGAACAGACACTTTTCAAAAGAGGACATATATGAGGACAACAAACATATGAACTAATGTTCATCATCACGGGTCATTAGAGAAATGCAAATCAAAACCACACTGAGGTATCATCTCATGCCAGTTAGAATGCTGATCATTAGAAAATATGGAGACAGTAGCAGATCCTGGAGAGGATGTGGAGAAATAGGAACACTCTTACACAGTTGGTGGGAGTGTTAATTAGTTCATCATTGTGGAAGACAGTGTGGTCATTTCTCAAGGATTTAGAAATAGAAATTCCATTTGACCCAGCAATCCCACTACTGGGTATATACCCAAAGAAATATAAATTGTTCTACTATAAAGACACATGCACACGTATGTTCATTGCAGCCCTGTGTACAATAGCAAAGACATGGAACCATCAATGATAGACTGGACAAAGAAAATGGGGTACATATACACCATGGAATACTACACAGCCATGAAAACAGGATGAGTTTGTGTCCTCTGTAGGGACTTGGATGAATCCGGAAACCATCATTCTCAGCAAACTGACACAAGATCAGAAGGACAAACACCATAGGTCCTCACCCATGAGTTGGTGTTGAACAACGAGAAGATGTGGATTCAGGAAGAGGAGACTCACACACTGGGGACAGTTGGGGAGACTAGGGGAGAGACAGTGTAGGGTGGGGAGGGCAGGGACGGATAGCATGGGGAGAAATGTCAGATATAGTATGCACCTAAATCAAAGTACATACATTTAAAGAAATAAGAATTAATGTATTTCTGTGTGCAATCATACATTCCACTAACAATTAGAACTGACAGACAGATTATTAGAGCTATGGTGTTACAACAGGTTAGATCTCTGAAATGATCCATGATATACTTCTAATAATGAGTGAAATGCTGAGTCGCCAAATTACGATTTGAGTTTCTTGGACCCTCTGCATGAAATGCAAACTTTAGAAATGCAGAGATCAAAAGTTACATTTACTTTTTAAAACAAGCTGTACAGTTCTTCAATGTCAAATGTCAAACGTAGCCTTAATGATTAAACAGTCTTTTAAGTTTTAGTTGTTCATGCTTGCTTTTTTTTTAACCTGACTTAAATAGTCATAATTTGTACTTCTTGTTGATAAAGAAAACTGGACAGAATTTTTATTATAAATTCATTTTCTGTCTGATTTAACTGATAGCACTTCAATTCCTGTGTGGGCCTTGATTTAATCCTATAACATGTGAAAACATTAGTTTACATAAGGCAATTATTTCTTCTCTATATATTTTTGATGTTACTCCAAGGAGTCACAAGCTGACCCTGAAGATATTGTTGCATTTGGGCAGAACTATGTCACTGTAATTAAAGCAGTTCTTACTTTACATGAAATACAAGTTTTTAAAGCTTATCTTTCTAAAATGTACACAAATGCAATCCACACCCAATGTACTGCCATGGCATATTGAAATTTAAAGTGTTTGGACATATATTTTCCTAACATCAAAAAGTTAATATTTTAAAAAATCTTATTGATTGATAAAGAATCATTTTTGGAGAGCTGTGTGATAGTGATTGCTGAGTTGATGAAACTAAGTAATACCAAAAAATAAAAATATACAAATAAATGAGGGATGATAGGTTGTAAAAGTTTTCTGAATGAATAACAAACAGGGGACATACTGTGTTTCATGGGAGAAGAGAATATGACTGCTTTGTGAAGACATAATTTATACAAGTGAGTCAAATTTCTAGTTTTTCTGCATTCTAATTAATAAAGTGAATTTTTAGATTTTTGAGATTTCACTTTTAATCGATTGACTACAGAAGTTGTGATTGTAATCTACAAAAAGAATCTACAGGCTACAGTGGAAAAAAGATGCTTGAATGAAAATGGAATTGTATAGGCTTCTAAAACGTATAGTAGAGAAATGTTCTCATGAATGCATCTGTCATTAACCTTTTATAGATCAAATGTTCCCATCAGAATCTGAAGAAGGGGAAGATGAAACAAAATCTTGGGATTCTGAGGTACTGTGTATTACTGATTTTTTCAAAAGTATTAGTATTGCCTGATGTGCAAGCATAACACCAGAGGCTTAGATTTATTTTCTCACCTCTGCATATGTTACCACAAAATTATTTTTCTGATATTATTTAGAATATACGATATAGAGAATCTATGTGCTAAGTAGATTATGTCTTCATAGTGAAATTCTGCTCATCTGTAGGATTAAATTAAGAAGCCAGTGAGGTATAGTGTAAAAAATAAGGCTTAGAACTCACTAGGAATTCACCTGGAATCTGCAGTAAGTTTGTCTACAAACTAAAGAATTACAGTGAGTCCAGCTATGGGCAAATGTATGATGTGGTATATCTCTATGTATAAAAGTTCTAATTTGACTCATAGAGAGACGGTTTAAACTGTAGTTTTGTAAAACTTGGGACCTGAAAACATAATGCCTGGCAAATGGAAGTATGGAATTATTTTACTATTCAGTATAGATCTGAGGGAACATTTCAGGAGAAAGAAAAGCATGAGGAATAGGAAACCCATGAGCTATAATAACAACAGTTTGGTTGGGTAGTATTTTAAAAAAATAAAAATTATTTTTACAAATATAACCTTTTGAGTCCCTTTTTGGCTGTCAAGCTGCAGCAGCATAAGCGTCAAACAGTAGCGATGTATTTTAAAGTCACAACTGTGGAATGATGTGTAAGGTATCTGACCTCTTAGAAACAAGAAGCTGCTGCATGGTGGTCACAGCAAAGGTTGGAAGTCAATAGACAAGTCGATTTTATCTAATTTGTCGTTAGACACAAAGACTTTTAATACTTGTGCGCTTTCCTCTAGAAATGACATGTTTTTCTTACTTCATTTTCATTTTATTCAAGCCCTGTTTCTATAATTTTAAATTTTATTAGAAACTTTCTGATTATTTTTAGCCCATTTACCTAAATGAAGCAGTTTATTGAATTTTCTGTGCAGACATTATATGACAGACTCTGAAAGCTGTCTTCATGACATGCATCATTAATAACACTAAACAATTCTATAGTCATGAGTATTTTAAATCTTTAATGCAGTATGTGTTATGGTAAGTAGTAAGTGTTTTGTATTTTGTTCGAAGTGCCATATCTATTGATGAGAAGTGCAATGTAAGTTTGATATTTTCAAGTGAGTTAGTTTTGAAAACACGCATGAGGGAATTTTCTTGGGAATGTGATTGATTTTTCCTGCTCAGGAACTAAGTTAATAGCCACATGAAGGTAAAGAAAAGCTTGATCTGGAGCACGTGTATGAAGTTTTGCATCAAAATGTTTTGGTTTTCAATACATGTCTGCCCTTAAATCAAGTTGCATTTAAAGTAAAAAATTTTGCTTTAAAAATTGCCTTTTAATTAGTAAATTTTGATACTCTTAATTATTAGGATTTTTAAATTGAACTTATTTCCTGACATTATTCTTAACAGAGTCTTTTTGAGAGTGTTCAAGAGAATCATGTGTGTTTACACGATGCTACATATCAACAAAAAATCAAGACAATATTTGGAAAATTAGTAGGTAAGAATCATTTCTTATTTAAAAAGTCATTTTACCGAATATTTGTCTAAACTCATGAGGAAGGATACACACTAAAAGCCAACAGAATGTACCTCCTAAATCCCCAGCATGGAAAAGAGAAGTGAAACAGTGATACATGATACATCCTATCAGGTGTTGGCAACAGACTGTGTATTGAGAGTGCAGAAAAGGAGCTGAATTTTTAGTTTGAATTCAAGATATTCCAAGACCTGGGGAAAATAAAAACATTAGAAAGAAGAAAGTAGTAAAAGAGGAAAAAAAGTCTGAGATAGACAAAATACAGGAAGCAGGTTTATGTAATGAACAATGATAATTGAAATTATTCTTCAGAAAAAGATAGGGTATTTTTAGAAATTTAGGGAGAATATAAAGTGATTTCTAGTGCCAAAATTTACCAGAGAATCACAGCATAATTACTCCGTGTCTTCCTGCCTTTCTCACTGGTTTGACGCCCTTAGGGATTGGAAGCACCTTACCATGAAGAACTGTGTTCTATTTACAGTAGGTGAAAAGAAGCATATATCCACAGCCACGCATGTATATAATTTATCATCATATGTAATCAGTGTAGACCAGAAGTTTTTAAACTTAAGAAAATCCGCTGGAAACCTTAACAATTCACACTGTCAGTCAGCAGACTTGGGATTCTGCATTTTCAGTAAGTTCTCATGCAACGCTGATGCTGCTGGTCCTTGGACCTTGCTCTGAGTGACCAAAGGAGAAGGCTTCATGGGAAAAATGTGGAAGAAAAGCAATTGAAAGAAGGTTAAGACATAAGAACGTCAAGAGAAAGCATTATATTGCTCTTATTTTCAAGTATGTTTTTTAGCTAGAGGAGAAGGAGAAACATTCCCCTCCCTGTGCCCCTGGATGCTCTCTATTCAGCACCCACCTGTAAGTAAGAACATGTGGTGTTTGGTTGTCTGTTCTTGTGTCACTTTGCTGAGATTGATGGTTTCCAGATTCATCCATGTCCCCACAAAGGACATGAACTCATTCTTTTTATGGCTGCATGGTGTATATGTGCCACATTATCTTGGTCCAGTGTATTGTTGATGGGTATTTGGGTTGGTTCCAGGTCTTTGTTATTGTAAACAGTGCTGCAGTGAGCATACATGTGCCTGTGTCTTTATAATAGAATGATTTATGATTCTTTGGGTATATACCCAGTAATGGGATTGCTGGGTCAAGTGGAATTTCTATTTCCAGATCTTTGAGAAATCACCACACTCTCTTACATAATGGTTGACCTAATATATACTCTCATCAACAGTGTAAAAGGGTCTCTTTTTTTTCCCATATACCCTCCATTATCTGTTGTCTCTAGATTTTTCAATGATCAATATTCTACGTTTCATGATATGGTATTTAGAAGTGGTTTTGATTTGCATTTTCTTGATGACCAGTGATGATAAGCATTTTTAAATATGTTTCTTGGCCTCATAAATGTCTTCTTTTGAAAAGTGTCTATTCTTATCTTTCACCCACTTTTGAATGGGTTGTTTTATCTTTGTACATCTGGTTTAGTTCTTTTTAGATTCTGGATATTAGCCCTTTGTCAGATAGGTTTATGGTAAACAATTTTTTCCATGCTGTTGGTTGCTGTTTCACTCTGATGATTGCTTCTTTTTTTGTGCAGAAACTATTAAGTTTAATTAGATCCTATTTGTGTATTTTGGCTTTTGTTGCCATTGCTTTTGGTGTTTCAGTCATGAAGCTCTTGCCTATGCCTGTGTCCTGAATGGTTTTGTCTAAATATTCTTCTAAAGGTTTTATGATTGTAGGCCTTAGGTATAAATATTTAATGCATCTAGAGTTAATTTTAGTGTAAGATGTCAGGAAGAGATCCACTTTCAGCTTTGTGCACATGGCTAGCCAGTTTTCCCAACACCATTTATTAAATTGGGAATCATTTCCCCATTGCTTGTTTTTGTCAGGTTTGTCAAAGATCGGATGATTGTAGGTATCTTGTGTTGTCTCTGAGGCATCTGCTCCATTCCATTGCTCTGTATCTCTGTTTTGGTGCCAGTCCCATGCTGTTTGGATTACTGTAGCCTCATAGTATAATTTGAAGTCCAGTAGTGTGATGTTTCCCGCCTTGTTCTATTTGCATAGAATTGACTTGGCTATGCGGGCTCTTTTTTGGTTCTATATGAAGTATAAAAAAGATAACTTCAGGCCAATATTCATGATGAACATCGATGCAAAAGTCTTCGGTAAAATCCTGGTAAATCGAATGCAACAGCACATCAAAGAGCTTATTCATCACAATCAAGTAGACTTCATCCCTGGGATGCAAGGCTGGTTCAACAGATATAAATCTCCAAACGTAATCTATCACATAAACAGAACCAAAGACGAAAACCCCATGATCATCTCAACACATGCAGAAAAGGCCTTCAAAGAAATTCAACATACCTTTCTGCTAAAACCTCTCAATAAATGAGGTATTGATAGAACATCTCTCAAAATAGTAAAGGTATTTCCGACAAATCCACAGCTAATGTCATACTGAATGGGCAAAAACTGGAAGCTTTTCCAATGAAAACTGGCACTAGGCAAGGATGCCCTCTCTCACCATTCCTATTCAGTATAGTATTGGAAGTTGTAGCCAGAGCAATCAGGCAAGAAAAAGAAATAAAGGGTATTCAATTAGGAAAAGAGGAAATCAGATTGTCTGTGTTTGCAGACAACATGATTGTATATTTAGAAAACACCATAGTCTCAGCCCAAAAATCTCCTTAAGCTGATAAGCAACTTAGTAAAGTTTCAGGATACAAAATCATTTTGCAGAAATTACGAGCATTTCTATACACCAATAACAGACAAACAGAGAGCCAAATCATGAGCAAACTCCCATTCACAATTGCTACAAAGAGAATGAAATAGCTAGGAATACTACTAACAAAGTATATGGAGAACCTCTTTAATGAGAACTACAAACCGCTGCTCAAGGCAATAAGAGAGGACACAACAAATAGGAAAACTTTCCATACTCATGGTTAGGAAGAATTAATAATGTGAAAATGGCCATACTGCCCAAAGTAATCTATAGATAGAATTAAAGCTATCCCCATCAAGCTACCAATGACATTCCTCACAGAACTGGGAAAAAACCACTTTAAACTTCAAATGGAATCACAAAAGACCCCACATAGCAAAGACAATCCTAAGCAAAAAGAACAAAGCCGGAGGCATCACACTGCCAGACTTCAATCTATACTACAAGGCTGCAATAATCAAAACAGCATGGGACTGATACCAAAACAGAACATAGACCAATGGAGCAGAACAGAGACCCAAGAAGAAACACCACACATCTACAACCATGTGATCTTTGACACACTCGACAAGAACAAGCAATGGGGATAGGACTCCATGTTTAATAAATGGTGTTGGGAAAAGTGGCTACCAATGTGCAGAAAGCAGAAACTTGACCCCTACCTGTCACCTTACACTAATATTAGCTCCAGATGAATCAAAGATTTAAACCTAAAACCTGGCCGGGCACGGTGGCTCACGCCTGTAATCCCAGCAATTTGGGAGGCGGAGGTGAGTGTATTACGAGGTCAAGAGATCAAGACCATCCTGGTCAACATGGTGAAACCCCGTCTCTACTAAAAATACAAAGAATTAGCTGGGCATGGTGCAATGCGCCCATAATTCCAGCTACTCAGGAGGCTGAGGTAGGAGAATTTCCTGAACCCAGGAGGCGGAGGTTGTCGTGAGCCGAGATCGCACCACTACACTCCACTTTAGGTACCAAGAACTAAACTCCATCTCAAAGAAACAAACAAACATAAAACCTAACACCATAAAAACACTAGAAGAAAACGTAGGCAAAACCATCCAGGACATAGGCATGGGCAAGGACTTCATGACTAAAACACCAAAAGCAATGGCAATAAAAGCCAGGATACCCAAATGGGATCTAATGAAACTCCAGAGCTTCTGTACAACAAAAGAAACCATCATTAGAGTGAATCAGCAGCCAACAAAATGGGAAAAAATTTTGCAATCTACCCATCTAACCAAGGGCTAATATCCAGAAACTACAAAGAATTAAACAAATACATAAGATAAAAACAAACAACTTCATTCAAAACTGGGCAAAGGATACAAACAGACACTTTTCAAAAAGGACATATATGAGGCCAACAAACATATGAAAAAATGTTCATATCACTGGTCATTAGAGAAATGCAAATCCAAACCACACTGAGATATCATCTCATGCCAGTTAGAATGGCGATTATTAGAAAACCTGGAAACAGCAAGTGATCCTGGAGAGGATGTGGAGAAATAGGAACACTCTTACACAGTTGGTGGGAGTGTTAATTAGTGCAATCATTGTGGAAGACAGTGTGGCAATTTCTCAAGGCTCTAGAACTAGAAATTCCATTTGACCCAGCAATGCCACTACTGGGTAAATACCCAAAGAAATATAAATTGTTCTACTATAAAGACACATGCACACGTATGTTCACTGCAGCCCTGTGTACAATAGCAAAGGCCTGGAACCAACCCAAGTGCCCATCAATGATGGACTGGACAAAGAAAATGGGGTACATATACACCGTGGAATACTACTCAGACATAAAAACAGGATGAGTTTGTGTCCTTTATAGGCACTTGGTTGAATCCAGAAACCATCATTCTCAGCAAACTGACACAAGAACAGAAAGCCAAACACCATATGTTCTCACTCATAGGTGGGTGTTAAACAACGAGAAGACGTGGAGTCAGGGAGAGGAGCATGGCACACTGAGGACAGTTGAGGAGACTAGGGGAGAGAAAGTGGGTGGTGGGGAGGGTGGGGAGGGCAGAGAGGGATAGCATGGGGAGAAATGCCAGATATAGTATGCACCTAAATCGAAGTAAATACATTTTAAAAAATAAGAAATAAAGTTTTTTCATGTGAAATTGTACATTCCACTAACAACTAGAACTGACCCACAGATTATTAGAGCTACAGTGTTACAACAGATTAGATCTCTGAAATGATTCACGATATATTTCTAATAATGAGTGAAAATGGTGAGTTACCAACGTATGATTTGAGTTTCTTGGACCCTCTGTATGAAATGTGAACTTTAGGGATGCAGAGATCACAAGTGAAATTTACTTTTTAAAACTAGATATACGGTTCTTAGATGTGAAATGAGAAATGTACCATTAACGATTAAAGAGTCTTTTAAGACTTAGGTGTGCATGTTTGCTATTCTTTTAACCTGATTGGAATAGTCATAATTTGTACTTCTTGATGATAAAGAAAACTGGACAGAATTTTTATTATAAATTCATTTTCTGTCTTATTGGAATGAGAGCACTTCAATTTTTGTGTGGGTTTTGATTTAATCCCATAACACGTGAGAACACTAGGTTACATAATGCAATCATTTCTTTTCTATATATTTCTGATGTCTCTCCAAGGTGTCACAAGTTGAATCTGAAGATATTGTTTTATTTCCCAAGAATTATGTCATTGTAATTAAAGCAGATCTTACTTTACATGAAACAGAAGTTTTTTAAGCTTATCTTTCTAAAACGTACACACATCCAAAGCACACCCAATGTGCTGCCATGGCATGTTGAAATTTAAAAGGTTTGGACATATATTTTACTAACATCAAAAAGTTAATATTCTTTAAAAATCTTACTGATTGATAAATAATCTGTTTTGGAGAACTGTGTGATGGAGATTACTGAGTCGATCAAACTAAGTAAAACTAAAAGATAAAAATTTACAAAGAAATGAGAGATGATAGGTATTGAAAGGTTTCTGAATGAATAGTAAACATGGGACATACTGTGTTTCACAGAAGTAGAGGATATGACTGCTTTGTGAAGAAATAATTTACAGAAGTGAGTCACATTTCTAGTTTTTCTGCATTCTAATTAATGACATAAAGTTAATTTTTAGATTTTTGAGATTTCACTTTTAATGGATTGACTATAGAAGTTGTGATTGTAATCTACAAAAAGAATCTACAGGCTACAGAGGAAAAAAAGATTCTTGAATGAAAATAGAGTTGTATATGCTTCTAAAACGTATAGTAGAGAAATGTTCTCATGAATGCATCTGTCATTAACCTTTTATAGATCAAATGTTTCCATCAGAATCTAAACAAGAGGAAGATGAAAAAAATTCTTGGGATTCTGAGGTACTGATTTTTTCAAAAGTATTAGTATTCCCTGATGTGCAAACATAACACCAGAGGCTTAGATTTATTTCCTCACCTCTGCATATCTCACCCCAAAATTAGTCTTTCTGATATCTTTTAGAATATACTTTATAGAGAATCTATGTGCTAAGTAGATTATATCTTCATAGTGAAATTCTGCTCATCTGTAGGATTAAATTAAGAAGCCAATGAGGTATAGTGTAAAAAATAAGGCTTCGGACTCACTAGGAATTCACCTGGAATCTGCAGTAAGTTTGTCTACAAACTAAAGAATTACAGTGAGTCCAGCTATGGGCAAATGTATGACGTGGTATATCTCTATGTATAAAAGTTCTAATTGGATTCATAGAGAGACAGTTTAAAGTGTACTTTTGTAAATCTTGGGACCTGAAAATATAATGCCTGGCAAATGGAAGTATGGAATTATTTTACTATTCAGTATAGATCTGAGGGAACATTTCAGGAGAAAGGAAAGCATGAGGAGTAGGAAACCCATGGGCTATAATAACAACAGTTTGGTTGGGCAGTATTCTAAAAATTAAAAATAATTTTTACAAATATAACCTTTTGAGGCCCTTTGTGGCTGTCAAGCTGAAGCAGCATAAGTGTCAAACAATAGCGACCTATTTTAAAGTCACAACTGTGAAATGATGGGGCAGGTATCTGACCTCTTAGGGATAGCCTGGGGAGAAATGCCAAATGTGGGTGAAGGGGAGAAGAAAAGCAAAGCACACTGCCATGTGTGTACCTACGCAACTGTCTTGCATGCTCTGCTCATGTACCCCAAAACCTATAATCCAATAAAAAATTTTAAAATAAATAAATAAATAAAATAAAAATTCACACACAAATGAAAATGGAAAAACTGCCAAAAAAAAAAAAAAAGAAATAAGAAGCTGCTGCATGGTGGTCACAGCAAAGGTTGGAAGTCAATAAACAAATCGATTTCATCTAATTTGTTGTTAGACACGAAGACCTTAATACTTATGTGCTTTCATTTAGAAATGACATGATGTTTTTCTTACTGCATTTTCAGTTACTTCAAGCACTGTTTCTATAATTGTAAATTTTATCAGAAACTTTATGATTATTTTTACCCGTGTTTACCTAAATGAAGCAGTTTTTTAAATTTTCTGTGCAGACATTATATGACAGACTCTGAAAGCTGTCTGCAGGATATGCATCACTCTTAACACTAAACAATTCCATAGTCATGAGTATTTTAAATGCTTAATGCAGTATGTGTTATGCTAAGTAGCAAGTCTTTTATATTTTGCTCGAAGTGCCATATGTATTTTTGATAAGAACTGCAACGTAAGTTAGGTATTTTCAAGTGAGTTAGTTTTGGAAATATGCACGAGTGAGTTTTCATGGGAATGTGATTGATTTTTCCTGCTTAGGAACCAAGTTAATACCTATCTGAAGGTAAAGAAAACTTTATCTATACCACGTTTATGAAGCTTTGCATCGAAATGTTTTGGTCTTCAATACGTGTCTGCCCTTTAATCAAATTGCGTATAAAGTAGGAAATTTTGCTTTAAAAATTGCCTTTTTCTTTTTTTTTTTTTAATTTTTTATTGGATTATAGGTTTTGGGGTACATGAGCAGAGCATGCAAGACAGTTGCGTAGGTACACACATGGCAGTGTGCTTTCTTTTCTTCTCCCCTTCACCCACATTTGGCATTTCTCCCCAGGCTATCCCTCCCCACCTCCCCCTCCCACTGGCCCTCCCCTTTTCCCTCCAATAGACCCCAGTGTTTAGTACTCCCCTTTCTGTGTCCATGTGTTCTCATTTTTCATCACCCACCTATGAGTGAGAATATGCGGTGTTTCATTTTCTGTTCTTGTGTCAGTTTGCTGAGGATGATGTTCTCCAGATTCATCCATGTCCCTACAAACGACACAAACTCATCATTTCTGAACTCTGAGCTCTAACTTGATTGCACTATGGTCTGAGGGGCTGTTTGTTATGATTTCAGTTGTTTTGCATTTGTTGAGCAGTGCTTTACTTCCAATTATGTGGTCAATTTTAGAGTAGGTGTGATGTGGTGCTGAGAAGAATGTGTATTCTGTGGATTTGGGGTGGAGAGTTCTGTAAATGTCTATCAGGTTTGCTTCCTCCAGGTCTGAGTTCAAGCCCTGGATATCCTTGTTGATTTTCTGTCTGGTTGATCTGTCTAATATTGACAGTGGAGTGTTAAAGTCTCCCACTATTATTGTGTGGGAGTCTAAGTCCTTTTGTAAGTCATTAAGAACTTGCCTTATGTATCTGGGTGCTCCTGCATTGGGTCCATATATGTTTAGGATCGTTAGCTCTGCTTGTTGTATTGATCCTTTTACCATTATGTAATGGCCTTCTTTGTCTCTTTTGATCTTTGTTGCTTTAAAGTCTATTTTATCAGAGATGAGAATTGCAACTCCTGCTTTTTTTTCCTTTCCATTAGCTTGGTAAATCTTCCTCCATCCCTTTATTTTGAGCCTTTGTGTATCCTTGCATGTGAGATGGGTTTCCTGGATACAGCACACTGATGAGTTTTGGATTTTTATCCAATTTGCCAGTCTGTGTCTTTTGATTGGTGCATTTAGTCCATTTATATTTAGGGTTAATATTGTTATGTGTGAATTTGATACTGCCATTTTGATGCTAAGTGGCTGTTTTGCCTGTTAGTTGTTGTAGATTCTTCATTATGCTGAAGCTCTTTAGCATTCAGTGTGATTTTGGAATGGCTGGTACTGGTTGTTCCTTTCTATGTGTAGTGCCTCTTTTAGGAGCTCTTGTAAAGCAGGCCTGGTGGTGACAAAATCTCTGAATACTTGCTTGTTCGCAAAGGATTTTATTTTTCCTTCACTTCTGAAGCTCAGTTTGGCTGGATATGAAATTCTGGGTTGAAAGTTCTTTTCTTTAAGAATGTTGAATATTGGCCCCCACTCTATTCTGGCTTGTAGTGTTTCTGCCGAGAGATCTGCTGTGAGTCTGATGGGCTTCCCTTTGTGGGTGATCCAACCTTTCTCTCTGGCTGCCCTTAGTATTCTCTCCTTTATTTCAACCCTGTTGAATCTGACGATTATGTGCCTATGGGTTGCTCTTCTTGTGGAATATCTTTGTGGTGTTCTCTGTATTTCCTGCATTTGAGTGTTGGCCTGTCTTGCTAGGTGGGGGAAATTTTCCTGGATGATGTCCTGAAGAGTATTTTCCAGCTTGGATTCATTCTCTTCGTCCCCTTCTGGTACACCTATCAAACGTAGGTTAGGCCTTTTCACATAGTCCCACATTTCTTGGAGACTTTGTTCATTCCTTTTTGCGCTTTTTTCTCTGATCTTGGTTTCTTGTTTTATTTCATTGAGTTGGTCTTCGACTTCAGATATTCTTTCCTCTGCTTGGTCAATTCGGCTATTGAAACTTGTGTTTGCTTCGCGAAGTTCTCGTACTGTGTTTTTCAGCTCCTTTAATTCATTCATATTCCTCTCTAAGTTATCCATTCTTGTTATCATTTCTTCAAATCTTTTTTCAAATCTTTTTTCAAGGTTCTTAGTTTCTTTGCATTGATTTAATACATGATCTTTTAGCTCACAAAAGTTTCTCATTATCCACCTTCTGAAGTCTAATTCCGTCATTTCATCACAGTCATTCTCCGTCCAGCTTAGTTCCCTTGCTGGTGAGAAGTTTTGGTCCTTTCTAGGAGGCGAGGTGTTCTGGTTTCGGGTGTTTTCCTCCTTTTTGCGCTGGTTTCTTCCCATCTTTGTGGATTTTTCCGCTGGTCGTCTGTGTAGTTGCTGACTTTTCGATTGGGTCTCTGAGTGGACACCCAGAATGTTGATGATGAAGTATTTCTGTTGCTTGGTTTTCCTTCTACCAGTCTAGCTCCTTTGCTGTACTAAATTTTGATACTCTTAATTATTAGGATTTTTACGTTGAACTTACTTATTGAAATTATTTTTAACAGAGTCTTCCTGAGAGTGTTCAAGAGAACCATGTGTGTTTACTCGATGCTACATATCAAAAAGAAATGAAGACAATAAATGAAAAATTAGAAGGTAAGAATCATTTCTTATTTAACAAGTCATTGGACCGAATATTTCTCTAAACTCATGAGGAAGGATACACACTAATAGCCAAAGGAAAGTACTACCTAAATGCCCAGCATGGAAAAGAGAGAAGTGAAACGGTGATACACGATACATCCTATCAGGTGTTGGCAACAGACTGTGTATTGAGAGTGCTGAAAAGGAGCTGAATAATTAGTTTGAATTCACGATATTCCAAGACCTGGGGAAAATCAGAAAATTAGAAAGAAGAAAGTGGTAAAAGAGGAAATAAAGTCTGAGAAAGACAAAGTACACGAAGAAACAGGAAGCAGGTTTATGTAATGAAGGATGGTAATTGAAATTATTCTTCAGAAAAAGATAGGGTACGGTTAGAAATTTAGGGAGAACATAAAGTGACTTTCTAGTGCCAAAATTTACCAGAGAATCACAGCATAAATACTCTGTCTCTTCCTGCCTTTCTCACTGGTAGGACGTCATTAGGGATGGAAGCACCTCACCATGAAGAACTGTGTTCTATTTACAGTAGGTGAAAAGAGGCATATATCCACAGCCACACATGTATATAATTTGTCATCATATACAATCAGTGTAGCCCAGAAGTTTTTAAACTTAAGAAAAGCCGCTGGAAACCTTGTTAACAATTCACACTGTCAATCAGCAGACTTGGGATTCTGCATTTTCAGTAAGTTCTCATGCAACGCTGATGCTGCTGGTCCTTGGACCTTGCTCTGAGTGGCAAAAGTAGAAGCCTTCATGGGAAAAATGTGGAAGAAAAGCAATTGAAAGAAGGTCAAGGCATAACGGGGTCAAGAGAAAGCATTATATTGCTCTTATTTTCGAGTATGTTTTTAGCCAGAGGAGAAGGAGAAACATTCCCCTCCCTGTGCCCCTGTATGCCCTCTATTCAACACCCACCTGTGAGTAAGAACATGTGGTGTTTGGTTTTCTGTTCTTGTGTCACTTTGCTGAGATTGATGGTTTCCAGATTCATCCATGTCCCTACAAAGGACATGAACGCATACTTTTTATGGCTGCATAGTATTCCATGGTGTATATGTGCCACATTATCTTGGTCCAGTGTATTGTTGATGGGCATTTGGGTTGGTTCCAGGTCTTCGTTATTGTAAGCAGCGCTGCAATGAACATACATGTGCCTGTGTCTTTATAATAGAATGATTTTTGATTCTTTTGGTATATACCCGGTAGTGGGATTGCTGGGTCAAACGGAATTTCTACTTCCAGATCCTTGAGAAATCACCACACTCTCTTCCATAATGGTTGAACTAATGTCCCTCAATGATAGACTGGACAAAGAAAATGGGGTACATATACACCGTGGAATACTACTCAGACATAAAAACAGGATGAGTTTGTGTCCTTTATAGGCACTTGGTTGAATCCAGAAACCATCATTCTCAGCAAACTGACACAAGAATAGAAAGTCAAACACCATATGTTCTCACTCATAGGTGGGTGTTGAACAGTGAGAAGGCCTGGAGTCAGGGAGAGGAGCATGGCACACTGGGGACAGTTGAGGAGACTAGGGGAGAGAAAGTGGGTGGTGGGGAGGGTGGGGAGGGCAGAGAGGGATAGCATGGGGAGAAATGCCAGATATAGTATGCACCTAAATCAAAGTAAATACATTTTAAAAAATAAGAAACAAAGTATTTCCATGTGCAGTCGTACATTCCACTAACAACTAAAACTGACACACAGATTATTAGAGCTACAGTGTTACAAACAGGTTAGATCTCTGAAATGATCCACGATATACATCTAACAATGAGTGAAAATGGTGAGTTACCAATGTACGATTTGAGTTTCTTGGACCCTCTGCATGAAATGTGAACGTTAGGGATGCAGAGACCACAAGTGAAATTTACTTTTTAAAACCAGATGTACAGTTCTTAGAGGTCAAGTTACAAATGTAGCGCAAAAGATTAAACAGTCTTTTAAGTTTTAGTTGTGCATGTTTGCTTTTCTTTTAACCTGATTGGAATAGTCATAATTTGTACTTCTTGTTGATAAAGAAACCTGGACAGAGTTTATATTATAAATTCATTTTCTGTCTCCTTGGGCTGAGAGCACTTCAATTCTTGTGTGGGCCTTGATTTCATCCTGTAACATGTGAGAACATTAGGTTACATAAGGCAATTATTTCCTTTCTATATATTTCTGATGTTTCTCCAAGGTGTCACAAGCTGGCTCTGAAGATATTGCTGCATTTGGGAAGAACTGTGTCATTGTAATTAAAGCAGTTCTTACTTTACATGAAATACAGGTTTTTTAAGCTTATCTTTCTAAACCGCACACACATCCAAAGCACACCCAATGTACTGCCATGGCATGTTGAAACTTAAAAGGGTTGGACATATATTTTACTAACATCAAAAAGTCAATATTCTTAAAATATCTTACTGATTGATAAATAATCTTTTTTGGAGAACTGTGTGATAGATATTGCTGAGTCGATCAAACCAAGTAATAGTAAAAGATAAAAATTTACAAAGAAATGAGAGATGATAGGTACCGAAAGGTTTCTGAATGAATAGCAAACATGGGACATACTGTGTGTCACGGGAGAAGAGGATATGACTGCTTTGTGAAGAAATAATTTATACAAGTGAGTCAAATTTCTAGTTTTTCTGCATTCTAATTAATGACATAAAGTTAATTTTTAGATTTTTGAGATTTCACTTTTAATGGATTGACTATAGAAATTGTGATTGTAATCTACAATAGGAATATACAGGCTGCAGAGGAAAAAAGATTCTTGAATGAAAATGGAATTGTATATGCTTCTAAAATGTATAGTAGAGAAATGTTCTCATGAATGTGTCTCTTATTAACCTTTTATAGATCAAATGTTCCCATCAGAATCTAAACAAGAGGAAGATGAAAAAAATTCTTGGGATTCTGAGGTACTGTGTATTATTGATTTTTTCAAAAGTATTAGTATTGCCTGATGTGCAAACATAACCCCAGAGTCTTAGGTTTATTTTCTCACCTCTGCATATCTCACCCCAAAATTAGTCTTTCCGATATTTTTTAGAATATACTTTATGGAGAATCTATGTGCTAAGTAGGTTATTTCTTCATAGTAAAATTCTTCTCATCTGTAGGATTAAATTAAGAAGCCAATGAGGTATAGTATAAAAAATAAAGCTCAGGACTCACTAGGAATTCCCCTGGAATCTGCAGTAAATTTGTCTACAAACTAAAGAATTACAGTGAGTCCAGCTATGGGCAAATGTATGACATGGTATATCTCTATGTATAAAAGTTCTAATTGGATTCATAGAGAGACAGTTTAAACTGTAGTTTTGTAAAACTTGGGACCTGAAAACCTAATGCCTTGCAAATGGAAGTATGGAATTATTTTACTATTCAGTATAGATCTGAGGGAACATTTCAGGAGAAAGGAAAGCATGAGGAGTAGGAAACCCATGGGCTATAATAACAACAGTTTGGTTGGGCAGTATTTTAAAAAATAAAAATAATTTTTACAAATATAACCTTTTGAGGCCCTTTGTGGCTGTCAAGCTGCAGCAGCATAAGTGTCAAACAATAGCAATCTATTTTAAAGTCACAACTGTGAAATGACGGGGCAGGTATCTGACCTCTTAGAAATAAGAAGCTGCTGCATGGTGGTCACAGCAAAGGTTGGAAGTCAATAGAGAAGTCGATTTTATCTAATTTGTCATTAGACACGAAGACTTTAATACTTGTGCGCTTTCATTTAGAAATGACATGATGTTTTTCTTAGTGCATTTTCATTGTATTCAAGCCCTGTTCCTATAATTTTAAATTTTATCAGAAACTTTCTGATTATTTTCTGTTCCTGTTTACCTAAATAAAGCAGTTTTTTGAATTTTCTGTGCAGACATTATATGACAGACTCTGAAAGCTGTCTTAATGAAATGCATCATTTTTAACACTAAACAATTCTATAGTCATGAGTATTTTAAATGCTTAATGCAGTATGTGTTATGGTAAGTAGCAAGTGTTTTGTATTTTGTTCAAAGTGCCATATTTATTTTTGATGAGAACTGTAACGTAAGTTAGTTATTTTCAAGTGAGTTAGTTTGGAAATACGCACGAGTGAGTTTTCTTGGGAATGTGATTGATTTTTCCTGCTCAGGAACCAAGTTAACACCCACCTGAAGGTAAAGAAAAGCTTGATCTATACCCCGTTTATGAAGCTTTGCATCAAAATGTTTTGGTTTTTAATACATGTCTGCCCTTAAATCAAATTGCGTTTAAAGTAGGAAATTTTGCTTTAAAGATTGCCTTTTAATTAGGAAATTTTGATACTCTTAATTATTAGGATTTTTTACGTTGAACTTACTTATTGAAATTATTTTTAACAGAGTCTTCCTGAGAGTGTTCAAGAGAACCATGTGTGTTTACTCGATGCTACATATCAAAAAGAAATGAAGACAATAAATGAAAAATTAGAAGGTAAGAATCATTTCTTATTTAACAAGTCATTGGACCGAATATTTCTCTAAACTCATGAGGAAGGATACACACTAATAGCCAAAGGAAAGTACTACCTAAATGCCCAGCATGGAAAAGAGAGAAGTGAAACGGTGATACACGATACATCCTATCAGGTGTTGGCAACAGACTGTGTATTGAGAGTGCTGAAAAGGAGCTGAATAATTAGTTTGAATTCACGATATTCCAAGACCTGGGGAAAATCAGAAAATTAGAAAGAAGAAAGTGGTAAAAGAGGAAATAAAGTCTGAGAAAGACAAAGTACACGAAGAAACAGGAAGCAGGTTTATGTAATGAAGGATGGTAATTGAAATTATTCTTCAGAAAAAGATAGGGTACGGTTAGAAATTTAGGGAGAACATAAAGTGACTTTCTAGTGCCAAAATTTACCAGAGAATCACAGCATAAATACTCTGTCTCTTCCTGCCTTTCTCACTGGTAGGACGTCATTAGGGATGGAAGCACCTCACCATGAAGAACTGTGTTCTATTTACAGTAGGTGAAAAGAGGCATATATCCACAGCCACACATGTATATAATTGTCATCATATACAATCAGTGTAGCCCAGAAGTTTTTAAACTTAAGAAAAGCCGCTGGAAACCTTGTTAACAATTCACACTGTCAATCAGCAGACTTGGGATTCTGCATTTTCAGTAAGTTCTCATGCAACGCTGATGCTGCTGGTCCTTGGACCTTGCTCTGAGTGGCAAAAGTAGAAGCCTTCATGGGAAAAATGTGGAAGAAAAGCAATTGAAAGAAGGTCAAGGCATAACGGGGTCAAGAGAAAGCATTATATTGCTCTTATTTTCGAGTATGTTTTTAGCCAGAGGAGAAGGAGAAACATTCCCCTCCCTGTGCCCCTGTATGCCCTCTATTCAACACCCACCTGTGAGTAAGAACATGTGGTGTTTGGTTTTCTGTTCTTGTGTCACTTTGCTGAGATTGATGGTTTCCAGATTCATCCATGTCCCTACAAAGGACATGAACTCATTCTTTTTATGGCTGCATAGTATTCCATGGTGTATATGTGCCACATTATCTTGGTCCAGTGTATTGTTGATGGGCATTTGGGTTGGTTCCAGGTCTTCGTTATTGTAAGCAGCGCTGCAATGAACATACATGTGCCTGTGTCTTTATAATAGAATGATTTTTGATTCTTTTGGTATATACCCGGTAGTGGGATTGCTGGGTCAAACGGAATTTCTACTTCCAGATCCTTGAGAAATCACCACACTCTCTTCCATAATGGTTGAACTAATCTACACCACCACCAACAGTTTGAAACTGTCCCTTTTTGTCCATATCGCCTCCAGTATCTGTTGTCTTCAGATTTTTAAATGATCGCCATTCTAAGTGGCATGAGATGGTATCTCCATGTGGTTCTGATTTGCATTTTCCTGATGACCAGTGATGATAAGCATGTTTAAATATGTTTGTTGGCCTCATAAATGTCTTCCTTTGAAAAGGGTCTCTTCATATCTTTCATCCACTTTTGAATGGGTTATTTTTGTTTTTTGTTTGTTTGTTTGTTTGTTTTTGTACGTCTGTTTTAGTTCCTTTTAGATTCTGGATATTAGCCCACTGTCAGATAGGTATATGGTAAACAATTTTTCCCATGCTGTTGGTTGCTGTTTCACTCTGATGATTGCTTCTTTTTCTGTGCAGAAACTCTTAAGTTTAATTAGACCCCATTTGTGTATTTTGGCTTTTGTTGCCATTGCTTTTGGTGTTTCAGTCATGAAGCTCTTGCCTATGCCTATTTCCTGAATGATTTTGTCTAGGTACTCTTGTTGAGTTTTCATAGATTTAGGTCTTATGTATAAATCTTTGATGCATCTAGAGTTAATTTTAGTGTAAGATGTCAGGAAGGGGCCCACTTTCAGCTTTTTGCACATGGCTAGCCAGTTTTCCCAACAGCATTTATTAAATTGGGAATCATTTCTTCATTGCTTGTTTTTGTCAGGCTTGTCAAAGATCGGATGGTTGTAGGTATGTTGTGTTTCCTCCGAGGCCTCTGTCCCGTTTTGTTGGTTGATATGTCTGTTTTGGTACCAGTCCCATGCTGTTTTGATTACTGTAGCCTCGTAGTATAATTTGAAGTCCGGTAGTGTGATGTCTCCCGCTTTGTTCTATTTGCTTAGAATGGACTTGGCTATGCGGGCTCTTTTTTGGTGCCATATGAAGTATGAAAAAGAAAACTTCAGGCCAATATCCATGATGAACATCGATGCAAAAGTCTTCAGTAAAATACTGGTAAGTCGAATGCAACAGCACATCAAAGAGCTTATTCATCACAATCAAGTAGACTTCATCCCTGGGATGCAAGGCTGGTTCAACAGATGTAAATCCCCAAACGTAATCTATCACATAAACAGAACCAAAGGCAAAAACCACATGATCATCTCAATAGATGCAGAGAAGGCCTTCAAGGAAATTCAACAACCCTTTTTGCTAAAACCTTTCAATAAATGAGGTATCAATGGAACATATCTCAAAATAGTAAAAGCTACTTCTGACAAATCCACAGCCAATCTCATACTGAATGGGCAAAAACTGGATGCTTTCTTAATGAAAACTGGCACTAGGCAAGGATGCCCTCTCTCACCATTCCTATTCAGTATAGTATTGGAAGTTGTAGCCAGAGCAATCAGGCAAGAAAAAGAAATAAAGGGTATTCAATTAGGAAAAGAGGAAATCCGATTGTCAGTATTTGCAGACAACATGATTGTATATTTAGAAAACACCATCATCTCAGCCCAAAGTCTTCTTAAACTGATAGGCACCTCAGTAAAGTCTCAGCATACAAAATCATTGTGCAGAAGTCACAAGCATTTCTGTACGCCAATAACAGACAGACAGCCAAATCATGAGCAGACTCCTATTCACAATTGCTACAAAGAGAATTAAATACCTAGGAATACAACTGACAAAGGCTGTGAAGAACCTCTTCAAGGAGAACTACAAAATGCTGCTCAACACAATAAGAGAGGACAACAGAGATGGAAAAGCATTCTATGCTCATGGTTCGGAGGAATCAATATCGAGAAAATGGCCGTACTGCCCAAAGTAATCTATAGATAATTCAATGCTATCCCCATCAAGCTACCAATGACTTTCTCCACAGAACTGGAAAAAAACACCTAAACTTCATATGGAATCACAAAAGACCCCACATAGCCAGGACAATCCTAAGCAAAAGAACAAAGCCAGAGGCGTCACACTGCCAGACTTCAAACTATACTTCAAGGCTACTGTAATCAAAACAGCATGGGACTGATACCAAAACAGAACATAGACCAATGGAGCAGAACAGAGACCCAAGAAGAAACACCACACATCTACAACCATGTGATCTTTGCCAAACCCAACAAAAACAGGCAATGGAGAAAGGACTCCATGTTGCATAAGTGGTAATGGGAAAACTGGCTAGCAATGTGCAGAAAGCAGAAACTGGACCACTACCTGTCACCTTACACTAAAATTAATTCCAGATGGATCAAAGATTTAAACATAAAACCTGACACCATAAAAACACTAGAAGAAAACGTAGGCACAACCATCCAGGACATAGGCATAGGCAAGGACTTCATGACTAAAACACCAAAAGCAATGGCGATAAAAGCCAGGATACCCAAATGGGATCTAATGAAACTCCAGAGCTTCTGTACAACAAAAGAAACCATCATTAGAGTGAATCAGCAGCCAACAGAATGGGAAAAAATTTTGCAATCTACCCATCTGACAAAGGGCTAATATCCAGAAACTACAAAGAATTAAACAGATATACAAGAAAAAACAAACAACCCCATTCAAAACTGGGCAAAGGATACGAACAGACACTTTTCAAAAGAGGACATATATGAGGACAACAAACATATGAACTAATGTTCATCATCACGGGTCATTGGAGAAATGCAAATCAAAACCACACTGAGGTATCATCTCATGCCAGTTAGAATGCTGACCATTAGAAATTCTGGAGACAACAACAGATCCTGGAGAGGATGTGGAGAAATAGGAACACTCTTACACAGTTGGTGGGAGTGTTAATTAGTTCAATCATTGTGGAAGACAGTGTGGCGATTTCTCAAGGATCTAGAAATAGAAATTCCATTTGACCCAGCAATCCCACTACTGGGTATATACCCAAAGAAATATAAATTGTTCTACTATAAAGACACATGCACACGTATGTTCATTGCAGCCCTGTGTACAATAGCAAAGGCCTGGAACCAACCCAAGTGCCCATCAATGATAGACTGGACAAAGAAAATGGGGTACATATACACCGTGGAATACTACTCAGACATAAAAACAGGATGAGTTTGTGTCCTTTATAGGCACTTGGTTGAATCCAGAAACCATCATTCTCAGCAAACTGACACAAGAATAGAAAGTCAAACACCATATGTTCTCACTCATAGGTGGGTGTTGAACAGTGAGAAGGCCTGGAGTCAGGGAGAGGAGCATGGCACACTGGGGACAGTTGAGGAGACTAGGGGAGAGAAAGTGGGTGGTGGGGAGGGTGGGGAGGGCAGAGAGGGATAGCATGGGGAGAAATGCCAGATATAGTATGCACCTAAATCAAAGTAAATACATTTTAAAAAATAAGAAACAAAGTATTTCCATGTGCAGTCGTACATTCCACTAACAACTAAAACTGACACACAGATTATTAGAGCTACAGTGTTACAACAGGTTAGATCTCTGAAATGATCCACGATATACATCTAACAATGAGTGAAAATGGTGAGTTACCAATGTACGATTTGAGTTTCTTGGACCCTCTGCATGAAATGTGAACGTTAGGGATGCAGAGACCACAAGTGAAATTTACTTTTTAAAACCAGATGTACAGTTCTTAGAGGTCAAGTTACAAATGTAGCGCAAAAGATTAAACAGTCTTTTAAGTTTTAGTTGTGCATGTTTGCTTTTCTTTTAACCTGATTGGAATAGTCATAATTTGTACTTCTTGTTGATAAAGAAACCTGGACAGAGTTTATATTATAAATTCATTTTCTGTCTCCTTGGGCTGAGAGCACTTCAATTCTTGTGTGGGCCTTGATTTCATCCTGTAACATGTGAGAACATTAGGTTACATAAGGCAATTATTTCCTTTCTATATATTTCTGATGTTTCTCCAAGGTGTCACAAGCTGGCTCTGAAGATATTGCTGCATTTGGGAAGAACTGTGTCATTGTAATTAAAGCAGTTCTTACTTTACATGAAATACAGGTTTTTTAAGCTTATCTTTCTAAACCGCACACACATCCAAAGCACACCCAATGTACTGCCATGGCATGTTGAAACTTAAAAGGGTTGGACATATATTTTACTAACATCAAAAAGTCAATATTCTTAAAATATCTTACTGATTGATAAATAATCTTTTTTGGAGAACTGTGTGATAGATATTGCTGAGTCGATCAAACCAAGTAATAGTAAAAGATAAAAATTTACAAAGAAATGAGAGATGATAGGTACCGAAAGGTTTCTGAATGAATAGCAAACATGGGACATACTGTGTGTCACGGGAGAAGAGGATATGACTGCTTTGTGAAGAAATAATTTATACAAGTGAGTCAAATTTCTAGTTTTTCTGCATTCTAATTAATGACATAAAGTTAATTTTTAGATTTTTGAGATTTCACTTTTAATGGATTGACTATAGAAATTGTGATTGTAATCTACAATAGGAATATACAGGCTGCAGAGGAAAAAAGATTCTTGAATGAAAATGGAATTGTATATGCTTCTAAAATGTATAGTAGAGAAATGTTCTCATGAATGTGTCTCTTATTAACCTTTTATAGATCAAATGTTCCCATCAGAATCTAAACAAGAGGAAGATGAAAAAAATTCTTGGGATTCTGAGGTACTGTGTATTATTGATTTTTTCAAAAGTATTAGTATTGCCTGATGTGCAAACATAACCCCAGAGTCTTAGGTTTATTTTCTCACCTCTGCATATCTCACCCCAAAATTAGTCTTTCCGATATTTTTTAGAATATACTTTATGGAGAATCTATGTGCTAAGTAGGTTATTTCTTCATAGTAAAATTCTTCTCATCTGTAGGATTAAATTAAGAAGCCAATGAGGTATAGTATAAAAAATAAAGCTCAGGACTCACTAGGAATTCCCCTGGAATCTGCAGTAAATTTGTCTACAAACTAAAGAATTACAGTGAGTCCAGCTATGGGCAAATGTATGACATGGTATATCTCTATGTATAAAAGTTCTAATTGGATTCATAGAGAGACAGTTTAAACTGTAGTTTTGTAAAACTTGGGACCTGAAAACCTAATGCCTTGCAAATGGAAGTATGGAATTATTTTACTATTCAGTATAGATCTGAGGGAACATTTCAGGAGAAAGGAAAGCATGAGGAGTAGGAAACCCATGGGCTATAATAACAACAGTTTGGTTGGGCAGTATTTTAAAAAATAAAAATAATTTTTACAAATATAACCTTTTGAGGCCCTTTGTGGCTGTCAAGCTGCAGCAGCATAAGTGTCAAACAATAGCAATCTATTTTAAAGTCACAACTGTGAAATGACGGGGCAGGTATCTGACCTCTTAGAAATAAGAAGCTGCTGCATGGTGGTCACAGCAAAGGTTGGAAGTCAATAGAGAAGTCGATTTTATCTAATTTGTCATTAGACACGAAGACTTTAATACTTGTGCGCTTTCATTTAGAAATGACATGATGTTTTTCTTAGTGCATTTTCATTGTATTCAAGCCCTGTTCCTATAATTTTAAATTTTATCAGAAACTTTCTGATTATTTTCTGTTCCTGTTTACCTAAATAAAGCAGTTTTTTGAATTTTCTGTGCAGACATTATATGACAGACTCTGAAAGCTGTCTTAATGAAATGCATCATTTTTAACACTAAACAATTCTATAGTCATGAGTATTTTAAATGCTTAATGCAGTATGTGTTATGGTAAGTAGCAAGTGTTTTGTATTTTGTTCAAAGTGCCATATTTATTTTTGATGAGAACTGTAACGTAAGTTAGTTATTTTCAAGTGAGTTAGTTTGGAAATACGCACGAGTGAGTTTTCTTGGGAATGTGATTGATTTTTCCTGCTCAGGAACCAAGTTAACACCCACCTGAAGGTAAAGAAAAGCTTGATCTATACCCCGTTTATGAAGCTTTGCATCAAAATGTTTTGGTTTTTAATACATGTCTGCCCTTAAATCAAATTGCGTTTAAAGTAGGAAATTTTGCTTTAAAGATTGCCTTTTAATTAGGAAATTTTGATACTCTTAATTATTAGGATTTTTACGTTGAACTTACTTATTGAAATTATTTTTAACAGAGTCTTCCTGAGAGTGTTCAAGAGAACCATGTGTGTTTACTCGATGCTACATATCAAAAAGAAATGAAGACAATAAATGAAAAATTAGAAGGTAAGAATCATTTCTTATTTAACAAGTCATTGGACCGAATATTTCTCTAAACTCATGAGGAAGGATACACACTAATAGCCAAAGGAAAGTACTACCTAAATGCCCAGCATGGAAAAGAGAGAAGTGAAACGGTGATACACGATACATCCTATCAGGTGTTGGCAACAGACTGTGTATTGAGAGTGCTGAAAAGGAGCTGAATAATTAGTTTGAATTCACGATATTCCAAGACCTGGGGAAAATCAGAAAATTAGAAAGAAGAAAGTGGTAAAAGAGGAAATAAAGTCTGAGAAAGACAAAGTACACGAAGAAACAGGAAGCAGGTTTATGTAATGAAGGATGGTAATTGAAATTATTCTTCAGAAAAAGATAGGGTACGGTTAGAAATTTAGGGAGAACATAAAGTGACTTTCTAGTGCCAAAATTTACCAGAGAATCACAGCATAAATACTCTGTCTCTTCCTGCCTTTCTCACTGGTAGGACGTCATTAGGGATGGAAGCACCTCACCATGAAGAACTGTGTTCTATTTACAGTAGGTGAAAAGAGGCATATATCCACAGCCACACATGTATATAATTTGTCATCATATACAATCAGTGTAGCCCAGAAGTTTTTAAACTTAAGAAAAGCCGCTGGAAACCTTGTTAACAATTCACACTGTCAATCAGCAGACTTGGGATTCTGCATTTTCAGTAAGTTCTCATGCAACGCTGATGCTGCTGGTCCTTGGACCTTGCTCTGAGTGGCAAAAGTAGAAGCCTTCATGGGAAAAATGTGGAAGAAAAGCAATTGAAAGAAGGTCAAGGCATAACGGGGTCAAGAGAAAGCATTATATTGCTCTTATTTTCGAGTATGTTTTTAGCCAGAGGAGAAGGAGAAACATTCCCCTCCCTGTGCCCCTGTATGCCCTCTATTCAACACCCACCTGTGAGTAAGAACATGTGGTGTTTGGTTTTCTGTTCTTGTGTCACTTTGCTGAGATTGATGGTTTCCAGATTCATCCATGTCCCTACAAAGGACATGAACTCATTCTTTTTATGGCTGCATAGTATTCCATGGTGTATATGTGCCACATTATCTTGGTCCAGTGTATTGTTGATGGGCATTTGGGTTGGTTCCAGGTCTTCGTTATTGTAAGCAGCGCTGCAATGAACATACATGTGCCTGTGTCTTTATAATAGAATGATTTTTGATTCTTTTGGTATATACCCGGTAGTGGGATTGCTGGGTCAAACGGAATTTCTACTTCCAGATCCTTGAGAAATCACCACACTCTCTTCCATAATGGTTGAACTAATCTACACCACCACCAACAGTTTGAAACTGTCCCTTTTTGTCCATATCGCCTCCAGTATCTGTTGTCTTCAGATTTTTAAATGATCGCCATTCTAAGTGGCATGAGATGGTATCTCCATGTGGTTCTGATTTGCATTTTCCTGATGACCAGTGATGATAAGCATGTTTAAATATGTTTGTTGGCCTCATAAATGTCTTCCTTTGAAAAGGGTCTCTTCATATCTTTCATCCACTTTTGAATGGGTTATTTTTGTTTTTTGTTTGTTTGTTTGTTTGTTTTTGTACGTCTGTTTTAGTTCCTTTTAGATTCTGGATATTAGCCCACTGTCAGATAGGTATATGGTAAACAATTTTTCCCATGCTGTTGGTTGCTGTTTCACTCTGATGATTGCTTCTTTTTCTGTGCAGAAACTCTTAAGTTTAATTAGACCCCATTTGTGTATTTTGGCTTTTGTTGCCATTGCTTTTGGTGTTTCAGTCATGAAGCTCTTGCCTATGCCTATTTCCTGAATGATTTTGTCTAGGTACTCTTGTTGAGTTTTCATAGATTTAGGTCTTATGTATAAATCTTTGATGCATCTAGAGTTAATTTTAGTGTAAGATGTCAGGAAGGGGCCCACTTTCAGCTTTTTGCACATGGCTAGCCAGTTTTCCCAACAGCATTTATTAAATTGGGAATCATTTCTTCATTGCTTGTTTTTGTCAGGCTTGTCAAAGATCGGATGGTTGTAGGTATGTTGTGTTTCCTCCGAGGCCTCTGTCCCGTTTTGTTGGTTGATATGTCTGTTTTGGTACCAGTCCCATGCTGTTTTGATTACTGTAGCCTCGTAGTATAATTTGAAGTCCGGTAGTGTGATGTCTCCCGCTTTGTTCTATTTGCTTAGAATGGACTTGGCTATGCGGGCTCTTTTTTGGTGCCATATGAAGTATGAAAAAGAAAACTTCAGGCCAATATCCATGATGAACATCGATGCAAAAGTCTTCAGTAAAATACTGGTAAGTCGAATGCAACAGCACATCAAAGAGCTTATTCATCACAATCAAGTAGACTTCATCCCTGGGATGCAAGGCTGGTTCAACAGATGTAAATCCCCAAACGTAATCTATCACATAAACAGAACCAAAGGCAAAAACCACATGATCATCTCAATAGATGCAGAGAAGGCCTTCAAGGAAATTCAACAACCCTTTTTGCTAAAACCTTTCAATAAATGAGGTATCAATGGAACATATCTCAAAATAGTAAAAGCTACTTCTGACAAATCCACAGCCAATCTCATACTGAATGGGCAAAAACTGGATGCTTTCTTAATGAAAACTGGCACTAGGCAAGGATGCCCTCTCTCACCATTCCTATTCAGTATAGTATTGGAAGTTGTAGCCAGAGCAATCAGGCAAGAAAAAGAAATAAAGGGTATTCAATTAGGAAAAGAGGAAATCCGATTGTCAGTATTTGCAGACAACATGATTGTATATTTAGAAAACACCATCATCTCAGCCCAAAGTCTTCTTAAACTGATAGGCACCTCAGTAAAGTCTCAGCATACAAAATCATTGTGCAGAAGTCACAAGCATTTCTGTACGCCAATAACAGACAGACAGCCAAATCATGAGCAGACTCCTATTCACAATTGCTACAAAGAGAATTAAATACCTAGGAATACAACTGACAAAGGCTGTGAAGAACCTCTTCAAGGAGAACTACAAAATGCTGCTCAACACAATAAGAGAGGACAACAGAGATGGAAAAGCATTCTATGCTCATGGTTCGGAGGAATCAATATCGAGAAAATGGCCGTACTGCCCAAAGTAATCTATAGATAATTCAATGCTATCCCCATCAAGCTACCAATGACTTTCTCCACAGAACTGGAAAAAAACACCTAAACTTCATATGGAATCACAAAAGACCCCACATAGCCAGGACAATCCTAAGCAAAAGAACAAAGCCAGAGGCGTCACACTGCCAGACTTCAAACTATACTTCAAGGCTACTGTAATCAAAACAGCATGGGACTGATACCAAAACAGAACATAGACCAATGGAGCAGAACAGAGACCCAAGAAGAAACACCACACATCTACAACCATGTGATCTTTGCCAAACCCAACAAAAACAGGCAATGGAGAAAGGACTCCATGTTGCATAAGTGGTAATGGGAAAACTGGCTAGCAATGTGCAGAAAGCAGAAACTGGACCACTACCTGTCACCTTACACTAAAATTAATTCCAGATGGATCAAAGATTTAAACATAAAACCTGACACCATAAAAACACTAGAAGAAAACGTAGGCACAACCATCCAGGACATAGGCATAGGCAAGGACTTCATGACTAAAACACCAAAAGCAATGGCGATAAAAGCCAGGATACCCAAATGGGATCTAATGAAACTCCAGAGCTTCTGTACAACAAAAGAAACCATCATTAGAGTGAATCAGCAGCCAACAGAATGGGAAAAAATTTTGCAATCTACCCATCTGACAAAGGGCTAATATCCAGAAACTACAAAGAATTAAACAGATATACAAGAAAAAACAAACAACCCCATTCAAAACTGGGCAAAGGATACGAACAGACACTTTTCAAAAGAGGACATATATGAGGACAACAAACATATGAACTAATGTTCATCATCACGGGTCATTGGAGAAATGCAAATCAAAACCACACTGAGGTATCATCTCATGCCAGTTAGAATGCTGACCATTAGAAATTCTGGAGACAACAACAGATCCTGGAGAGGATGTGGAGAAATAGGAACACTCTTACACAGTTGGTGGGAGTGTTAATTAGTTCAATCATTGTGGAAGACAGTGTGGCGATTTCTCAAGGATCTAGAAATAGAAATTCCATTTGACCCAGCAATCCCACTACTGGGTATATACCCAAAGAAATATAAATTGTTCTACTATAAAGACACATGCACACGTATGTTCATTGCAGCCCTGTGTACAATAGCAAAGGCCTGGAACCAACCCAAGTGCCCATCAATGATAGACTGGACAAAGAAAATGGGGTACATATACACCGTGGAATACTACTCAGACATAAAAACAGGATGAGTTTGTGTCCTTTATAGGCACTTGGTTGAATCCAGAAACCATCATTCTCAGCAAACTGACACAAGAATAGAAAGTCAAACACCATATGTTCTCACTCATAGGTGGGTGTTGAACAGTGAGAAGGCCTGGAGTCAGGGAGAGGAGCATGGCACACTGGGGACAGTTGAGGAGACTAGGGGAGAGAAAGTGGGTGGTGGGGAGGGTGGGGAGGGCAGAGAGGGATAGCATGGGGAGAAATGCCAGATATAGTATGCACCTAAATCAAAGTAAATACATTTTAAAAAATAAGAAACAAAGTATTTCCATGTGCAGTCGTACATTCCACTAACAACTAAAACTGACACACAGATTATTAGAGCTACAGTGTTACAACAGGTTAGATCTCTGAAATGATCCACGATATACATCTAACAATGAGTGAAAATGGTGAGTTACCAATGTACGATTTGAGTTTCTTGGACCCTCTGCATGAAATGTGAACGTTAGGGATGCAGAGACCACAAGTGAAATTTACTTTTTAAAACCAGATGTACAGTTCTTAGAGGTCAAGTTACAAATGTAGCGCAAAAGATTAAACAGTCTTTTAAGTTTTAGTTGTGCATGTTTGCTTTTCTTTTAACCTGATTGGAATAGTCATAATTTGTACTTCTTGTTGATAAAGAAACCTGGACAGAGTTTATATTATAAATTCATTTTCTGTCTCCTTGGGCTGAGAGCACTTCAATTCTTGTGTGGGCCTTGATTTCATCCTGTAACATGTGAGAACATTAGGTTACATAAGGCAATTATTTCCTTTCTATATATTTCTGATGTTTCTCCAAGGTGTCACAAGCTGGCTCTGAAGATATTGCTGCATTTGGGAAGAACTGTGTCATTGTAATTAAAGCAGTTCTTACTTTACATGAAATACAGGTTTTTTAAGCTTATCTTTCTAAACCGCACACACATCCAAAGCACACCCAATGTACTGCCATGGCATGTTGAAACTTAAAAGGGTTGGACATATATTTTACTAACATCAAAAAGTCAATATTCTTAAAATATCTTACTGATTGATAAATAATCTTTTTGGAGAACTGTGTGATAGATATTGCTGAGTCGATCAAACCAAGTAATAGTAAAAGATAAAAATTTACAAAGAAATGAGAGATGATAGGTACCGAAAGGTTTCTGAATGAATAGCAAACATGGGACATACTGTGTGTCACGGGAGAAGAGGATATGACTGCTTTGTGAAGAAATAATTTATACAAGTGAGTCAAATTTCTAGTTTTTCTGCATTCTAATTAATGACATAAAGTTAATTTTTAGATTTTTGAGATTTCACTTTTAATGGATTGACTATAGAAATTGTGATTGTAATCTACAATAGGAATATACAGGCTGCAGAGGAAAAAAGATTCTTGAATGAAAATGGAATTGTATATGCTTCTAAAATGTATAGTAGAGAAATGTTCTCATGAATGTGTCTCTTATTAACCTTTTATAGATCAAATGTTCCCATCAGAATCTAAACAAGAGGAAGATGAAAAAAATTCTTGGGATTCTGAGGTACTGTGTATTATTGATTTTTTCAAAAGTATTAGTATTGCCTGATGTGCAAACATAACCCCAGAGTCTTAGGTTTATTTTCTCACCTCTGCATATCTCACCCCAAAATTAGTCTTTCCGATATTTTTTAGAATATACTTTATGGAGAATCTATGTGCTAAGTAGGTTATTTCTTCATAGTAAAATTCTTCTCATCTGTAGGATTAAATTAAGAAGCCAATGAGGTATAGTATAAAAAATAAAGCTCAGGACTCACTAGGAATTCCCCTGGAATCTGCAGTAAATTTGTCTACAAACTAAAGAATTACAGTGAGTCCAGCTATGGGCAAATGTATGACATGGTATATCTCTATGTATAAAAGTTCTAATTGGATTCATAGAGAGACAGTTTAAACTGTAGTTTTGTAAAACTTGGGACCTGAAAACCTAATGCCTTGCAAATGGAAGTATGGAATTATTTTACTATTCAGTATAGATCTGAGGGAACATTTCAGGAGAAAGGAAAGCATGAGGAGTAGGAAACCCATGGGCTATAATAACAACAGTTTGGTTGGGCAGTATTTTAAAAAATAAAAATAATTTTTACAAATATAACCTTTTGAGGCCCTTTGTGGCTGTCAAGCTGCAGCAGCATAAGTGTCAAACAATAGCAATCTATTTTAAAGTCACAACTGTGAAATGACGGGGCAGGTATCTGACCTCTTAGAAATAAGAAGCTGCTGCATGGTGGTCACAGCAAAGGTTGGAAGTCAATAGAGAAGTCGATTTTATCTAATTTGTCATTAGACACGAAGACTTTAATACTTGTGCGCTTTCATTTAGAAATGACATGATGTTTTTCTTAGTGCATTTTCATTGTATTCAAGCCCTGTTCCTATAATTTTAAATTTTATCAGAAACTTTCTGATTATTTTCTGTTCCTGTTTACCTAAATAAAGCAGTTTTTTGAATTTTCTGTGCAGACATTATATGACAGACTCTGAAAGCTGTCTTAATGAAATGCATCATTTTTAACACTAAACAATTCTATAGTCATGAGTATTTTAAATGCTTAATGCAGTATGTGTTATGGTAAGTAGCAAGTGTTTTGTATTTTGTTCAAAGTGCCATATTTATTTTTGATGAGAACTGTAACGTAAGTTAGTTATTTTCAAGTGAGTTAGTTTGGAAATACGCACGAGTGAGTTTTCTTGGGAATGTGATTGATTTTTCCTGCTCAGGAACCAAGTTAACACCCACCTGAAGGTAAAGAAAAGCTTGATCTATACCCCGTTTATGAAGCTTTGCATCAAAATGTTTTGGTTTTTAATACATGTCTGCCCTTAAATCAAATTGCGTTTAAAGTAGGAAATTTTGCTTTAAAGATTGCCTTTTAATTAGGAAATTTTGATACTCTTAATTATTAGGATTTTTAAATTGAACTTATTTATTGAAATTATTTTTAACAGAGTCTTCCTGAGAGTGTTCAAGAGAACCATGTGTGTTTACTCGATGCTACATATCAAAAAGAAATGAAGACAATAAATGAAAAATTAGAAGGTAAGAATCATTTCTTATTTAACAAGTCATTGGACCGAATATTTCTCTAAACTCATGAGGAAGGATACACACTAATAGCCAAAGGAAAGTACTACCTAAATGCCCAGCATGGAAAAGAGAGAAGTGAAACGGTGATACACGATACATCCTATCAGGTGTTGGCAACAGACTGTGTATTGAGAGTGCTGAAAAGGAGCTGAATAATTAGTTTGAATTCACGATATTCCAAGACCTGGGGAAAATCAGAAAATTAGAAAGAAGGAAGTGGTAAAAGAGGAAATAAAGTCTGAGAAAGACAAAGTACACGAAGAAACAGGAAGCAGGTTTATGTAATGAAGGATGGTAATTGAAATTATTCTTCAGAAAAAGATAGGGTACGGTTAGAAATTTAGGGAGAACATAAAGTGACTTTCTAGTGCCAAAATTTACCAGAGAATCACAGCATAAATACTCTGTCTCTTCCTGCCTTTCTCACTGGTAGGACGTCATTAGGGATGGAAGCACCTCACCATGAAGAACTGTGTTCTATTTACAGTAGGTGAAAAGAGGCATATATCCACAGCCACACATGTATATAATTTGTCATCATATACAATCAGTGTAGCCCAGAAGTTTTTAAACTTAAGAAAAGCCGCTGGAAACCTTGTTAACAATTCACACTGTCAATCAGCAGACTTGGGATTCTGCATTTTCAGTAAGTTCTCATGCAACGCTGATGCTGCTGGTCCTTGGACCTTGCTCTGAGTGGCAAAAGTAGAAGCCTTCATGGGAAAAATGTGGAAGAAAAGCAATTGAAAGAAGGTCAAGGCATAACGGGGTCAAGAGAAAGCATTATATTGCTCTTATTTTCGAGTATGTTTTTTAGCCAGAGGAGAAGGAGAAACATTCCCCTCCCTGTGCCCCTGGATGCCCTCTATTCAACACCCACCTGCGAGTTAAAACATGTGGTGTTTGGTTTTCTGTTCTTGTGTCACTTTGCTGAGATTGATGGTTTCCAGATTCATCCATGTCCCTACAAAGACATGAACTCATTCTTTTTATGGCTGCATAGTATTCCATGGTGTATATGTGCCACATTATCTTGGTCCAGTGTATTGTTGATGGACATGTGGGTTGGTTCCAGGTCTTCGTTATTGTAAGCAGTGCTGCAATGAACATACATGTGCCTGTGTCTTTATAATAGAATGATTTTTGATTCTTTCGGTATATACCCGGTAGTGGGATTGCTGGTTCAAATGGAATTTCTATTTCCAGATCTTTGAGAAATCACCACACTCTCTTCCATAATGTTTGAACTAATCTACACTACCACCAACAATTTGAAACTGTCCCTTTTTGTCCATATCGCCTCCAGTATCTGTTGTCTCCAGATTTTTCAGTGATCAATATTCTAAGTTTTATGAGATTGTATTTCCAAGTGGTTTTAATTTGCATTTTCCTGATGACCAGTGATGATAAGCATTTTTAAATATGTTTTTTGGCCTCATAAATGTCTTCTTTTGAAAAGTTTCTATTCTTATCTTTCACCCACTTTTGAATGGGTGTTTCATCTTTGTACATCTAGTTTAGTTCGTTTTAGATTCTGGATATTAGCCCTTTGTCAGATAGGTGTATCGTAAACAATTTTTCCCATGCTGTTGGTTGCTGTTTCACTCTGATGATTGCTTTCTTTTGTGCAGAAACTCTTAAGTTTAGCTGGATCCTATTTCTGTATTTTGGCTTTTGTTGCCATTGCTTTTGGTGTTTCAGTCATGAAGCTCTTCCCTATGCCTATGTCCTGAATGGTTTTGTCTAAGTATTCTTCTAGAGGTTTTATGGTTTTAGGCCTTAGGTATAAATCTTTAACTCATCTAGAGTTAATTTTAGTGTAAAATGTCAGGGAGAGGTCCACTTTCAGCTTTGTGCACATGGCTAGCCAGTTTTCAGACACCATTTATTAAATTGGGAATCATTTCCCCATTGCTTGTTTTTGTCAGGTTTGTCAAAGATCGGATGATTGTAGGTATGGTGTGCTGTCTCCGAGGCATCTGCTCCATTCCATTGCTCTGTATCTCTGTTTTGCTGCCAGTCCGATGCTGTTTGGATTACTGCAGCCTCATAGTATAATTTGAAGTCCAGTAGTGTGACGTTTCCCGCCTTGTTCTATTTGCATAGAATTGACTTGGCTATGCGGGCTCTTTTTTGGTTCCATATGAAGTATAAAATAGATAACTTCAGGCCAATATTCATGATGAACATCGATGCAAAAGTCTTCAGTAAAATCCTGGTAAATCGAATGCAACAGCACATCAAAGAGCTTATTCATCACAATCAAGTAGACTTCATCCCTGGGATGTAAGGCTGGTTCAACAGATGTAAATCTCCAAACGTAATCTATCACATAAACAGAACCAAAGACAAAAACCCCATGATCTTCTCAACACATGCAGAAAAGGCCTTCAACGAAATTCAACATAACTTTCTGCTAAAACCTCTCAATAAATGAGGTATTGATAGAACATCTCTCAAATTAGTAAAGGTATTTCCGACAAATCCACAGCCAATATCATATTGAATGGGCAAAAACTGGAAGCTTTCCCAATGAAAACTGGCACTAGGCAAGGATGCCCTCTCTCACCATTCCTATTCAGTATAGTATTGGAAGTTGTAGCCAGAGCAATCAGGCAAGAAAAAGAAATAAAGGGTATTCAATTAGGAAAAGAGGAAATCAGATTGTCTGTGTTTGCAGACAACATGATTGTATATTTAGAAAACACCATAGTCTCAGCCCAAAAATCTCCTTAAGCTGATAAGCAACTTAGTAAAGTTTCAGGATACAAAATCATTTTGCAGAAATTACAAGCATTTCTATACACCAATAACAGACAAACAGAGAGCCAAATCATGAGCAAACTCCCATTCACAATTGCTACAAAGAGAATTAAATAGCTAGGAATACTACTAAAAAAGGATATGGAGAACCTCTTCAAGGAGAACTACAAACTGCTGCTAAAGGCAATAAGAGAGGACACAGATAGGAAAACTTTCCATACTCATGGTTAGGAAGAATTAATAACGTGAAAATGGCCATACTGCCCAAAGTAATCTATAGATAGAATCAAAGCTATCCTCATCAAGCTACCAATGAGTTTCTTCACAGAACTGGGAAAAAACCACTTTAAACTTCAAATGGAATCACAAAAGACCCCAGATAGCCAAGACAATCCTAAGCAAAAAGAACAAAGCCGGAGGCGTCACACTGCCAGACTTCAATCTATACTGCAAGGCTGCAATAATCAAAACAGCATGGGACTGATACCTAAACAGAACATAGACCAATGGAGCAGAACAGAGACCCAAGAAGAAACACCACACATCTACAACCATGTGATCTTTGACACACCCGTCAATAACAAGGAATGGGGAAAGGACTCCATGTTTAATAAATGGTGTTGGAAAAAGTGGCTACCAATGTGCAGAAAGCAGAAACTGGACCCCTACCTGTCACCTTACACTAATATTAGCTCCAGATGAATCAAAGATTTAAACCTAAAACCTGGCCGGGCACAGTGGCTCACGCCTGTAATCCCAGCAATTTGGGAGGCCGAGGTGAGTGTATTACGAGGTCAAGAGATCAAGACCATCCTGGTCAACATGGTGAAACCCCGTCTCTACTAAAAATACAAAGAATTAGCTGGGCATGGTGTCACACACCTGTAATTCCAGCTACTCAGGAGGCTGAGGTAGGAGAATTTCCTGAACCCAGGAGGCGGAGGTTGTCATGAGCCGAGATCGCACCACTACACTCCACTTTAGGTACCAAGAACTAAACTCCATCTCAAAGAAACAAACAAACATAAAACCTAACACCATAAAAACACTAGAAGAAAACGTAGGCAAAACCATCCAGGACATAGGCATGGGCAAGGACTTCATGACTAAAACACCAAAAGCAATGGCAATAAAAGCCAGGATACCCAAATGAGATCTAATGAAACTCCAGAGCTTCTGTACAACAAAAGAAACCGTCATTAGAGTGAATCAGCAGCCAACAGAATGGGAAAAAATTTTGCAATCTACCCATCTGACAAAGGGCTAATATCCAGAAACTGCAAAGGATTAAACAGATATACAAGAAAAAACAAACAACCCCATTCAAACCTGGGCAAAGGATACAAACAGACACTTTTCAAAAGAGGACATATATGAGGACAACAAACATATGAGAAAATGTTCATCATCACGGGTCATTAGAGAAATGCAAATCAAAACCACACTGAGATATCATCTCATGCCAGTTAGAATGGTGATTATTAGAAAACCTGGAGACAGCAACAGATCCTGCAGAGGATGTGGAGAAATAGGAACACTCTTACACAGTTGGTGGGAGTGTTAATTAGTTCAATCATTGTGGAAGACAGTGTGGCGATTTCTCAAGGATCTAGAAATAGAAATTCCATTTGACCCAGCAATCCCACTACTGGGTATATACCCAAAGAAATATAAATTGTTCTACTATAAAGACACATGCACACGTATGTTCATTGCAGCCCCGTGTACAATAGCAAAGGCCTGGAACCAACCCAAGTGCCCATCAATGATAGACTGGACAAAGAAAATGGGGTACATATACACCGTGGAATACTACTCAGACATAAAAACAGGATGAGTTTGTGTCCTTTATAGGCACTTGGTTGAATCCAGAAACCATCGTTCTCAGCAAACTGACACAAGAATAGAAAGTCAAACACCATATGTTCTCACTCATAGGTGGGTGTTGAACAATGAGAAGGCCTGGAGTCAGGGAGAGGAGCATGGCACACTGGGGACAGTTGAGGAGACTAGGGGAGAGAAAGTGGGTGGTGGGGTGGGGGGGGAGGGCAGAGAGGGACAGCATGGGGAGAAATGCCAGATGTAGTATGCACCTTAATCAAAGTAAATACATTTTAAAAAATAAGAAATAAAGTTTTTTTATGTGAAATTGTACATTCCACTAACAACTAGAACTGACCCACAGATTATTAGAGCTACAGTGTTACAACAGATTAGATCTCTGAAATGATTCACAGTATATTTCTAATAATGAGTGAAAATGGTGAGTTACCAATGTACGATTTGAGTTTCTTGGACCCTCTGCATGACATGTGAACTTTAGGGATGCAGAGATCACAAGTGAAATTTACTTTTCAAACCAGATGTACAGTTTTTAGATGTGAAATGACAAATGTACCATTAATGAATAAACAGTCTTTTAAGACTTAGGTGTGCCTGTTTGTTTTTCTTTTAACCTGATTGGAATAGTCATAATTTTTACTTCTTGTTGATAAAGAAAACTGGACAGAATTTTTATTATAAATTTATTTTCTGTCTCTTTGGACTGAGAGCACTTCAATTTTTGTGTGGGTTTTGATTTAATCCCATAACACCTGAGAACACTAGGTTACATAATGCAATCATTTCTTTTCTCTATATTTCTGATGTCTCTCCAAGGTGTCACAAGCTGACTCTGAAGATATTGTTGCATTTTGCAAGAATTATGTCATTGTAATTAAAGCAGTTCTTACTTTACATGAAATACAAGTTTTTTAAGCTTATCTTTCTAAAACGTACACACATCCAAAGCACACCCAATGTACTGCCATGGCATGTTGAAATTTAAAAGGGTTGGACATATATTTTACTAACATCAAAAAGTCAATATTCTTAAAAAATCTTACTGAGTGATAAATAATCTTTTTTGGAGAACTGTGTGATAGAGATTGCTGAGTCGATCAAACTAAGTAATAGTAAAAGATAAAAATCTACAAAGAAATGAGAGACGATAGGTATTGAAAGGTTTCTGAATGAATAGCAAACATGGGACATACTGTGTTTCACGGGAGAAGAGGATATGACTGCTTTGTGAAGAAATAATTTATACAAGTGAGTCAAATTTCTAGTTTTTCTGCATTCTAATTAATGACATAAAGTTAATTTTTAGATTATTGAGATTTCACTTCTAATGGATTGACTATAGAACTTGTGATTGTAATCTACAAAAAGAATCTACAGGCTACAGAGGAAAGAAGATTCTTGAATGAAAATAGAGTTGTATATGCTTATAAAATTTATAGTAGAGAAATGTTCTCATGAATGTGTCTCTTACTAACGTTTTATAGATCAAATGTTCCCATCAGAATCTAAACAAGAGGAAGATGAAAAAAATTCTTGGGATTCTGAGGTACTGTGTATTACTGATTTTTTCAAAAGTATTAGTATTGCCTGATGTGCAAACATAACACCAGAGGCTTGGATTTACTTTCTCACCTCTGCATATCTCACCCCAAAATTAGTCCTTCCGATATTTTATAGAATATACTTTATAGAGAATCTATGTGCTAAGTATATTATTTCTTCATAGTGAAATTCTGCTCATCTGTAGGATTAAATTAAGAAGCCAATGAGGTATAGTATAAAAAATAAGGCTTCGGACTCACTAGGAATTCACCTGGAATCTGCAGTAAATTTGTCTACAAACTAAAGAATTACAGTGAGTCCAGCTATGGGCAAATGTATGATATGGTATATCTCTATGTATAAAAGTTCTAATTGGATTGATAGAGAGACAGTTTAAACTGTAGTTTTGTAAAACTTGGGACCTGAAAACATAATGCCTGGCAAATGGAAGTATGGAATTATTTTACTATTCAGTATAGATCTGCGGGAACATTTCAGGAGAAAGGAAAGCATGAGGAAAAGGAAACCCATGGGCTATAATAACAACAGTTTGGTTGGGCAGTATTTTAAAAAATAAAAATAATTTTTACAAATATAACCTTTTGAGGCCCTTTGTGGCTGTCATGCTGCAGCAGCATAAGTGTCAAACAATAGCTACCTATTTTAAAGTAACAACTGTGGAATGATGGGGCAGGTATCTGACCTCTCAGAAAGGAGAAGCTGCTGCATGGTGTTCACAGCAAAGGTTGGAAGTCAGTAGACAAATCGGTTTCATCTGATTTGTCGTTAGACAGGAAGATTTTAATACTTGTGTGCTTTCATTTAGAAATGACATGATGTTTTTCTTACTGCATTTTCAGTTAATTCGAGCACTGTTTCTATAATTGTAAATTTTATCAGAAACTTTCTGATTATATTTAGCCCCTGTTTACCTAAATGAAGGAGTTTTTTGAATTTTCTGTGCAGACATTATATGACAGACTCTGAAAGTTGTCTTCATGACATGCATCATTTTTAACACTAAACAATTCTATAGTGATGAGTATTTTAAATTTTTAATGCAGTATGTGTTATGGTAAGTAGCAAGTGTTTTGTATTTTGTTCAAAGTGCTATATTTATTTTTGATGAGAACTGCAACATAAGTTAGGCATTTTCAAGTGAGTTAGTTTTAGAAATACGCACAAGTGAGTTTTTTTTTTTTTGAATGTGATTGATTTTTGCTGCTCAGGAACCAAGTTAATACCCACATGAAGGTAAAGAAAGGCTTGATCTAGAGCACGTGTATGAAGGTTTCCATCAAAATATTTCAGTTTTCAATACATGTCTGCCCTTAAATCAAATTGCTTTTCAAGTAGGAAATATTGCTTTAAAAATTGCCTTTTAATTAGGAAATTTTGATGCTTTTAATTATTAGGATTTTTAAATTGAACTTATTTATTGATATTATTTTTAACAGAGTCTTTCTGAGAGTGTTCAACAGAAGTATGTGTGTTTACCCGATGCTGCATATCAAAAAGAAATCAAGACAATAAATGGAAAAATGGAAGGTAAGAGTCCTTTTGTTTTCAAGAAGTCATTTGACTGCATATTTCTCTTAACCCATGAGGAAGCATACACACTAATAACCAAAGAAAAGTACCTTTTAAATACCCAGCATGAAAAAGAAAGAAGTGAAATGGTGATAATTGATACATTTTATCAGTTGTTTTCAAAAAGATATTCCAAGACCTGGGGAAAATCAGAAAATTAGAGAGAAGATTGCAGTAAAAGAGGAAATAAAGTCTGAGAAAGACAAAGTACCTAAAAAACAGGAAGCAGGTTTGTAGAGTTTCTGCCGAGAGATCTGCTGTGAGTCTGATGGGCTTTCCTTTATGGGTGACCCGACCTTTCTCTCTGGCTGTCCTTAGAATTTTCTCCTTCATTTCAACCCTGTTGAATCTGACGATTATGTGCCTTGGGGTTGCTCTTCTTGCGGAGTATCTTTGTGGTGTTCTGTGTATTTCCTGAATTTGAGTGTTGGCCTGCCTTGCTAGGTTGGGGAAATTTTCCTGGATAATATCCTGAAGAGTATTTTCCAGCTTGGATTCATTCTCTTTGTTACATTCTGGTACACCTATCAAACATAGGTTAGGTCTCTTCACATAGTTCCACATTTCTTGGTGACTTTGTTTATTTCTTTTTGCGTTTTTTTTTTTCTAATCTTGGTTTCTTGTTTTATTTCATTAAGTTGATCTTCAACTTCTGATATTCTTTCTTCTGCTTGGTCAAATCAGCTGTTGAAACTTGTGCATTCTTCGTGAAGTTCTCATGTTGTGTTTTTCTGCTCTTTCAATTCATTCATATTCCTCTCTAAGTTATCCATTCTTGTTATCATTTCCTCGAATCTTTTTTCAAATCTTTTTTCAAGGTTCTTAGTTTCTTTGCATTAATTTAGAACATGTTCTTTTAGCTCACAAATGTTTCTCATTACCCACCTTCTGAAGTCTGATTCTGTCATTTCATCACAGTCATTCTCTGTCCAGCTTTGTTCCCTTGCTGGTGAGGAGTTTTGGTCCTTTGTAGGAGGCGAAGTGTTCTGGTTTCCAGTGTTTTCCTCCTTTTTGCGCTGGTTTCTTCCCATCTTTGTGGTTTTATCCACCTGTCATCTGAGTAGTTGCTGACTTTTTGATTGGGTCTCTGAGTGGACGCCCAGATTGTTGATGATGAGGTATTTCTGTTACTTGGTTTTCCTTCTACCAGTCTAGCCCCTAAGCTGTACAACTTCTGAGGTCCTCACCAGGCCCTGCTTCTCTGGTGTACCCCTGTAGCAGCTGCAGAATGGGGAGGGATACTACCAGTTTCTTCTTCTGCTATCTTTGTCCCAGAATGATGCCTGCCTAATGTCAGTCTGATCAGTCTTTTTTGAGGTGACTCTGGATATACAGGGCTCAGGGTGCTGCTTGAGGAGACGGTCTGTACTTTATAGTAGCTCAAGTGCTGAGCTGTGAGCTCCGTTGTTCATTCAGGGCTGTAAATCAGGTGCGTTTAAGTCTGCTGCAGCAGAACTCTTAAAACCCCTTTTTTTCCTCAGATGCTCTATCTCAGGGGATTGGGGCTTTTTAAATGAGTGTCCATTGCGCTATCCTGTCCTGCTAGGAGTCAGTCTAGTCACTATTTGCCTGCTGAGGCTCCACCCTGCTGATGTGGCATCCACCCTGTTGCTGCGGGTTCTGCCCTGAAGCCGTGGGCTCTGCTGCAGGCTCCGCCCTGCAGCGGAGTCTCTCTGTTATGGTGGGTTGCCTTGGCAATGGCAGGCTGCATCAGCAATGGGAGTGTACCTCAGTAGGGGCGGATTGCCTCGGTAATGGTGAATGCCCCTCCCCCACCGAGCTGCACTGTCCTGGGTTCAGCTGTGTCCGAAGTGAAACTCTCCACCCGGAGCGTTTTGTATTGCCGTTTTGTTTGTTCCTGTGGGGGTGAAACCCACCGAGCCCGCTCGCCTGACTCCTTGCCTCAGAGTGCCTTTCTTTTTTTTTTTTTTTCCTTAAGTTGAATAGATGGCTCTCACCCAGGTGTTTCAGTCACCTGCTGTTAGAGCACCGGGATCTGTGTGATTTCCCATGCAGCTAGCCACTGCGCTGGCTCAAACACCACTTCCCAGGAATCTCCTCGTCTGGCTCACTCTCCACATCCCGTTTAATCAGAAGGATATGCTAATCTGTTCTCCCAAATCTCAAATTGCCAGTTTAGCAGGGCACCCGGGTCAGTGTGTTTTATGTGGATTGTTGCGGAGTGCTGCTGTGCTGCGCGCCCTCCGAAGTAGCTGCAACAGCCAAAACAGCTGCGCTTGCGTTCCATGTCTTTCCTACACCTGGGAATTTCCCCGTTTTGTGGGCAACAAAGATCCCTCTGGAAATGCGGCTTTGACTCACCCTCTGAGCATTCACTGAAAGCTGCGATCCTGAGTTGTTCTTACTGCGCCATCTTGAATCCTGACTCTGGTTTTATTTTTAAGGAAGCAATTTGTGTTGGTAAAATTGTTGTTGCATAAAAATTCATTAGAGAATAACATGATACACCAAACCAGACTAATTTTAAAAACCATAAGTTTCTGAATTTATTGTTTGAATGCTTAAATTGTTAGCATTAATGGGATATTGTACCATTTTTAAGACAGAAAAAGTTAATATTTAATGTATCTGTTATAAGTAATTTTAAAAATATAAATATTAATGTTGAAAGCTTATCCTACATGCTTTTCCTGGTGAGTTTTATGCATCTTCCTCTATAAGTGGATCAAGAAATATTCAGACGGCTAAGCTAGAAGATACAAAAATGTAGGCACAATATTATACCACATGGCTATGTGAAATAATGAATAGTTTAATTTATTATTATATAATACTATCCAACCTGATAAATTAATAACACATTCACAGATGAGATGTCAATTCTACATTCTGCTGAACTCTCGTCCTAACTTTGTACCTTATCAATGATAAGGCATATTAAAGAACATGATGAATGTCTGTATTGTAATGATATAAATGATTGCAATATATAATTAAAGACATCATATAGCATTCTATATTCAGTTTTGGCATGTACTTTTTCGGTGTCATGATTTGCTCCTCTGATCCAAGATCACTTCTCTTCTAATCACTCAGCATATATATATATATATATATATATATATATATATATATTTTTTTTTTTTTACAACAACTATTTTTGTTCAGCAATTAGCTTGTTTTCCTTTATTTTAAGATTTCATAGTGCACCGTCTTTACACTACATTTAATTAGACTGTCTTCATGGTGACAGAAATACCAACATAAATATTTTTACAAATGTCAACAAGTTTTGGTTTAAGTGTATGTGCTACTTTACGCTATATTAGAAATTAAAATGAAGTGTTTAAAATACAAGGTGTGTAGCCATACATTTTAATAGCCATTACAGATTTGGCTCACTAATCTTTAGAGCTATGCCATGTGACCTGTCATGACTCTAAATAATCCACTGTACACTGTTGTAAAAATTAAAGTAATAAAAAAAACTAAAGTAGTATTTTCATACTGGTTTCCTCTGCATGGATCTTGACCTTTAGAGATGATCAGATAATTTAGAAACAGAGTTTTTATTTCTTTTTTTTTTTTTAATTGTACTTTGGACTCTGGGGTACATGTGCACATCCTGCATCTTGCAGGATTGTTACATAGGTACTTACATACCATGGTTTCGCAGAACCAGAGTTTTCTACCACACATAGGATTCTTAAATGCCAAGTGAAAATGGTTCCTTTAATGTTTCATTTATACCTATTTTTTCTTTTTATCTTTTCTCAGAAACTTTATAGCCAGCCATTTTCTTTTCAAAGGAAAATAATTTGGTTATATATTCATTTTCTGTCTCATGACTCTCTGCTTTCTTTGCACTTAATCAAAGATGTACATTTATCATAGGTTTACATAAACTGAGCAGATGAATAAATGATGTTATTATTTATATGAATTTCTGAGTTTTCTTCAATGCTTCAGAAGTAAATTTTGAAGATATTAATGAAGTGAGAATGACCTTCTCATTGTATTTAAAACAGTTTATTTTATTTGAAGTGTATTGAATACAATTTTAAGTATTTTTTCTAAAACACATTTATGCAATATTGTCATGTATATTTAACCTTAAAATGATTAGGCATAAATTCTGTGTGTTTTAGAGAGTTTATATCCATGAAGTGTCTTATTTATTGATCAATCATCTCTCATGGAAAATAACATATATAGTAGATATTTCAAATATATTAAAGTAAGTCATACTGAAAAATAAAAAATGTAGAGATAAATAGGAAGATAAAATATGTTTTATTAATATTATTTGATGAAATGACCTAATTTCAATGTAAAAAACGATGTCTAGTTTTTCTGGAAGTTTTTTATAAGAGCTTTTCATAAGAGTAGTTTAACAACTCACACCATATAACAAATATAATTAAATTTAGAAACAAAACAATTTTAGAATTCATTCCTTGAACACTAAAACTGTTTTTTTAAATAACCATTATTCTAACATTGAAATATGCAGGTTAATGATACTTAAAAATCTCTGGAAATTTACTAATATTTTCTGATACTTTCATATTAGATGTTTTCTTTTCCTTTTTTTTTTTTTTGAGGCAAATGTTGGTCTGTCATCTAGGCTGGAGTGTAGTGGCATGATCTTGGCTCATTCAACCTCCACCTCCTGGGTTCAAGTGATTCTCCTGCCTCAGACTCCCAAGCAGCTGGGATTACAGGCACATGGATTCCTGGCTAAGTTTTGTATTTTTAGTGGAGACAAGGTTTTGCTGTTTTGGCCAGGCAGGTTTGGAACTCCTGAACAGGAGTGATCCACCCTCCTTGGCCTTCCAAAGTGCTGAAATTACAGGCATGAGCCACTGCACCTGGCCTGTATTAGTTTTTTGTTGTGTATGCTTTGACCACTGTATAAGTGGATCAGGAAATTTTAAGAGGGCTAAACTAGAGAACCCTATGAAAGTAAAATTACTATTTCACATAGATAAAAATAATAAATATATTTATTAGCTTTTATTCCATAAGTAGATATTTATGGTGATAAATTTAGAACATTCTCTTCAATGATAAGTAAATTGTGGCTTTGAATTCTCATCACAATTCCTAAATTGCAGGACAAATTGAAGAACATGATAGCTACATGTAGTATAATGAAATAAATGATTCTGATGTGCTTCCTTAACAATATGCAATAGCATTCTACCATTAGCTTGGAGATTTATTTTCTTTGGGTCTTGACTTGGTCATCTTATTAAGTATAACTTATTTCTTTATATGGCAGCTTACTCTCACTGGTATTGGAAGTGTTCTGCTTTTAGTTATAGTCACTCTAAACATATTGTCATTGTTGAAATCTTCACAGCATGTTTTATGAAATCTATTTTTAGAATTATCTTAGGTATATTTCTGTCATGTTGGCATGTTAACTAATACAAAAACCCCAAATACCTCAAAACCTAATGTAATCCCTTTTAAAGCCACGCATGAAGATTCATCTTCATATTCAGACTCTGTGAATGTTTGATAGACTTTTTTAGGCTTGCATGTAATCAATTACTATGTCCCTTTTTTTTAGAGTCTCCTGATGTACATACCCTTCTGAAGGTAATAATTTTCTATTTTTCTATTGAATATTCACTGCATATTTTATGAAGTATTCATTATTAATTATTTTGTTTCCAAACCCATTTAGCCTTTCTGTGGAATGAAAGATTCTGTTCCAAATAAAGCATTAGAACTGAAGGACATACAAAGATTCAAAGCAGGTAAATTTTGTAATTTTAATTTTAATCTGGGAAGAATATTATTAAAATAGTTGAAATACTGAGAGGCTTTTTATTTCCAATGTTGTTTTTTTTTCCAAAATTATGGGAAAATTTGATACAAATAATGCCAATGTTAGTATTTATGTTTGAGAAAATGCCATTTACAAGCATAAAATTTAGAGATTTTTTTTAATTACACTTTACCTCATGTGGATCTACTTTAATGATTCTAAAGCATTTGGCCTTGGAATCTTTTTATACTACTATATTTAATTGCCTAGTGGTACAAAACAGCCTGAATTCATTTTTGTTGTTATTGCCATAGTCATTGTTGTAATTTCTAACAGCTGGTTAGAAGTTTCAGAGACCCAGATTAGCAACTGGTGTGGGAGGGTAATCTTGTGAGACTTCCACTTCAGCCTGTGGAATTTGGCACTATTTCCAGATAGAGTTGGAACTGAATAGAGATCAACAACCAGCTGGTTTGTGCTGCAGAATTCATTGCTCACTTGTTGGTGGAGAAAATCCTCCACACAACTGGTTGCAGAGAAACCATGTGTGTATTTCTTTCTACACACAAAGTAGATAGAGAGTGACTAGCATGTACTCTGTTCTAATTGCTTCTAGTTCATTTGTGTAGAAATTATACTTTCTAAGGTTGACACAATCCACAATTCTGCTAATGATACAATTTTCTGTCAGTCTTACATGGTTATGCTTGGATTAGGACAATTGTATAATGTGCTTCACTTGTAGATATCAAATTGTGATAAATTCTGTTCTTCCTTGCCTTTGAGAACTACAAAGGAGGGGAAATAAGAGTTTTTAATGCATTAATTGCCATCCAATAGTATATTTGATAATAATTTTACTATAGTCTCAATGTATGGTCCCAAAGGAATGCTTTATAAGAAATCATCAAATCATATGAATCTTTGTAACAAAGTGTCAAAGTAGTATGATGTTTTTTATGTATTTATTTAGTTTTTTATTCACTTTTGAGACAGTGTCTCATTCTGTCGCCCCAGCTGGAGTACAGTGGTACATTCTCAGCTCACTGCCACTTCTGCCTTCCAGGTTCAAGGGACTCTCCTGCCTCAGACTCCTAAGTAGCTGGGATACAGGCATGCATCACCACCTTGGGCTATTTTTTTTTGTATTTTTAAATACTGACAGGACTTCACCATATTGGTCAGGCTGGTCTTGAGCTCCTGACCTCGTTGATCCACCTGCCTCAGCCTTCCAAAGTGCTGGGAATACAGGCATGAGCCATGGCACATTTTAAAATCCTGGCACATTTTAAAACAAGATCTGAAACATGCAGGGAAGTGTACATGTTTTTTTTAAATTAAGTTGAAATCTCGAAATGTCTCCCAGGATGCTCTCAGACTCCTGGCCTCCTCAAGTGATCCTCCTGCTTCACCTTCCCAAGTAGTTGTGATTACAGACACATGCCATCATGCCCTCTTCTGTTTTAATATTCTTCATTTCTTATTTAAATTTGTTGATTTCATATGTTTTACTTTTTTTCTTAATAGAGGATGTGAGTTCTGTAGAGTTTCCATTGAGGTAAGATTTTACAGATTTTTAAAACTTATATGTTAACTAAGAAAATATAGAGAAAAGAAACCACTATCTGTTGAGTTGACAACATGTTATGTGCTTAACATTTATTGTCTCATATACTCAACACACAACTTTGCAAAGTATCTCTGCTACTATCACCCACTTTATATTAATCAGATAACTGTGGTTCAGAGAGGATGATTAACTGGCCTATGATTTCATAGCTAAAAAGTAGCTGACCCTTGAGTTCACCATCAGCCTACCTTGAGCCCAAATCAATTCTATTGCCCCTCAGCATAGATTGGTAGAGACCTGTGCATCAGTAGAATCAAGGTACAGGTCCCCATGGGATTAATTCACAAAGTCACATTTTGTTATATGTCAACTTTTTCATAGTCTTCCCTTAGAACACTGGCTAATCCAATAGTTTGTTCTAATGTGTTTGAGAGTTGCAGTGATAACCAGTACCTTGCTTTTACCATCAAAACTTTTAAAGCAGATTTTACTTAGCTGCGTTCACAAGACATAGGTTTTCTTTTCATAAGCAAGACCAGGTAAATCTTATAGATAAATTATTTTACCTGTTAGCAGAGATTATCACATACAGAAGTTGTTAGGTATATTTAGAGGTTATTTCTTATAGAATTATCTATTTACAGACTTCCCAGTTTAGTTTTTCTTGAAGGTAGTACACTGCCTAGTTGCCTGCACTCTTAATTTTTTTCTAGACTTTTTTTCTTCTTCCATGACTTTTAAAGTCAGTTTCTGATTACTTTCTTTCTTTTCTTTCTTTTTTTTTTTTTTTTTTTTGAGACGGAGTTTTGCTCTTGTTACCCAGGCTGGAGTGCAATGGCGCGATCTTGGCTCACCACAACCTCCGCCTCCTGGGTTCAGGCATTTCTCCTGCCTCAGCCTCCAGAGTAGCTAGGATTACAGGCACACGCCACCGTGCCCAGCTAATTTTTTGTATTTTTAGTAGAGACAGGGTTTTACCATGTTGACCAGGATGATCTCGATCTCTTAACCTCGTGATCCACCCACGTCAGCCTCCCAAAGTGCTGGGATTACAGGCGTGAGCCACAACTCCGGGCCCCCTGATTACTTTCTTCTCTGGTTCCCTTGGTGTTCTTTTTTCCTATTATTTTATTCCTTTCTGCCAGCCCCATTTTTCCATAGCTAAAATGAAAAGCACATGGAAATTTACGATTTCACATAATCTTGGAAAGTAATCAAAAGTCTTTCATATTTCAATCTGTATTTAATATTCTGTAAAAATGGTTGTTCAGGTGGAGAATCTGAAACTGAAAGTGACTTGTGTAAACATAGGAGGTATTAGAAGCAACATTTGAACACATTTCAAAGCCCATTACTCTGGTTTCTGTATCATCATGTGAGTGTTTGAATAATAGAAAGGAAGAGGGAATGGGTCTAATTAAACTGATGGAAAAAGATAAGAATGGAATTAGCTGAAGAACCTAGTGGAAGTATATAAGAATGGAATTAGCAGGGAAATGCCAAGTTTGAAGAGAAACAGTCTCAGGGTTGGTAGGACTAAGGATTTTGTTGAAGAGACCAGAATATTGGGCATTCTGACAAGTTTGATGGAGATAAATTAGAAGAACAAAAACAGAAAAAAACTTTGGGAATTATCTAGAAAGGCATATAAAAATATGTTTCAAGAAAGTCCTGAATAGGTCCCTGCTGTTTGGTTTAATTGGAGGAGGAAACACATTTCAAGCTTTCTATTGAAAGATTTTTTTTAAAAAATGAGCCACTGGGAAAAGTCTCTATGAGCATATAGAAATGTCCTATTATGTTCTTTCACCCCAGATTTCACAGGAGTGGCTTAGAGCCCCTTGAGAGTTAGGAGACTGAAGTTTGCTGAATTACATAGATCTGTGGCCCAGGGAAGGTGTCCCCTATCCTTTGCCTCACTTTTTCCAAGTGTCTGATGACCTACCTATGTACATGTAAAGCAGGGGTAAGATTGGCTGGCATGTAAGTCATGGAGCTTCATTTCGGTTTTTGGTAGCAGGCTTATGATGGAGGTGAATGACTGACTGAGCCTCTATTTAGTTGATTTCCAGGAACAGGTAAATGCAGAGCTTCAAGGTTCATCATTAGATTTTATCCTTTCAGTAATCTGTACTTTGATGAGCTGAATATTTAAAGGTTGGAGACTGACATGAAGCACTGCAGAAGAAACATTTGGAAGTGAGAGACTTTTTCACTATACATAGTGTCTCCCACTTCCAGGTCTTTCTCTTTGTATATGTATATTACTTAGAGAAATCCGACCACCAGGTCTCAGTTTTTCTAGCAGTCTTTCTCCTTGGGTAGAAGTACCAATGAAGATTTTTAAGGCTTTGCTAGTTTATGTAGACCCAAACAAGGAAGGACCATTACAGAATAAGAAATCTGATTTTATTATTTTTAATGTTTCAATTTTTGTTGAGAAAAATATTCCCAATAGCAAATATACATTTGTTTCTTGACATTCATAGGCTCAGCTTTTCAATACTTCAAATATTTTAGGGTACTCTCTTAGTGTTTTAGGGTGAAGAGAGGCAACAGGTCCTTCTTAAGTGGTTTTTGTGCTGAAAAACAAAAAATGTCATTTTCCAGTGACACAGATTAGTCTTTGAATCAGAGATAGATAATGCATAAGGGACAAGGTAACTGTATCTTTCTACCTCATTTTAGGTTATCAAGTTTGTTCCAGTTTAGATAACAAATGTTATGTCATCCACTAAGTAGATTTTTGGCTTATCCTTGAGGACAGATGGGTTTGTGAGGACATATTATACCCCAGGTATGCCAATATACTGGTTTTCACTGTTTGTTATGGAACTAAGAGTGAGTCTTCATTGCATATTATAGTTTAGGGAGGTAGAGTCAAACATAGGGAACTAAAATTTTTCTAAAAACAGAGGCCTTATTCAAATTATACCCAGAAGCATGATATGATATACAGATATTTCCCCAGATTTTGTTTTTCTGTTTTTGTTATTTGTGAAGTGAGCATCAAGGTAAGAGCTAGTATATTTTCTTTTTAAGTACATAAATTTGTTCATTTTATTGTATCTTATGCTCTAAAGTCTTTTCAGCAAACTGACTATGGAAAATTTACGGTCTACAAAAGTTGAGGAAGACATCAATCTTGCTACCAAGGTAAAATGTTCTCTTGTGAAGTTGATTTTCTCAGAAGGATTCTAGTTCTATGTAGTGTTTAGCTTTCCTGTTTAGTAGTGGTGTAAGTATTATTATAATTTGGTAATATAAAGTTGGTCAGATAAAAGCATTTTATAGAAATATGACAATTTGATTAAAAAATTTATACTTTTACTTTAGTCAATAACAAATGATTGGTAAATACTACGAGGGGTTGAAGGATGAAAAATGGAAAGGGCTAGAGAATATGTAGTGACAGGATTATTATATTAGAAGAAACTTTCCCACAATAGATTATGTGTAAAAAATTAGTAAAGGTTTTTGGATAAGTATTCTGACTGTGACTTTTTAAATTATTCTATTGTAGCTTAAAAAAATACTCATGCTGGGATAAAGCTGGAAACCATCATGAACACATGGACAGAGGGAGGGTAACAACAGACACCAGGGCCTGTGTGGAAGAATCTAGGGGAGGGATAGCAGGAGGTGGGGGTATAGGGGAGGGATAGCATTAGGAGAAATACTTAACATAGTTGATAAAGTGATGGGTGCAGCAAACCGCCATGGCACATGTATATCCATGAAGCAAAACTGCACATTCTGCACATGTACCCCAGAACTTAAAGTATAATTTTTTAAAAAAATTTATGCTTAAATGTATCTTTAGTGAATCCAATTACTTATTATAGTAATCAAGGAATCTCTCTGATACTTTTTCGTTCCCATACTGTACCACAGTATTTTGGCACTTATTATTTTGATATCATAGTTTTTAGGAGAGAGCTTTTTCTCAATTTCTCCTCTTGGTTCTCTGAATACACATTAATTATATTAGAAATTGTGAAAAATTATCTGGGCATGGTGGTGCATGCCTGTAGTTCCAGCTACCAGGGAGGCTGAAGCAGGGAAATTGCTTGAGCCCAAGAATTTGAGATTAGTGTGGGCAACATAGGGAGACCTAATCTCTAATTAGAAAAACAATGTAGAAATTTAGAAATGTAAATTATCTTTCTCACAATCTGTATTACTAAGGGATGCCAGTGTGTTTTCTAAGTTATTTCATGAAAAGCATACTTTAAACTCTTCATCCAAATGAAGAATGCTGGTTTTACCCCAAGTAAAAAACCAATTCTGGAAGCAGAGACCCTTAATAAGCATGTGGTAAGATTTTAATTTCAGAATTTTTAAATTGTAGTTTTTAAACATTGTTATTCAAAGATCCTTAATCACATTTGAAAATTTTAAATTTCAGAAGATTTTGTATTTAGTTGTTTAAATAATTGTTTTGAAGGTCTTGCATCACTATGAGATGCTGGAGGTTAGAAAACATAGTTGTATGCATCCTAGAGTACCCAGAATACAGTTTTCCCTATAAAAAGCATTTTAGGAGATTTTTAATGTAACTAAATAAGCAAAGGAATTTTTATATAATGGGATGTTAAAAGTAAGATAGTATGAATAATATATCTAATAATTAAATTTAATGCATATCTAAAATAAGGCTTAAATTTATATTTTCTGTTAATGGTTAGAATGCATAAGTTCAGGGAAGATATGTTGAGAAAACATGTCTTTAAGTAGTCAATACATCAGAGATATGTAGTAGATAGAAAAGAAGTTTTTTTTTTTTTTTCTTTCTTTTTTTTAAATTTTTTATTGGATTTTAGGTTTTGGGGTACATGAGCAGAGCATGCAAGACAGCTGCGTAGGTACGCACATGGCAGTGTGCTTTGCTTTGCTTCTCCCCTTCACCCACATTTGGCATTTCTCCCCAGGCTATCCCTCCCCACCTCCCCCTCCCACTGGCCCTCCCCTTTTCCTCCCAATAGACCCCAGTGTTTAGTACTCCCCTTTCTGTGTCCATGTGTTCTCATTTTTCATCACCCGCCTATGAGTGAGAATATGTGGTGTTTCATTTTCTGTTCTTGTGTCAGTTTGCTGAGGATGATGTTCTCCAGATTCATCCATGTCCCTACAAACGACACAAACTCATCATTTCTGATTGCTGCATAATATTCCATGGTGTATATGTGCCACATTTTTCCAATCCAGTCTATTATCAATGGGCATTTGGGTTTGTTCCAGGTCTTTGCTATTGTAAACAGTGCTGCAATGAACATTCGTGTACATGTGTCCTTATAGTAGAACGATTTATTGTCTTTTGGATATATACCCAGTAATGGGATTGCTGGGTCAAATGGAATTTCTATTTCTAAGGCCTTGAGGAATTGCCACACTGTCTTCCACAATGGTTGAACTAATTTACACTCCCACCAACAGTGTAAAAGTGTTCCTTTTTCTCCACATCCTCTCCAGCATCTGTTGTCTCCAGATTTTTTAATGATCACCATTCTAACTGGCGTGAGATGGTATCTCAGTGTGGTTTTGATTTGCATCTCTCTGATGACCAGTGACGATGAGCATTTTTTCATATGATTGTTGGCCTCATATATGTCTTCTTTCATAAAGTGTCTGTTCATATCCTTTGCCCACTTTTGAATGGGCTTGTTTGTTTTTTGATAGGAAAGAAGTTTACACTATATTTTTTAGCATCCTCCAAGTAGAATTTAGATTTTAAAAATTTAATATATTTTAGTCACAACTCATGTTCTATTTAACATATCTTTTCAAGCAATACATTACCCTTTAGGATTTTGATTACAAATAGATTCTTCAGGTGAAAAGTTTATGAATTATTCCTTTTTTTCATTTTTTTCTCTCTGCAGTAATAATATTCTATCTTGTAGGTAGTGGCTAAAGACCATGTTTAACTAATTTAATGCCTTATTATATAATAAGAAAATTAAAATATGTATTACACAGTCATTAACCAAATAACTAATTGTAGTGTAAATATTAATCAGCATTATTGGAATGTATTATGAACAAAAGTTTCTATTGTATGTATTTCCTCACCTATCTTATAGTAGTTGTTTTTTCTCTTGTTTCATGACTGGAGCTCATACTTGATTGACTGCTCATGTCTGTTGTTTGTTTCTTCCTCCTCTTCCACCTTTTTAAAACTGACTTACCTGAGACTTTTTTCACAGAATACATTTTTTCAGTGTCTGGTTTTTAGGGATCTCTTTCTCTATTGTCAGCATATTTAGTTACAGGTTTCTATTTTGTTGCTATGTATGGTTTTCAATTATCAATCATTGCCCTCCCCCACATGATTTATTCTTTTTCTTTCTGTTTCACGGAGGAACCTGGTTTTATACAATTATCGTATTTAGATTTTGGACACACAGAATTGAAACAACCTATACTATTTGAATGCAAACCCATTTAATTAAGATACTATAAAAACTAAACTCTGACATTTTTCAACACAAGAGGTAATTAATGCAACTTTGAATCATGAAGTTATATTTTAACATATAACATATTATTTAAATTTTTAAGTTAATTATTTCTACAATACTATAAACAATGTAAGGGCAAATTTTTGTCCCAGGTTATTTTGGTTAAAAAAAATCTAATGAATACCACTAGTTTTGTGTAATAATCAATTAGATCTATGGGATAAAAGGATCACTCAATGAAGAAGGGTAAGATAAACATAGAGACTACATTAGAAAGTCAAGGTGAGAAAGATTATTATAAGACACAGTGAAAGGAGTGGTTTAAATGAGTGCAGGAACTCTCTAGAATGAAAGATATGATATAACTTAATTAAAATAAAAATTAAGAAATGATAGCCAGGTAATAAAACACTGCTCAGATGTTTTTGAGTGACTTATAGCTGATTTTAATAAAAAGCTGAAAGAAAATATAAAGACAACTACAGGTAAAAGTAATTTTTTGTACTCTTTAAAATAGCTAGTAGAGAATAATTTGAATGTTTCTAGCATAAAGGACAAATTAGTATTTAGTATCTCAATTATTCTGGTTGATTATGTAAATGCATTAAGTTATAATGTATAACTCCCAAACATGTACCTTTATATTTTGTCAACTAAAAAATTATAAAAAAGGAAAGAAAATTTAATTCTCACTTCTTTTAGTAAATTTGTGTTTTACATTTAATCTAGTCATACTTATAATTAATGGAGAATGCAAAGTGAGATCCGTTTTGGGCCCTGTCAGCTTTATTGTGAATTATTAATTTTTGACTCTTTGGTTTCTTGTTTAAGATTTCTAACTCAATGTTTGACTTATTCTTGGGTTAATTACCTCATTAATCTTACTCTTTGATATAACCTTGGTAGCTGTTTTGAGTATTTTTGTTAATAGAGAGAGTATAAATAAACAAGCAAGCAGTTTATTTAATCAAATTATTAAAATTACATATTCTGCTTATATGAACAAGGTTTTTAACTGGATCTCTTAAAAAAGAAAAATCACTTTTAAGCTACAACACTCTCAGGGAAATAATTGTAGAAATTATTCATCTCTAGGTATATTCTGACATCTTTTGCTCATAATATCTGTAAGTAGTGGTATTATATGCACACATCAAATAAATGTAATCGATATTCATGAATTTTTAAAAAATAAAGTACCTGTTATCATAGAATTATATGTTTGGAAGGTTGTTAACAGAGTATATAAAATTATCACTGGAAGATTTTTTTTTGCTCTTAAAAGTATCTCTTGCAGTGGGCACATTGTGACTTGAATTTTTTAGTTTCTTTCTTCATTTCTGTGAATACTGGAGAATGCTTTACAATCATAGATAATAGGTAAAAACCATTAAATCTTCAACTTGAATAATTATATCTTAATTTGATTTATGTGAGATATATTTCTCCAATTTTAAACTACCATCCTATATGCTGTAAATAAGGATTTTCAGCTAGTGCTATACTGTTTACATGAAAATAAGAAAAGCATGTGAATTTTATAAAAGCATTTCACATTTCCATCTGACATTATAGTAGTACTTAAAAATGCTTCATAATTCTATTATTAGGTAAGCATTTCTCTTGTACAATTAAAAGTTTCAAGGTCAAATTTTATTTATTTTTGTTTTTGTTTTTTAATTATACTTTAGGTTCTGGGGTACATGTGCAGATCATGCAGGACTGTTGCATTGGTACACACATGACAATGTGGTCTGCTGCCTCCAACCCCCGGTCACCTACATCTGGCATTTCTCCCCGTGTTACCCTCTCTGACCTCCCCACCCACCTGCTGTCCCTCTCTTGGCAGCTCCAAACAGACCGCAGTGTGTGATGCTCCCCCCACCGTGTCCATGTGTTCTCATTGTTCAATACCCGCCTAAGAGTGAGAACGTGTGGTATTTGATTTTCTGTTCTTATGTAAGTTTGCTGAGAATGATCCAGATTCATCCATGTCCCTACAAAGGACACAAAATCATCGTTTTATATGGCTGAATAGTATTCCATGGGGTATATATGCCACATTTTCCTTGTCCAGTCTATCATCGATGAGCATTTGGGTTGGTTCCAGGTCTTTGTTATTGTAAGCAGTACCACTATGAACATACGTGTGCATGTGTCTTTATAATAGAATGATTTATAATCCTTTGGGTATATACTCAGTAATGGGATTGCTGGGCCAAGTGGAATTTCTATTTCTAGGTCCTTGAGGAATCACCACACTGTCTTCCACAATGGTTGAAATAGTTTACACTCCCACCAACAGTGTACAAGTGTTCCTATTTCTCCACATCCTCTCCAGCATCTGTTGTCTCTGGATTTTTTAATGATCACTATTATAACTGGCATGAGGTGGTATCTCAATGTGATTTTGATTTGCATTTCTCTAATAACCAGTGATGATGAGCATTTTTTCATATATTTGTTGGCCTCATTTATGTCTTCGATTGAAAAGTGTCTGTTCATATCCTTTGTCCACTTTTGGATGGGTTTGTTTGTTTTTTTCTTGTAAATCTGTTCTAGGTCTTTGTAAATTCTGGATATCAGCCCTTTGTCAGATGGGTAGATTGCAAAATTTTTTCCCATTCTGTTGGTTGCTGGTTTACTCTAATGATTGTTTCTTTTGATATACAGAAGCTCTGGAGTTTAATTAGGTCCTGTTTGTCTATTTTGGCTTTTGTTGCCAACGCTTTTGGTGTTTTAGTCATGAAGTCCTTGCCTATGCCTGTGTCCTAAATGGTTTTGCCTAGATTTTCTTCTACAGTTTTTATGGTGTAAGGTCTTATGCTTAAGTCTTTAATCCATCTGGAGTTAATTTTAGTGTAAGGTGTCAGGAAGGGGCCCAGTTTCTGCTTTCTGCACACTGCCAGCCAGTTTTCCCAACACCACTTATTAAACAGGGAATCCTTTCCCCGTTGCTTGTTTTCATCAGGTTTGTCAAAGATCAGATGGTTGTAGATATGTGGTGTTGCCCCCAAGGCCTCTGTTTCGTTCCATTGGTCAATATCTCTGTTTTGGTACCAGTCCCATGCTGTTTTTATTACTGTAGCCTTATAGTATAGTTTGAAATCAGGTAGCCTGATGCCCTCAGCTTTGTTATTTTTGCTTAGGATTGTCTTGGCTGTGCAGGCTGTCTTTTGGTTCCATATGAAGTTTAAGGTGGGTTTTTTCCAGTTCTGTGAAGAAGGTCATTGGTAGCTTGATGGGGATAGCATGGAATCTATAAATTACTTTGAGCAGTATGGCCATTTTCATGATGTTGATTCTTCCTAATCACGAACATGGAATGTTTCTCCATCTCTTTGTGTCCTCTCTTATTTCCTTGAGCAGTGGTTTGTAGTTCTTTTTGAAGAGGTCCTTTACATCCTTTGTTAATTGTATTCCTATGTATTTTGTTCTCTTTGTAGCAATTGTTAATCAGAGTTTGCTCATAATTTGGCTGTCTGTTAGTCTGTTATTAGTGTAGAGAAATGCTTGTGATTTTTGCACATTGATTTTGTTTCTTGAGACTTTGCTGAAGTTGTTTATCTGTTTAAAGAGATTTGTGCTGAGATGATAGGGTCTTCTAAAGATACAATCATGTCATCTGCAAATAGAGACAATTTGACTTCCTCTTTTCCTAATTAAATACTCTTTATTTTTTTTCTTGCCTAATTGCTCTGGCTAGAACTTCCAATACTGTATTGAATAGGAGTGGTGAGAGAGGGCATCCTTGTCTAGTGCCAGATTTCAAAGGGAATGCTTCCAGTTTTTGCCTATGCAGTATGATATTGGCTGTACTTTTTGTTATTTTAAAATGTAAGTATTGGGTAATGTTAGGAAATAAAAAGATGATTTGACATTATTCTCTTACATCTGCATGTGTTCATAGAAATAATTTTCGGACATTTATCAGAACATGCTTTACAGTCATGTGTGAAGTAGATAACTGCTGTATAGTGCAATTCTGCTACTTTTCATGATTAATATAAGAAGCCAATGTGGAATAATGCAAAAGAAAATATGGCTTAGATGTCACTAGGAATCTGTTTGAGTTCTGAAGTTAAGTTTGTCTAAAATCTAAATAATTTATCTGTGTTAACCTATGGGCAAATAAATTATTCTGTGTGTATCTAGATGTAAGAAAGCTCTAAATGGATTCAGAGAGAAATAGTTAAACTGTAGTCTTAGTCTTGTACAACTTGGAACATGAAAAGATCATGCCTGGGACTCAAATGCATTGGTATATTTTCATTTTCTAGTATAGATCTGAAGGAACATTTCAGGAGTTGGATAAAAATGAGAAATAGAACTCCTGTAAAACTATATATAACACCAATTTGGTTGAGTAGTATTTTAATAGGTAGACATTCTTTTCACAAGTAGTACTTTTTGAGTTCCTCTGTGGCAGCCACATTTGCAGCAACATATGTATCAAATAATTATGATGCAGTCCAAGGTCACAACTGTAGAGGTGGAAGAGATAGGAAAGACCTCACCACTTAGATATAAGCATCAGTAGTGCAGTGGTAACAGCAATGAGTGGATGTAAAAAGATGAGTCTGTATTTTGGTTCTGTAACTTTCTAGCTATGGGAACTGGGAAAAAAATTATTTAACCTGATCAAATGCCAGTAACCTTGTTTATGAAAATAGTGCTCATATTTACCTCTTCGGTATGTGCAATGGAATAATGTAGTAACAAATGTGAAAACATCTTGTAAACTGGAAAGTCTGTGTACAGTATAAGACAAAATGATCAAAGTGGCATTTAAATGAAAGCAGTATTGTTAGGACAAGAATGTGGAATAAGAACAGGCATGTGGATTTCTAATTCACGGTAAAGGGATGGTAACTTGCAGCAGGCCATTACTGCAGATTTTCCATAAAAATACAGCAGTTTTGAAAGTTAGACTTTTCTGAGGTGATTTTGTTTTGGTCTGGAGTAATTTCTTTCTGAGTACCAACTGTGGGCTAGGCAGTGAGTCTCTTAATATCCAAGATGAGGGATTATGCTATGGTAGTAGGAAGAGAGTAACAAATACAAAACACTTATATGTCACTGTAACTTTTTCTTAAAATCAAAACAGAGAATGTTAGGATAGAGAAAATTGAAGAACTTTCTATTTAGCATGAATATGGGAGTGGCAAGGGAATTCTATGGTCAGAGCAGATCTTTCTGAGACTACCATTTAATGTCCCATCTCAAAGATGTGGAGTCTGCCATGCGAAAGTCTAAGAGAAAGACATTTTATATTTGTTCATTATTTTGTTCTTAACAACCTGGAATGACTAGGAAGCAGAAAGTGGGGTGACCATCATTTCCATCATCATCCTCATTATTCTAAGGTGAAGAAAAGTCTACAAATATGTGTCTGGAACATATTAGATGTTTCATGAATAATAGTGTTTTTTGTTTGTCTGTTTGTTTTTTGAGACAGTGTCTCACTCTGTCACCAAGCTGGAGTGCAGTGGCACGATCTCTGCTCATTACAACCTCTGCCTCCTGGCTCCAAGCCATTCTCCTGCCTCAACCTCCCAAGTAGCTAGGACTACAGGCACGTGGCACCATGCCCAGCTAATTTTGTTTGCTTAGTAGAGACAGGGTTTCACCATGCTGGCCAAAATGGTGTTGATCTCTTTACCTCATGATCTGCCCACCTCTGCCTCCCAAAGTCCTGTGATTAAAGGTGTGAGCCACTTCACCCAGCTGAATACATGTTTTTATTTTCTCTTCTTGTGAAGGCTTGCTCTACTTTTCTGAAGTAATGTCTTAAGAATTAATTACATACTTTATCTAATAATTGTTTGCCTTCATTTAAAAATTGCTTCTGTTTATTTCCTTTAAACAGCTTCTACAGAGTTCTGTTTTTACTCTGCATGACATACTCTGAGAATTCTCCATGCCATGCATAGTTTTTAACACAAATTCTATAATTATGCATATATCAAATGTTTAATCATATTATATTTTGTTCGAAATGCCTCATTATATTTAGTGATAACAACAGAGTAAGGGAGATGCTTTGAAGTTAATTCCTTTTTGAAATATGCCCACGAGTTAATTTTCTGTAAATATGATTTTTTTAATGCACAGTAACCTAGTCAATAGCCTCATGAAGATAAAAGATAAGCATGATCTACAGAGCGTATGTAAGGTTTTCTCTTGAAATGTTTTGGTTTTCAATATGTGAACAGCCTTAAATCGAATTGCCTCTGAAGTAAAAAATTAAAGTAGTGTTTTAAAAAAGATTTTAAATAAAAACAAATTATTATTGTCATTATTATTATTTTGAAATTGAAGTTATTTATTGAGGCAGGCCATAGTGGCTCATGCCTGTAATCCCTGTGCTTTGGGAGGCCAAGGCAGCCGGATCACTTGAGGTCAGGAGTTTGAGACCAGCCTGGCTTGTCTCTACACAAAATACAAAAGTTAGCCCAGCATGGTGGCTCTTGCCTGTAGTCCCAGCTACTCAGAAGGCTGAGGCAGGAGAATTTCTGGAACCTGGGGGAGGGAGGTTGCAGTAGGCCAAGATCATGCTACTGGTTAACCTTGGGAAATTTTGTTATAGAAAAAAAGTTTTTAAATAGATTATTATTGATATTGCATTTAATAGGTTAACTCTGAGCATGCTGCACAGAATTATATGTGTTTACCTCAGACTTCATATCAAAAAGAGATCAAGACAATAAATGGGAAAATAGAAGGTAAGAACCATTTTTTTTATTATACTTTAAGTTCTGGGGTACATGTGCAGAACATGCGGGGTTGTTACATACGTATACACATGCCATAGTGGTTGGCTGCATCCATTCCCCTGTCATCTACATCAGGTATTTCTCCTAATATTAGCCCTCCCCAATCCCCCCCACCACTATCCCTCCCTTGACCCCCCCCAACCCCTGACAGGCCCCAGTGTGTGATGTTCCCTTCCCTGTGTCCATGTGTTCTCATTGTTCAACACTCACTTATGAGTTAGAACATGTGCTGTTTGGTTTTCTGTTCTTGTGTCACTTTGCTGAGAATGATGGTTTCTAGCTTCATCCGTGTCCCTGCAAAGGACATGAACTCATCCTTTTTTTTATGACTGCATAGTCCTTTGGGTATATACCCCGTAATGGGATTGCTGGGTCAAATGGCATTTCTAGTTCCAGATCCTTGAAGAATTGCCATATTGTCTGCCACAATGGTGGAACTAATTTACACTCCCACCAACAGTGTTAAAGAGTCCCTATTTCTCCACATCCCCTCCACATCTGTTGTCTCCTGATTTTTTAATGATCACCATTCTAACTGGCATGATATGGTATCTCAATGTAGTTTTGATTTGAATTTCTCTAATGACCACAATGATGTGCTTTTTTTCTTATGTTTGTTGGCTGCATACATGTCTTCTTTTGAAAGGTGTCTGTTCATCTCTTTTGCCAACTATTTAATGGGGTTGTTTTCTCTTATAAATTTGTTTAAATTCTTTGTAGATTTTTGTTTTTAGCCCTTTGCCAAATGAGTAGCTCACAAAAAAATTTTTCCCATTCTGTTGGTTGCCAGTTCACTCTAATGATAGCTTCTTTTGCTGCGCATAAGCTCTTAAGTTTAATTAGATCCCACTTGTCTATTTTGGCTTTTGTTGCCATTGCTTTTGGTGTTTTAGTCATGAAGTTTTTGCCTATGCCTATACCCTAAATGGTATTACCTAGGTTTTCTTCTAGGGTTTTTACAGTGTTAGGTCTTCTGTTTAAATTTTTAATCCATCTGGAGTTAATTTCTGAATAAGATATAAGGAAAGGGTCCAGTTTCCCCTTTCTGCATATGGCAAGCCAGTTTTCCCAAAACCATTTATTAAATAGGGAATTCTTTCCCCATTGCTTGTTTTGGTCAGATTTGTCAAAGATCAGATGGTTGTTGATGTGTCATGTTACTTCTGAGGCCTCTGTTCTGTTCCATTGGTCTGTCTCTCTGTTTTGGTACCAGTACCATGCTGTTTTGGTTACTGCAGTTTGTAGTGTAGCTTCAAGTCAGGTAGCGTGATGTCTCTAGTTTGAAGTCAGGAAGTGTGATGCCTCCAGCTTTGTTTTTTGTTATTGTTTTTGTCTTTTTTGCTGAGAATTGGCTTCGCTATGTCGGCTCTCTTTTGGGTCCATATGAAGTTTATGGTGGCTTTTTCCAATTCTGTGAAGAAAGGGAGCTTGATGGTGATAGCATTGAATCTATAGATTACTTTAGGAAGTACAACCATTTTCATGATATTGAGTCTTCTTAACCATGAGAATGGAATATTTTTTCATCTGTTTGTGTCCTCTCTTATTTTCTTGAGCAGTGGTTTGTAGTTCTCCTTGAACAGGTCCTCTTCATCCCTTGTTAGTTGTATTCCTAGGCATTTTATTGTTTTTGTAGCAATTGTGAATGCAAATTCACTCATGATTTGGCTCTCCTTGTGTTATTGGTGTATAGGAATGCTTCTGATTCTGCACATTGATTTTGTATCCAGAGACTTTGCTAAAGTTGCTTATCAGCTTGAGGAGATTTGGGGCTGAGACGATGGGGTCTTCTATATATACAATCATGTCATCTGCAAATAGACATTTTACTTCCTCTTTTTCTAATTGAATATCCTTTATTTCTTTTTCTTGCCTGATTCCCCTGGCCAGAACATCCATTACCGTGTTGAATGGAAGTGGTGAGAGAGGACATCCTTTTGTTGTACCAGTTTTCAAAGGGAAAGCTTCCAGTTTTTGCCCATTCAGTATGATATTGGCTGTGGGTTTGTCGTAAATAGCTTATTTTTTTGACATATGTTTCATGGATACCTAGTTTGTTAAGAGTTTTTAGCATAAAGGCTGTTGAATTTTGTTAAAGGTCTTTCCTACACCCATTGAGATTATTGTGTGGTTTTGTCTTTGGTTCTGTTTATGTGTGGCTTACATTTATAGATTTGCATATGGTGAACCAACCTTGCATCCCAGGGATGAAGCTGACTTGATTGTGTTGGATAAGCTTTTTGATGTGCTGTTGGATTTGGTTTGCCAGTATTTCATTGATGATTTTTGCATCAATGTTCATCATGGATATTGGCCTGAGTTTTTCTTTTTTAGTTGTGTCTCTGCCAAGTTTTGGAATCAGGATGATATTGGTCTCATAAAATGAGTCAGGGAGGATTCCATCTTTTTGTATTATTTGGAATAGTTTCAGGAGGAATGGTAGCAGCTCCTGTTTGTACATCTGGTAGAATTCGGCTGTGAACCCATCTGGTCCTGGACTTTTTTTATTTGGTAATCTATTAATTGTGTCCTCAATTTCACACCTTGTTATTAATCTATTCAAGGATTCAACTTCTTCCTGGTTTAGCCTTCAGAGGATGTAAGTGTCCAGGAATTTATCCATTTCTTCTTGATTTACTGGTTTATATGCATAGAGTTGTCTGTAATAACCTCTGATGGTAGTTCACATTTCTGTGGAATCAGCAATGATATCCCCTTTATCATTTTTTATTGTATCTATTTGATCCTTCTCTCTCTTCTTTTTTAATAGTCTGGCTAGTGGTGAATCTATTTTGTTGATATTTTCATAAATCCACCTCCTGGATTTATTGATTTTTTGAAGTGTTTTTGTGTCTCTGTCTCCTTCAGTTCTGCTCTGATCTTAGTTATTTCCTGTCTTCTGCTAACTTTTGAGTTTGTTTGATCTTGTTTCTCTAGTTCTTTTAATTGTGATGTTAAGGTGTTGATTTTAGATCTTTCCTTGCTTCTCATGTGGGCATTTAGTGCTGTAAATTTCCCTTTACACTGCTTTAAATCTGCTGGTATGTTGTGTTTTTGTTCTCATTGGTTTCGAAGAACATCTTTATTTCTGCCTTCATTTTAATATTTATCCAGTAGTCATTTAGGATCAGGTTGTACAGTTTCCATGTAGTTATGCAGTTTTGAGTCATTTTTTTAAAATCTTGAGTTCTGATTTCATTGCAGTATGGTCTGAGAGACTGTTTGTTATGATTTACATTCTTTTGCATTTCCTAAGAAGTGATTCACTTCCAATTATGTGGTCAATTTTAGAGTAAGTGCAATGTGGTGCTGAGAAGAATGTATATTCCATGGATTTGGGGTGGAGAGGTCTGTGGATGGTTATTAGGTCTGCTTGGTACAGATCTGAGATCAAGCAGAAGAAAGGATAACTGAGATTGAAGATCAACTCAATGAAATAGAGTGAGAAGGCAAGATTGGAGAAATAAGAGTGAAAAGAAATGAACAAATTATCCAAGAAATATGGGGTTATGGCAAGGCCCAGTGGCTCATGCCTCTAATCCCAGCACTTTGGGAGGCCGAGTTGGGCAGACCACGAGGTAAAGACATCGAGACCATCCTGGTCAACATGGTGAAACCCCATCTCTACTAAAAATACAAACATTAGCTAAGTATGGTGGCATGCACCTGTAGTCCCAGCTACTTGGGAGGCTGAGGCAGGAGAATTGCTTGAACCCAGGAGGCAGAGGTTGTGGTGAGCTGAGATCGTGCCATTGCACTCCAGCCTGGGTAACAAGAGCAAAACTCCGACTCAAAAAAAAAAAAAGCAAAAGAAAGAAATATGGGGTTATGTGAAATGACCAAATCTACCTTATTTTGGTGTACCTGAATGTGATGGGGAGAGTGAAACTAAGTTGAAAAACACTCTTTAGGATAATATCCAGAACATCCCTAACCTAGCAAGGCAGGCTAACATTCAAATTCAGGAAGTATAGAGAACACAAAGATATTCCTCAAGAAGAGCAACCCCAAGGAACATAATTGTCAGATTCACCAGGGTTGAAATGAAGGAAAAAATACTAAAGGCAGCTGGAGAGAAAGGTCAGGTTACCCATAAATATAAGCCCATCAGACTCACAGCAGATCTCTTGGTAGAAACCCTACAAGTCAGAATAGAGTGGAGGCCAATATTCAACATCCTCAAAGAAAATAATTTTCAATCCAGAATTTCATATCCAGCCAAACTAAGCTTCATAAGTGAAAGAGAAATAAATTCCTTTACACACAAGCAACTGTTGAGAGATTTAGTCACCACCAGGCCAATCTTACAAGAGCTCCTGAAGGAATCACTAAACTTGGAAAGGGAAGACCAGTACCAGCCACTCCAAAAGCATACCAAATTGTACAAACCATTAACACTATGAAGAATCTGTGTGGACTAATGGGCAAAACAACTAGCTAGCATGAAAATGGCAGATCAAATTCACACATAACAATATTAACCTTAAATGTAAGTGAGCTAAATGCCCCAGTTAAAAGACACAGACTGGCAAATTGGATAGAGTCAAGAACCATTGGTGTGCTGTATTCAGGAGACCACTCTCATGTGCAAAGACACACATATGCTCAAAATAAAGAAAAGGAGGAAGATTTACTAAGCAAATGGAGAGCAAAAGAAAGCAGAGGTTGTAATTGTAGTCTCTGATAAAACAAACTTTAAACTGACAAAATCAAGAGACAAAGAAGAGCATTACATAATGGTAAAGGAATCAATGCAACAAAAGAGCTAACTATCCTGAATATATATGCACCCAATACAGGAGCACCCAGATATATAAAGCAAGTCCTTCATGACCTACAAAGAGACTTAGACTCCCACACAATAATAGTGGGAGACTTTAGTACTTCACAGTCAATATTCGACAGATCTATGAGACAGAAAATTAACAAGGAAATCCAGGACATTTTTTATTTAAAATATAATTTGACCAAATGTTTGTCTAAATGCATGAGGACTCACAAACTCTGATAGCCAAAGAAAATTATTTTCTATGGCATAGTCTGGAAGAACAAAAAGAGTGAAAGTTATATGTCTTATCAGATTATATTCAGAGTGCCAAAGAAAGAGAGCTGAATTATTAGTTTAAATTCAACATACTCAAAGACCTGAGGAAAGGAGTAAAAGATGAAATGAAGACGGAGGAAGACAGAGAGTACAGGGAGTACATGAGGGAAAAGAAGCAGCTTTATATATTGGAAGATGTTAAAATAAAATAATTCTTTGGAAAAAGATAGAACATGGTTAGAAAGTTGGGGAAAATATGGCAACCTTCCATACCAAAATTTCTTAGAGAACTACACAGCAAACATGTCACTCCTTTTTTTTCTCACTGGTGAGAAAGCATTAGAGATGGAAGCATCTAACCATGGAGAGTTGATTCATCTGCCATAGGTGAATATGAGCATATTTGCACAGCCATGTGTGTGTATAATTTGTCATGCATACTCAGTATAGACAAGAAGAGTTCAAACTTTAGAAAATCAGCTGAAGACCTTGTTAACAATGCATGCTGTGATTCAACAGACTTGGGTTTCTGGCATTTTTAATAAGTTCTCAAGTGATAATGAAGCTGGTGGTTCTTGGACCTCACTCTTAAGTAACAAGGAAATAGCCTTTCCTTTGGAAAAAATCTTGAAGAAGGGCAGTTGGATAGAAGGTCAACACATAACAGGGTTAAGGGAAAGCACTATATTGCTTTTATTTCTGAGTATGTTTCTGTCCAGAGGGGTAAAAAAAGAGGTAAAGAAATAGTAATTAAAGATGTCAGATACTACCCCTAATCAGAGGGAAAGAAAGTGCTGGGAAAATTAATTTTATAAGATGTTGAATGGGAGGAATCAAGACCACAGATTTAGACATTATTTTGGCTAAGGAAGAGAGATTGTGAGGCAGGAAATGGGGCAAGAAAGAAGATACTAGGCAACTTTGGGGTTTCTGAAAAGAAAACTTGAGTGAATTCACCTCAGATCATTTAGGATATTTGTACTCCAGAAGCTTATATTGTGAGTATTCCAGGATTACCAGAAGCGGAAGCATTACTCGAATTGGAGTAAACAACCATGACTCAATATTTTCCTCTATTACTATGAGGCATAAAAGATATGTATTTTGTTGATATTAGCTATTCAAATGAGAGGTATTTGAAAGTAAGAGCATTGGCTTTATTTTTAATGAAGCAAAGTGTTTTGATAAAATTTTTGTTCTATAAAAATCCATTAGACACTTACCATGACAAATAAGCCAGACTAACTTTTAGAAACTAAAATATTACTGAATTTATTACTTAAATTCTAAAATTGTTTTTTAAAATGAATAGTCTTGATTTTGAAATATAAAATGTTACTTATATGCAATAAGCCTGTTTCCATACATTTTCAAATAAACATGTCAATATTGAAAGCTCATTATACATTATTTTCTGTGAGTTTTGTATACATTTTTGCATGAGCTAATCAAGAAAATTTCTGAGGATAGACTAGAAGTTTCAGAAATGTAGGCATATGGTTACACCACATGGATATGGAAAACAATAAATATTTATATTTAGTATTATTCCCTAAGTATATATTCAAGTTGATCAATTTATAACACTTTCAGTAATGAGATGTCAATTCTGCATTCAGCTGAACTCTCATCATAATGTTATACAGTCTCATTTGTAGAACAAATTAAAGAGCATGATGAATGTAATGATATAAATTATTCTAATGTATTTCATTAAATATATGATGTAGGATTCTATATTCAGCTTTGACATTTGTTTTTCAGATCATGATTTGCTCCCCTGATCAAAGAGCATTTCTCCTTTCATCACCCAGCTTATACATATTAATATCAACACATTTTGCATGCACAACACATTCTCCCTTTTGAAATCTTAAGTGCATGTCTTAGGAAGCCTAGATTCTTAGCTTCTTCAGTGTATTTCTGTCATGTGAGTGTCCTAAAGAAACAAACCAAAAGAAAACCCCCAACTCTCAAAGTTAGCAAGAAGACTCAAGTTACTAGCACTACATTCATTTGTGGTTGGTTTTGTCATATTTACCTATGATTGATGATAAATCTCTTTTGCTTTATAGAGCCTCCTAAGAAGCCTTCTGATTTTGAGGTATTGAGTTTTATAATTAATATATATATATAATTAAATATATATTATTTTTAATGATGTATTTTGTGAAGTATACATTCATTATTAATCATTTTTCTTCCAAACCCATTTAGCCTGCCATTGAAATGCAAAACTCTGTTTCAAATATAGCCTTAGAATGGAAGAATGAACAAACATTGGGAGCAGGTAAATTTTACAGTTCAGTAATATTAAAATGAATATTTCAATATTTGATCTGTTAATAGTCTCATCTCCCAGTGTTTATTTTTCAAATTTGATGAAAATATTTGAGCTAAATAATGTTAATAGTGGTATCTACATTGGGAAAACTGGTATTTATAGGAACATGAATTTTAATTAGTTCTTTAAAAACATACCTTTAATTTCAAGTGTTTCTACTTTTATGTCTTGATACTATAGTGGTTTGTGTTGGGAATTTCTGTATGTCTTAAAAATTCCAAGCATGCACAATCATACATTCTGAGGGCAATTAGAACTATGACTTACAGATTATTAGAGCTGTGGTGGTGTTACAGCACATTTTGTCAGAGACAAAATGCACATGCCACAGGCTGGCTAAAATGCTTTCTTTCCCTCTTTGCACAACTGCTTCCCTTTCAATCTTCATTCTTCAGTGTAGCTATACATTCCTTGGGGGAATTTTCCATGGGCCTAGTATAAATTTAATTCTTAGCAATCTGTTTTCTTACCGTATCTATCTGAATTTACAATTTTCACTTTTCTGGGGCTTTGTTTTTCAGTACATTTTAAGCTAAACAAGAGCAAAGGTTTTTTTTTTGTTTTCTGTTTAATCTGCAGATCTGAGTATAATGCCTTCCACATCATAGGCAATCAATATATATTTTTCAGTGTATGAATTAGTGAATGTTAAAATTTGCAGATCTTTATATCCCAAAAGTACTAATATATTTTATTTCTGTCTCCTCCTTGAGACAGATTCACCCATCCTTTCAAAAATCTTGGATGTGGAACCTTCTTGTAAAAGAGCAAGGGAACTTAAAATATATCATTGTAAACAACTTACAGAAAAAATGAAACAAATGAAAAAGAAGGTTTGTGAACTACAAAAGGAACTATCAGAAGCAAAAATAAAATTTCAGTTAGAGAATGAAAAAGTTAAATGGCAGCAAGAGCTCTGCAGTGTGAGGTATGACATCCTACTTTTAAATAAATATTTCCACTTTTTATACTAAAAGTACATAGGATACCTTCTGTACTAGCTGACTGAGGTTTAACTGGGAAAAATATAGTGTCAAATAAAATTCTTCACTGTGAATACTTCTACATATTCACAATAATTAAATGCATATGTATTTAAATCAGAATTTTAATAGCTATATAGAAGGCCATTTTCATTATTTACTTCAACGATTAATTTTTTTTGATTTTTAATTTGTTGTATTATAATAAGTGCTGCAAAGCATAACTGCATGTAAATATTTTTCTAAATTTTTAATTATTGACTTGGAATAAATTCTTCAATATAAAAATATTTGGTTAAATGATAGGTTTTTAAGAAGTTCTTTGTTCATTACTTCTAAATGTTCTCAAGAAAATTTATATTCATTTACAAAAAAGAGAGTATGAAACAGCCATTCTTTGCCCCCCCAAAATAATTTTCCTTTAGTTATACACTTTTAACCTTAATGTGCATGGAGTATAAAGAAAAATATAGGGTAAATTTCTGATTAGTTTGTTCAACAACTCTTTATTGCCTACATAAATAAAATTAATTCAGAGTTCTATGTTAAAAATACATATTGTTTAATTAAATATTTTTTGTCTTATTCTAAAAGATTTAAAATTTGTTGATAAAATATATAATAACAAGATACATTTAAAGTATTACTCATAAAAGAAGCAAAAGGTATATGGAATAACACATATTAGACTCTTTAGCCTTGTCTCAGATTTTATATTGAAATTATTTTTAGGGATTCTTGCCATATTTTATAAAGAAGAATATTAATGTCTAATGAATCTGTAAACATGCTTATAAAAAATAATGTGATTTTAATCAGTTAACTCTAAATGACCTGTCCTCATTGAGGACTAATTTTGACTGTGGGATACATTTAAATAGTAATTTTCAACTTATAAATTTACTGGATAGCTTATAATATTCTTTTCCATAACAGTTGTTGAAGTTACCAGTAGCAGAACCTTTTTGACTAGAAAATGTTCTTTTCTCACTATTTTTCAAGTATATATGTCATTTGGAAGAGAGTAATAAATTAAATACCTGAGAAATAGAAAGGAAAAAAATATTCAAGAATATAGGAATTTTATTGGAATAATAAACTAATATAGGAACAGGTAGATGTTAAAGTGAATTCTATTTTCTAACAAAATGAATTTTAAGATAAGTGTATTTAATGGCAGGTTTACTTTAAACCAAGAAGAAGAGAAGAGAAGAAATATCGATATGTTAAATGAAAACATTAGGGAAGAATTAGGAAGAATCAAAGAGCAACATAGAAAAGAATTAGAAGTGAGACAACAAATTGAAATGGCTCACAGAATGCAAGACATGGAATTGAAGTCTCTAAGAAGTAATTTCAATCAGGTATATCAATCCCTGGCAAAAAATTTTTATTTCTAACTTTATTTCATCCATATTACTTTTAATATCCCTCTGATTTAGTATGTATTATTTAAGTCTAAATCTAACAAAAAACTTATCTTAAAATTAACTATGACATTTATAGCTACAGTTATTTATTATAAATTATGTCATCCAAGTGGTATCTTATTTCAGACAAAGAACTTTTGAAAACAATGATAACCCATACCATATACTTAGTGATAATTTATTGGTAAGTATTTTGTTCCAAGCGACATAGTTTAGTGTAGTTTTCCTAGTTAACATTTAATACTGACTCAAACATTATCAAGAGGAAACAGAAGTTATTGCTATAGTAAATAAGCTCATGGTTTTCTAAGTAGAGCTCTCTAAACTTTATCTTCTTTACCACTTCTGTTTTGAAATAGAAGACTTCTTTTATATTTATATCTTTATCCAATAGAATTAAGTGTGATTTGGTGAAGAAGTATTGGATGTAGATTCAGAAGACCTGGAGAAAATCCTACAACTTGTTTATATTTTAATCTTTTTATTTCAGAATTGTGATAACTAAATGGGTTCATTGATGTATGTATGTAAAAGTGCTTGGTACCTACAACATCTGAAGTTATCAAACATTCACAAATATAATTCTTAAAATTAACTATAGTTTTTTTAATAGAAAATCTATAGAACATTCTCAGGAAAAAGGAACTGAAAGAGCTTCAAGAATTTTTTTCTGTCTAAATATATGCAGCACTAATGCTCTTAGTATGGGGTTTTATACAGGTTAGACATCAGAGTGTAGACCCAATTTTCTTAGTAGTAACATTGATTTAATCTTTTTTATTTTATGCTTTTGAGTTTGTTGTAATTCAGGGGAAGTTTTTCTTTCAATTCTGAGGCTCTTAAGAATTATCTTATCATTTCTGTTTTACATTCATGAACTCATTGTCTTCAAATAAATGTTTGAACTTTGGGGAATGTGTGCTCTATAGTGTGCAAAGTTTTGATTCAATGGTTCTTCAAATAATAGCTATTTATGGAAACCCTTTCATTGCATAAATGTACAAGTTATTCTCTAATTTCAGATATGCCCTTTTGGGGGGTGCTAGCTAAAAGTTTATTTTGTTTTATTTAGGTTTCTCACACTCGTGAAAATGAAAATGATCTCTTACATGAAGATTGCGTGTTGGAAAAGGAAATTGCCATGCTAAAACTGGAAAGAGACACACTAAGACATCTGAACCAGGAGAAGGAAAATAAATACTTTGAGGACATGAAGATTTTAAAAGAAAAGAATGCTGAACTTCAGATTACCTTAAAACAGAAAAAGAAAACATTAACAAAAAGGGCACCTGAATATAGTGAGCAACTTAAAGTTCTGACAGCGGAGAACACAATGCTCACTTCTAAACTGAAGGAAAAGCAAGACAAAGAAATACTGAAGACAGAAATTGAATCATATCATCCTAGACTGGCTTCTGCTATACAAGACCATGATCAAAATGTAGCTTCAAGCAAAAAACAAGAACTTGCTTTCCATGCTTCAGGAGATGCTCATTTGCAAGGAAAAATGAATGTTGATGTGAATAATGTAATATATAACAATGAGATGCCTCATCAACCACTTTCTGAAGTTCAAAGTAAATCCAAAAGCCTAAAAATGACTAATTATGCAGGAGATGCTGTAAGAGAAAATACATTGGTTTTAGAACATGCACAAAGAGACCTAAGTGAAATACAGTGCCAATTAAAGAAAGTCGAATACATGTATAAAAATGAAGAAGATAATGTGCACCCACACACTGAACAGCAGGAGTCTCTGGAGCAGAGATTACTTCAACTAGAAAGCAAAAATATATGGCTTCGACAGCAATTAGTTCATGCACTTAAGAAAGCTAATAACAAAAGCAAGATAACAATTAATATTAGGTTTCTTGAGAGGAAAAAGGAACATCATCTCCTAAGAGAGAAAAATGAGGAGATAGTTAATAACTGCAAACGTTTAAAAGAATGTATATATCAATATGAAAAAGAGAAAGCAGAAAGAGAAGTAAGTATCAAAAATATAATTTTTTAAAAATTTTTTATTGGATTTTAGGTTTTGGGGTACATGAGCAGAGCATGCAAGACAGTTGCATAGGAACACACATGGCAGTGTGCTTTTCTTTCCTTCTCCCCTTCACCCACATTTGGCATTTCTCCCCAGGCTATCCCTCCCCACCTCCCCCTCCCACTGGCCCTCCCCTTTTCCCCCCAATAGACCCCAGTGTTTAGTACTCCCCTTTCTGTGTCCATGTGTTCTCATTTTTCATCACCCGCCTATGAGTGAGAATATGCAGTGTTTCATTTTCTGTTCTTGTGTCAGTTTGCTGAGGATGACGTTCTCCAGATTCATCCATGTCCCTACAAACGACACAAACTCATCATTTCTGATTGCTGCATAATATTCCATGGTGTATATGTGCCACATTTTTCCAATCCAGTCTATTATCAATGGGCATTTTGGTTGATTCCAGGTCTTTGCTATTGTAAACAGTGCTGCAATGAACTTCATGAACAAAACACCAAAAGCATTGGCAACAAAAGCCAAAATAGACAAATGGGACCTAATGAAACTCCACAGCTTCTGCATGGCAAAAGAAACAGTCACTAGAGTGGATCGGCAACCAACAGAATGGGAAAAAATATAATTTTTTTAATATTTCTGAAATAAAATTTAAAGCCACATTTGGCCTTGGCTAAATGCCGAGTTTAGTTGGATGGATGGATAGGTAGGTAGGTAGGTAGGTAGGTAGGTAGGTAGGTAGGTAGGTAGGTAGGTTAGGTAGGCAGATAGGTGATAAATGTATTCAGTTTATCAGGTTAGAAACATACCTCATTTCTACCAAATGAAAGTTAAAGCTGAGAGATGTTTTACTTTGAGTAAGATGTAGTGTCACTTACAAAATGTTGAGTTAAAGATTTTTAATAGATTAACATTAATGACATTGGCTAATACTGCTGAAATAAAAGTTTTAATGTCTCTTTGTGGCCACATTTTAGCAACACAATGAAGCAGTTAAAAGGGAATGTCCATATCAGCAATGAGTATTTTGAAATTAAGATTCAATTCAGCAATTTACTCTGATTATTAATTCTAAATTTTCCAGAGAAACTAAAATGCCTTGAAGTAAAGTTTGAAGTGTACCTTTCTGCATCTTTTAGTAATACTTTTTAAATAGCTTTTTCTATATTTTAGCTGGTAGAATTTTATTTTCATTCATGAAGTATTTACTTAAATCTGAACATATTTGAGTCTCAAATTATGTATTGTTATGACCACTCAATTTTTAAAGTCATCTGTGATTTATTAAATAATACCTTAGTATTAATGTAGTGAATTTTAGCAATATCAAATTTGAATTAATCATTCCACTTGTATTTATAATTTAGTTTGAATATTATTACAAATAATTTGCCCATAATTTCTATTTCAAGGCTTAAAGACTATCATGTGGAAAGACCTTTGTCCCAGGGAAAGATTATTGTAACTATCTGTGATTTATTAGCTTTGCATTGGATCCCCATTTTCAATTCATGTATTTCAATTCATGTAGCGTTCATGTATAGTACAAAAAAAGTGAGTGGAGGAGAAAAACATAGCAGCTGAGGTCAGGAGGGATGTGGAGAGCAGGTTATCTAGGGCCTCTAAAGCCTTTGAAATAAAAATACTTTTATTCTGATATAGAAATCTACTGGAAAAATTTCAGCAGATGATTGAATATGTGAGGAACTTTGATATTGATTTGTGCTTCTAATAAAAAGAAGGAAAGCATTCCACTGTGTAGAATTTACCTCCACTAGTCTTGCCCACATATTTTTTTGAGACTTAAGTAGGTTGTAAAGCATTACAGATTCATTAGGGGACAAATGACTAGTGGGATGAATCTAGTGTCTAGAAAGAGATCACCAGTTTGACAGGAAGATAACACCTTCTTGTATCCTTAAGTGGTTTCAGTAATAAGCAGGAATCTGTATGCATAAAGAAAATAAGGTGAATCAATGTATTTGGGGATATTTTTGAAAGTAAATATTGTTAATTTGATAAGATAATTTACAAAATTAATAACAAACATGTCTTGTTAGGTCATTATAAGACAACTTCAAAAAAAATTGGCTGGTCTCCATAAACAGTGTGTGTCTGAAGCTTCACTAGAGGTTACATCACATTGTGACGTGAATCACCAAGATGAGATACAGAATACAATGAAGACTTTATTTCAAACCAAAAGTCAAGTATGTATTAAATATAACATGCCAACAGTGAATCTATAGCTGGTTAAATAATATAAATTGCTTTATGATACCAATTTTAATGGGAATTCTTCTGTTATATGTTCATTATAATTAGTTTCATTATAATTTTATCTTTATAATGTGCTTATTTTTAAAACTGTGGCTGTCATTCTGCAGTATTTTTCTTATTAATTCTTTTCTCATATTTACCCTTGAGAAAGTTAAGAATTATACATCATTTATCCCACAAACTGAGAGACTATTCTTGGGGTAAACAGTATTTTTCAGTGATTTGTGTTGCCATGGTGAAGCAAGCTGTATTTAATCAGAGAAGAATGTTTAATGGAAAATTCCAGAAAATTCTCTTATTTCTTAGCTCCACTTTTGTGAATGGATGCCAAGGACATTATACTATTCTCCAAAATGCAAATGTTTTTAGGTTAATATACATAGTATTCGAATAGCTAGGCAATATTTTAATTTTTAAAAATATATTGTATGAGCATACAGATATTTAGATCATATATAGTAAGCATATTCACAATGGAAAATAAAAGAAATTATTTTGATACTGCCATTGGATGTTTTAAAAAGAAGTTTATTGGGATAAAATTCACGTATCATACAGTTCACCCACTTAAATTGTACAACTCAATGTCTCTTAATACATTCACAGTATTGTATAACCAGCACCACAAACAATTTCAGGACATTTGCATCACCCTAATGAGAAATGTCAATCTCTTAGTCATCACAGCCACCCACCTCCATGTTTCTTCACCTTCCCCAGTCCTAGGCAACCATCATCTAATTTTTGTCTTTATAGATTTGCCTATTCTGAACATTTCATAGAAATGGAGTCATAAAATGCGTAGTGTTTTATAAGTGCCTTCTCTCACTTAGCATAATGTTTTTAAGGTGCATCGATTTGGTAGTACATATCAGTACTTCATTTTTATTTAATAATATTCTATTGCATGGTTACAGCAGCTATTAATTCATCAGCTGATAGAACTTTACATTGTTTCTTTTATCTATTATGAATAATGCTGCTATGAGCATTCATTTACAAGTTATTGTGTGGACCTGTGTTTTTAATTCTCTGCCACTGGGTTTTATATTTCATTAATTGGGCCAACTCTCTTAACTCTCTGCCTTCCTCATGCTATTCTTGCATTTTTAGTCTTTGTTCATTTATCCTCTTTATTCAGATTTGCTGCACAAATTTTCCTTTTTCATGAAGCTTTCTCTGACTGTTCTGACTTTTATTGACTTTATGCTTCAGGATGCATTTTCTAGTCGGTACACAAAAATTTAACTTTCAATTTTACATTGCTTTATTTTCTCATGAGACATAATCTTGTCTTATTATAAATTTGCCTAAGCAGGTAATAATATCTGGCAGACATGCTACCTGTTATTGTGTAAATTGAAAATATTCTACTGTACCAGTTGTTACAACACAATTAAATACATTATACTGATAATTTGTATTTTTAGACATTGACATAATAGAGTTTTATTTAGAATATATTTTAATAAATATAAAACATAAATCACTCTAATAGAGAATTGTTCTAATACATACTCATATTTCTTCTGACTACTAAGAAAAATTATTTCTGCATTTAAGAAGTTTCAAATTTTGAAGCTTCCAATTTTAGAATAGGGATTTTCAACTGACAGTACAGGTTCTCCTGTGGGCTTGCATCTTGATAAACCCATTATAAGTTGAGCATATTGAGAATGAGAAACATAGAAAACATAAACTTTATCTAAAGAAAAATGTTTAATAGAAAGAGAAAAATCAAAAAACTATAAAAGAATGCTTACAGAGAATGAGCATAGCTCTTCCTGAAGTTAGTTGAGAATCAGAAATATTATGGGGACCAAATGAGAGTTTTCAAAAAATTAATTTAGTTAGATATGAATGAACAAACCTGAAATATTGTGAACTACTGATGACAATGCTTTGAGGTCATCTTTGGAAACAAAAATGTAAATGTAACTATTATTTTTAACTTATTATTAGCATTTAGTATTTTATGTTTACAAACTTTTTTTACCAAATAAATTTTGGCAGTTTAAATTCTATGAATGAAACTAATGAAAGTATAAATCATTGGGCTGTTTTTAAAAAAGTTATGTTTTCAATCTATCATTATTGGAATACAGTGTATAAACTGCATGTTATAAAAGAGTTTACACACATATAACTCACGAACTCAAGAGAAATAATATTTTAGGAGAGAAGAGTGTCCCTAAATTTTTAATAATAATTTTCTTTGATATTTTTAAAGTCTGAAGACTTTAAAAGAAAAGAGAAATTAAACAAATGTTTCAAGTTCATGCAATCTCTACAGCATAATTTGGATCAAGGAATAAGGAAAAAAATGAATTAGGAAAAGAAATAACTGGATAAGATTTCAACATTTTAGAACTTTAAAAATATTTATTAACTATAATTTCAATATATTTATTAAAACTGAAATAGACATTTGACCTGTATCTGCATTTTTATAATTAAACAAGTTATTCTATTTAAAACTTTTTCAGAGTAATGGCACAACCTGAAGCATTTTTGAAATACCTAAATATTACATTTATTCTTTAATGATTGAAAGTAAGGACAATGCCTTTGGCATATAATGTCAACTACCCTCTTCATTATCTACTTTGAATTTTTGTTTCTGAAGATATTTTTGTCTGTATTTGGTAATCTTCCTCTTGGTAGTGTGCTTGCATGCTATCCTTTAATATCTAAAAATCTGTCTTTGTTATTTTTGAACACCATCAAAAATTATCTTGATTAATTTTTCTTTTTATTTTTTTTTTGGTTTTTAAAAATATTATGGATATGTACTTATTTTCTACCAGTACCTCCCATGCAGATATGAGATACATATATCAATAAACTTCTGTTGTTTTTGATATACACACATATGTGTATATATACACATATATTATATGTATATATATGTATGTTGTGATAAAAATAAGTATGATTTTAAAAAGAGTAAAATTAGTAATTTTGCTTCCACCACCCAAATTAAAAATAAAATTTTCCTCAGTGGCTTTGAAATCCCAACATGGCTACTTTTCTATTTGCTGAAAAGTTTAATTTGTTCTCTGATTCCAATTAATATTTTACTCTCATTATCTTTCTCTGCATGGTTTGGATCCCTTTCACTTTGTTAGCACTGTCCTAGCGCAAATCTTTAGAATCCTTCCTAAAACAGTCTTTAAGTCTTCACATGATCTCTCTTCTGATATCCTTTCTAAAACTATGCCTCCATCCTGGGTGACAGAGTGAGACTGTCTCAAAAAAAAAAAAAGATTTTTGGTAGAGATGGATTCTATGTTGCCCAGGCTATGCCTCTTTCCTTGTCCCTCCTTAACTCAAACTGTTTTCTTTTCTAATTTTCTCCTTTGAATAATCTTCTTGATATTGTGTGTGTGTGTGTGTGTGTGTGTGTGTGTGTGCTCTTTTTTTCTTACAGACTGTGGTCAAAAGGTATCAAAATATATTTTTGTGCCTTTTGCAAACATTCATATATAAATATGCTTTTCCCCCATTGATGCTGGTCTCAGAGTGAAAACTCACATTTAATATGTGTTTTATATTAACATATTAGGTTGGGGCAATGATGACTTTTGCCCCAACCTAATACTAAAATGAATATTAATAGTTTATTTATGAAAACTATATATGGTTTTAGTGTCAATCCTTTATCTGACATATATGTTGTAAAATTTTCTTCATATTACTTACATAAAACTAAATTTGGTTTGAATGTTTTCAAACTATGATACCTTGAAACAAATGAGAGAGGATCATCATTTATTGATTGGTTTCTTTGTAGCTTAGAATGTGTTTAAGAAATTATTAAGTATTAGTCTGAAACATTTTAATAATTCTGTACATTCCTGCAGATATAAGAACCTTTTATAAATTACAGGAAAGGAGTTAAAGGAATGTTAAAATGAAGAGCTTAATTTCCATGGAGATTTTAAAACCAGTCCGCTTGAAATGGATATTCAGATGAATAAGCTAACACATAATGCACTTTTTAAAATCTGTACTTTAGGTTCTGGGGCACATGTGCAGATCATGCAGGATTGTTGCATAGGTACATACATACATGGCAAGATGGTTTGCTGCCTCCATCCCCCGTCACCTATATCTGGCATTTCTCCCCATGTAGTCCCTCCTCAACCTCCCCAACCCCTACTGTTTCTCCCTTAGCCCCCTCAACAGACCCCAATGTGTGATGCTCCCCTACCTGTGTTCATGTTTTCTCATTGTTCAACAACCACCTAAGAGCAAGAACATGTGGTATTTGGTTTTCTGTTCCTGTGTCAGTTAGCTGAGAATAATGGTTTCCAGATTCATCCATGTCCCTACAAAGAACATGAACCCATCCTTTTTTATGGCTGCATAGTGTTCCATGGGGTATATGTGCAACATTTTCTTTATCCAGTCTATCATTGATGGGCATTTGGGTTGGTTTCAGGTCTTTGCTACTATAAACAGTGCTACAATGAATACATATGTATATGTCTTTGTAATGAACAATTTATAATCCTTTGGGTATATACCCAGTAATGGGATTGCCAGGTCAAATGGAATTTCTATTTCTAGATCCTTGAGTAATTGCCACACCGTCTTTCCCAATGGTTGAACTAATTAACCTTTCCACCAACAGTGTAAAAGTTTTCCTTTTTCTCCATATCCTCTCCAGCATCTGTTGTCTCCTAATTTTTTAATTATCTCCATTCTAACTGGTGTGAGATGGTATCTTAATGTGGTTTTGATTTGCATTTCTCTGATGATGAGTGATGATGATATTTGTTGGACTTATAAATGTCTTCTTTTGAAAAGTGTCTGTTCATATCTTTCACTCACTTTTGAATGGGTCTTTTTTTCCTGTAAATCTGCATTAGTTCTCTGTAGATTCTGGATTTTAGGCCTTGGTCAAATTAGTAGATTGCAAATTTTTTTCCCATTCTGTTGGTTGCCAGTTCACTGTAATAATTGTTTCTTTTTCTGTGCAGAAACTCTAATGTTTAATTAGATCCCATTTGTATATTTTGGCTTTTGTTGAAATTGCTTTTTGTGTTTTAGTAATGAAATCCTTGCCTATACCTATGTCCTGAAGGGTTTTGCCTAGGGTTTCTTCTAGGATTTTTATGGTGCTAGGTTTTATGTTTAAATCTTGAGTTACTTTTAGTGTAGGGTGTAAGGAAGAGGTCCAGTTTCAGCTTTCTGCAGATGGCTAGCCAGTTTCCCTGGCACCACTTATGGAATGTGGTTAAGAGTTACACCATGGGATTTGCAACAATAGCTTAGGCCCTCTATCTCAAACTGCTTGCCCTTGGTATCCTCTTCCCCTGTTTTGAGTGAAAATGATCAGGCCACATTCTACTCATTAGCAGTAAGTCACTAAGTTTGGCTCATATTCTTTTTTAAAAAATGAAATCAAATATTTTATGTTTTCAGTTGACGTGTACATACATATTTATGGGATATAGAGTAAGAGTGATATCTCCTCCATATATGTATACAATATGTAATGCTCAAATCAGGCTAATTAGTATATTAATCACCTCAAACTTTTATTATTTATTTCTGTTGGGAGCATTCCCAGTCCTCTCTTCTAGCTTTTTGGAAGTATACCCTAAATTATAGTTAACTATATTCACCCTACAATGCCACAGAACACCAAAATTCATCCTCTTATCTAGTTATTAGCTATTACCAACTTAGTAAATGTTACTGATAAGTATTTCAAGCCTTGGCTTCCTTTTCACATATTTAAATTTTCTTTCTGAATGACTGACTTAAAACAAAAGGAAACAAATATACAATAATTATTCAGGTTACAATTACTTTAAAATGTACCCTTTTGATTTGTTTTTATTTTTATTTTTAATTTCTGTGGGTACATTGTGTGTATGTGTGTGTGTGTATATACACACGCATATATATAGATACACATATACATACATACATATATATATATGGGTTACATGAGATTTTTTAATACAGGCATAAGATGCCTAATAACCACATTAGGGTAAATGGGATTCATCACCTCAAGCTTTTATCCTATGTGCTACAAACAATTTAATTATACTCTTTTAGTTATTTTTAAATGTACAATTAAGTTGTTACTGTATTTTAATTTGTTTAGACACAAGCAGAAACTCAAGAAAGCCTATAGCACTTAAGAAATCATTGATGGGATTCACTCAGGGTGGCTGGCAAAATATTAGGGAAAGTTAGAAGACTATAGTCTCAAACCTTTTGGAAGGCCAAAAGGTTTTAATGGAGTGGGATAAAGGCAGCCAGTTCTTTACCTCAGAATTTTAAGTCATAGGGTAAGATTAGGATAATAAAGCTTCCCCAGATAAGTCTGTTTACCCCACATTTCTTTGTCTCTACTCTAATTTGTTTGCTCGTGTAAACTTTGTGCTGGATGGGTCTCTCAGGGGGAGGTCAAAGGGGAATTACCTGTTAATGGTGTTTACTCTGGGTCCCCGGAACCAAGACCTTTTATAATTTGTAAAAGCACTCTTTTAACCATGTTAATTATCCACAAGTGTGTTGACTTAGAACTTCTGTTATGAAATCTATACTGAATAAATGTGAGGAAGGATAGGGAGTAGTGGTCAGTTAGCTGAAATCGTCCTCTGAAAGCAGCTGACCACCATGCCTAGCCCACCCAGATTCATTATATTCTAGTGTGTGAGAGTGTATTCATTCATTGCATCCTTGAGTCAGGGTCTGCAGAGCAGGCCTCTACAGGTGGTGATCAACATCTCAGGTGGTGACTCCAATGTGATTGAGGTCTCAGGTGGTGGTCCCAATGTGATACTTGTCACAGTGTATGATGTTGTTTTAATATCATTCTCAGCAAACTGACACAAGAACAGAAAATCAAACACCACATGTTCTCACTTATGAGTGTTGAACAATGAGAACACATGGACACAGGGAGGGGAGCACCTCCCTCTATGGTCTGTTGGGGGCAAATAGGGGAGGGACAGTGGGGAATAGGGAGGTTGGGGAGGGATAACATGCAGAGAAATGCCAGATATAGGTGACAGGGGGATGGAGGCAGCAAACCACATTGCCATGTATGTATCTCTGCAAAAATCCAGCATGTCCTGCACATGTACCCCAGAACTTAAAGTGCAATTGTATATATATATATATATATGTACCGAAAAAAAAGATGGAGCTCATGGTTAAAGATCTGGAATCTGAACTCTCCAAAATGAAAACTGTAGAAGACTTTAATCAAACAGAATTAGAAAAATATAAAGACCTCTATCTAGAAGAATGAAATTTAGGAATTTGTTCTAAAATCAACTAAACAAGTCAGTCAAAATATAATTATAGAAAATGTATTAAGCTCATTAATTTGCCTCAAAGGTATGATTTTTAGTGAGACAGATTCACTAGGTAATACAATTATGGAAAATAATGTTAGTAAATGAATTGACCTTTAAAATGTTTGTCCAAGAGAGTTTATGTCCCTTCCTCACTTGTTGGTATTATATGACTTATTTTTCCCTTCACATTCACATCTAGTCAACCTGATCTATTAGCATTTAATTCAGACAGTAGTATTGTCATGAAATTACTTTTCAGCATGTTCCCAAGTAGATATACTAACAAGCTTAACTATTGTTTGGAAGATTAAAATTGAGACCAAAATGGTCACGTACAATTACTAATACATTTCACTTTCTGGCACTTGGTAAATTAACTGTCTTTGATAGTTATCTTGGGTATTATCATTAGACAGCACCCTGAGAAAAACTATTATACAATTTACCATAATGCAGAATCAGTAGGAGTCCTGAGTTTGTTTTCTTGCAACTAGACAGTCCCATCTAGGGGTGATGGGAGACCGTGAGAGATCATCAGGCATTAAATTTTCAGAAGGAGCATGCAACCTAGGTTCTTTGCATGCACATTCTCAATAGGGTCCATGCTCCTATTATAATCTAATGCCACTGCTGATCTGACAGGAGGCAGAGCTTCAGGTGGGAATGCCATTGATAGGGAATGGCTGTAAATACAGATATAGCTTAGCTTGCTCACATGTTGCTCACTTCCTGCCATGCTCTGGTACCAGTCCATGCTTGTGTTGTGGATTGGGCCCCTTGCCCTAAGAGACAGTGGCAATTAATCAAGGTTAAATGTGATGATAGCTTAGCCTGGGATATTAGAGGAGAAGGCAGTGCGAAGTGGTCAGAGTCTGGATTTATTTTATCTTTTTAAAAGCTAACAGATCTTGCACATGGATTAGATTGTGGGTTGTGAAATAAAAAAAGAAGTCAAGGATCATCAAATTAAGAGGACAATGGAGAAAAAAATGAACACCTAGGTAGATGCTTAAGGGAACTGTGTTAAGAGGCAATATCCATCTCAAATAATTAAAAAAAAAAAAGCTCTTTGCAAAATGAACACAACATTTGAAGTCCCAAAATGTTCAATAAAAAAGATCTTATGGGTTTTTTCTGTTCAGCCACTATCTTACCAGATTAATGTATTCTGACTGTATACAGCCTTCGGTTTGAACAAACACTTGCCATGAACTGAGAGGGGCCTACTGTCACTATGGGGTAAAACTTGGAGGAAAGCCAGCCATGACAGCAAGACATGTTCATCTTCAGAGTACTTTGGGGACACTCATTACTTGAAGTCATTGTTAAATATTCTGAGACAAGGGAATTAGGCAAATTGAACTCCCAGTAAGTTATGAGTCATGAGAATCTTTCCATAAGGAGAGGTAGCTTGGATGCAGCGGTTCTGTAGCAGGTGGAGTTCAGGTGAATCTGCTGGTCCACCCAAGAAGCCCTGTCTATTTTCCTCTGCAGTTCAGCCATCTAGCTATATGGGGAAGCATGCTGACCTGACTGGTGGCTTTTGGGCATCTACTCAACCATCTGGCTCACCATTCTCACTGCCCAAAATATGATAGAACAGATAATACGCCTGATTGGGAGTTTGCCTTCTGTGTCTTGTGATAACAGTGTTTCTCAATGTGTGGGCAAGCAGACCCTCTGTGTTTTACAACTGCAATGAGGTTTAGGAGAGGCTGGTGCTACCTGTTTCTGTCAGGATCTATCAGCAGGTAAACCAAATTAAAGCACCTGGAAGATGTCATCCAGTCCACATAAATGGCATTTTAAATTTGAAGTATTATAAAGAGTCAACTTAAATCCTCTTACTTACCTTGCATGTCTACATATTTAAAATAAATTATGTGTTAATTGCACATAGTACTGATATGCAGTTTTTTGCCCTTTGGAAACTAGAGCTATTTTGAGTGATTACACTCGTTACAGTTTTGATGTTAGAAATGCCTAATCCAGGGATTACACTGGTTACAGTTTTGATGTTGTACTCTGATTAGTTGTTATCCTCATCTGAGTCACATGTGGAAGTTAAATCTAAAAGCTCCTCTCTCATTGTTTATCTCTTTGAACTGAAGAGGCTGAGATTAAAGACTTTTATACTCATTTGAATATCTTTTTATTTTTTATTTTATATTAACTTTGTCTAGGACATGAGACTGAGACGTCAACAGTGACAAACTGGATCATGGAATCTCAAAGTATCGTTTGGATAGAAAGGAGCTCGGCAATCTTGTGGTCCACACCGCCTCAATTTACCAAGGAAGCTGTGTAAACTAAGGTCTCCAGATTTATCCCAGAGACCCCACTCTGACGTTGCCCATAGCATTCCTGTTCTTAGGCCCCTGCAATAGGCTGCTGGGCCCTGTACTTAAGGACCTCTGCACTGGTCCTTCCATGGTGGGTGTGTTCCTGTGCACAGAGTGAAAAGCTGTGATGCACACAGCCAGTCTTCCCACTTCTAATCTGTTCTCTGGGCTCCCAGAAACCCAAGTTTTTTCCTCAAACATCCAAATGCCCATAGCCCAGGCCTGCCTGGGTGTCCTTCCAGATCTAGGCCAGTGTGCGCAATTCTGGGCCCAAGGGGCAGCTGTTTGCAAGGGATGTGCATTGAGCAGATTGGTGTTTGCTCTGGTGTTTTCCACCCACGTTTAAGAGAGGATGTTCATGCTGGGGCACAGAACCCAGGTGGAAAGGGAAGAACAGTGGGTCAGAATTCAATTGATGTTGGTGACTGAAGAATACATATTTTAGTGGCAGGTCTGTGCATGGCACAGCTGTCTACTATCTCTGCCTCACTTACTCTGCAGAAGTAAACAAACCCCCTGGGTTGACCCAAGTCTAGACTGTGTCCAGCAGCCATTTCTTATGAGGTAGCCCAGAGTATTATTGCTTGCTTTTCCACCTGGTGGCTCAATTGGCTAATTGAGCCTCAGGGTGCACAGGACCTCCAATGAGGGTGCTGAGTGGGAAGGACCTGTCCTGCAGGAGTAGGTGTGCATGTCCTCTAATGCATTTTGGCGTTTTCTAAGAAAAGAGGATAAATGTCTAATGGCCATGCTTTTCAGTTCTTTTCCAAATTCCAGCAATAGAAGAAATTAAAGGGCATTGAATAAACCCAGAGGATTGTTGGGTAGGAAAATGAGCATTTCCAACAAAGAAACTGTGTGTGTTTGAAGAAAGCAAATTTGTTTTAAAGCAGCATAATCGAGCGCCACAAAACAAAGTGTCCAGTGAAAGACAGTAGCCCTATGGTCAGGTATTGGGGCTTAGAATGTGTTTTATACCCTCTTCTTTCTGGTTCAGGGTTGATCTGATGTGATGAATACTTTATCGGGGGCATTTTTTGCTACTAGACAATAAACAGAGCCACAGCTGACTGCCCAGACACTTTTCTAAGTTAGAGAACAGTTAACAGCTGACAGGATGGGTCACTTGGTATGTGACTGGCAAACAAAGAGCATTTTTCTAGATGTCTAGGTTGGTGAATCCTCAGAAATGAAGGGTATTCTATGAAAACATTGCTTTTTATAGTCCCATAACGCTTCCGCTGCACAACTCTGCTGCACAATTCTGCTATCTAAAAGACTGCTTTTTTTTTTTTTGTAGACAGAGACTCCCTCTGTCACCCAGGGTAGACTGTAGTGGCACAATCTTGGCTCACTGAAACCTCTGCCTTCCAGCTTCTAAGCAATTCTCCTGCCTCAGCCTTTGGAGTATATGTGATTACAAGTGTGCACTACCACGCCTGGCTAATTTTTTATTTTCAGTAGAGACAGCATTTCACCATGTTGGCCAGGCTGATCTCAAACTCCTGACCTCTGGTGATCCACCACCCTCAGCCTTTCGAACTTCTGGGATTTCAGGTGTGAGCCATTGCACCAGGCCAAAGACTGCTGTTAAAATTGGTACTTGAATAATGCTTCTGGTAATTTTTTTTTTTTTTGAGAATGAGTTTTGCTCTTGTTGCCCAGGCTAGAGTGCAATGGTGCAATCTTTGCTTACTGCAACCTCCACCTCTTGGGTTCTAATGATTCTTCTGCCTCAGTCTCCCAAGTAGCTGGGATTATAGGCATGCACCACCATGCTTGGGTTATTTTTGATATTTAATACACATGGGGTTCCACCATGTTAGTCAGGCTGGTCTTAACTCCTGACCTCAGGTGATCCCCTACCTCAGCCTCCCAAAGTGCTAGGATTACAAGCATGCACTACTGCACCTGGCCAGCTTCTGGTGAATTTATAAACCATTTTTTGTAGTTCACTAACCAGTTGATTTTTAGTAAATGAACATGATTATTTGATACTCTAGAATTAAACTACCATGTAATCGTAAATGGCATTTTTCACCAGATAGACAGAGAGATTTGACACACAAAACATATTCTCTATTCATACCTTTTTTTTATTTGATCTAGAGTTTCATTCTTGTTGCCCAAGCTGGAGTGCAATGGCCTGATATTTTCTCACTGTAACCTCTGCTACCCAGGTTCAAGCGATTCTCCTGCCTCATCCTCCCAAGTAGCTGGGATTATGGGCACCCAACACAATGCCCCACTGATTTTTGTATTTTTAGTAGAGATGGGGTTTTACCATATTGGCCATGCTGTTCTCAAACTCCTGACATCAAGACATTTACTGGCCTTGGCCTCCCAATGTTCCGGGATTACAGGCATGAGCCACCACACCCAGCTCATAACACCTCTAACCTTCAAAAACATGCATTGTTTCTGCTGGGGGTTTTCTTTACTAACTTGATTAAATACTTTTTTGTCTTTTTTATGATATTTGGAGTCATTCTCATGGGAGAACATGCAGGTTTTTCCTTGATGGTAAAGGAAAGGAAGGACTGTAGAATTAGAATTTTTCATTACTATCAAAGAGTCTTTATCTTCTGTAAGGAATCTCATGATATGGTATGTGAAACCCAACCAGAAAACATTTTAGGAAGTTCCACTTGAAGTTTCTGAAATCAAAGAAGCCATCTGCATCCTTTCTGTCTTGAAAATATGCCATATTTGTGGGATTTTAAAATAAACCCTGCTTTTCTATTTGTCTCTTCTAAGTAAGCTAAAAACTTCTATAGTAAGCTAAATTTAGCTTCCCTAGTAAGCTAAAAACTCAGATTGTGTCTATCCTGATTAGTGCCAGCTAAGCCTTCAGCTATAGAAAACACATGATAATGTTTTTCCATAGAGGACTATGTGTTTTTCCTCCCAGTAACATATCTGTGAGATTTATATTTCCTCATAATAGGTCCCAAAGGCAAATACTTAAAGATGTTGCCTGATGATGGAGAATTGGAGAGATGAGTAAAACTTAATCCAAAATTAGATTAGGAAATGTGTTTATATTTTCTGCATGCTTCTCCCAATGCTTTTAACTTTAGTAGTGGTAGAGAGAATAGCATGTTATTTGGTCTCTGAACAAAAGTCAGTAGACCTAACAGGGTTTATGCCCCAAACAGTTATATAACCTTTGGCAAATCACTTTACCTGCATTAGTCTCCCAATCACCAAAGTCAGAATAATACCACTCACCCTAATTACCTTTGAGAATTGTGGAAAAGGTATAACAACCCATGGAAAATCTAAAACATGCATGCTCTTCTTTTTCCTGGAGTGATGAATTATTTTTAAACCTTCATGAATAGAAAGATTGCTGTGATTTAAACTCCAAATTCTTCTGGCCACATAATTTTAACATTTTATAGATTCTAAATTGTATGTTTCTCAGCAAGGTCCGTTGACCACCTGCATCCAAATCATCTGAGTTGCTTGTTAAAATGACAACTTTTCCACCTACAGGCAATCTCTCTCCCTCTCTCTGTCTCTGCCGCTGTCTCTCTCTCTCTCTCTCTCTCTCTCTCTGTCTCTCTCTCTCTCTCACACACAAACACACACACACAAACACAGTGAATTGGAACCTCTGGGTGTGGCACACCAGCATCTACATTTTAATAAATCTCCAGGTGATTGTTTCCTTTAAATTTTGAGAACCATTGCTCCAAAATACCTGATTTTGATGAAAGATGGAAACTGAAAGAAGGGCATATTTAAATGTACAGATTCTCTTCAGTGTGCTCAGAAGACAAACCCTACCACTTTGATCTGCAGTAGCAAAGACATCTTTTGTTTCGGGTGTAGTGGCATCTTGTCACCTTTTGCTTTCTCTGCGTTCATTTCCCCTTTTTCTGGTTCCAGACCCTTCATTTATTGCCTTCTTTAAGAACATAACATTCAAAAGGTGCTGGATCTACCTCTCTGCCACCTCTGTGGTCTGGATCTGGGGCCTAAATCTAGTCAACAAAGCTTTTTATTTGGAGAATGGTGAGAAAAACATGAGGCAGCTTCTAATCCACAGCTTCTTAGTATCCCGTAGGCTTTACATGGCTTTGCTTGTTGCTCATTGTAGAGTCAAATTTATGACAAAACGGATACCTCTAGAACACTTCTTATGGAGTCTTATTGGGAAAAAGGAGTCAGGTTTGCAGGACCAGGGGAAAGCAGGAGAAAGCAGATAAACTATAAATTGGGTTTTCTTCATGGTTCAGAACATGTAGCCTTCCTACACCCCACTTATCACCAGGCACCTGCAAGTTAGCTTATTTGCAATCTTGGTGTTTTCAGGACTGTACAAAGCCCTCTTCAGCACACAGCATAAATGTCTCCAGGAAGTATTCGTTTTATTGTAGTTGGCTTTTCTAATGCTTATGTGCTCACTGCTTTCATGCAACCTATTTTCATACTTTCTCTAATAAATCTGCCTTTCTTTATCTACAAATGTTTTGATAAATTCTTTTGCCCTTGCACCACCAGCCCAGATATTTGTTGGTCTTATCTGAGACACTATTTGTATACATGGAAAGGATCTGTAATATCTAAGTAGGCTTTGTGAACATTCATCCCATATGACTCTTATAGGTAAAATTCCAAAGCTTACAAAACTAATTTATGGTGTTGTAGATCAGAAGAGTGGTTATGCCTGAGTTAAGGGATGATGAGTAAGAAATGGAAATGGGATGAGGATACAGTTTCTAACTTTAAAAAAATAAAAGTGCTGTTCACAGTTATTCATTTTTTGAAAATAGAACACAATTTGAGATGCACACGTTTAATTTGATTTGTGCACTTTATGTATGCATATTCTACTTCTAAAAAGTTTTCACTAAAAATAACCCATAAGGTTGTAAAAAATTGCCTCAGCCAAACATTTTTAATACTCAATTCTGACAAGAGAAGGAAAGAACGACAACAAACCTAAAACCATGTCGTCCATATGCAGCCTCTGAAAGACAAGCTTGCTTCACATTCACCCTGTGAGCCATTTACATTATGATTATACCTAAGTTTTGATTTGTTTATTGAGAATTCCCAGTTTTGTTTTCAGTTTTTCTTTAACAGACCAAAATAATCATATCAATATGTTTTTGATTCTCAATGGAATACTTTTGAATAAATTTTTCAGTGGGGTGCTTATGCAATAAATAATCTAGAAATTCCTTTCAACACACTGACTTGGATATTATTGCCATTGGGGTGATATTTGAGGTTGAAGCAAAAACAGTACCAGCATTACCAATGGAGATGGAGGCATGGAGACAGAAAAAGCCCACATACTAGAGACTACCATTATTTGCAGAATGGGTAAACAATGGTAACATCGTTTACCTTCCTAACAAAGGAAGCACAGGTCACCAAGACAGAGTTCCATGATTTTTCTGTAAGAATGCCCGAATATTTCAATTTTATTTTCAATTTATAAAAGCGAAATTGCTTTGGGGTGTTGTAAAATTCTGTCTGCCGTTTCAGGGTAGGGCCAAAACAATATTCTGACTTTGATATTTAGTAACATCAGAGTTTTTCTCATTCAGGAACTTTATCTAAAAGATGTCTATAAATATTTTGTATAAAATTTCTGAAATAGGCTGATAAAAAGGCTTTCCTTTTTATCTCTATCAAGTTCATAAAAAAAATAAAGCAGAAGAGGAAGCAATAAAGTATGGACAATTGCCTGCAGTCACTAATCAAGAGAGTCCATGTGGCTGGGAATATGCAATGTTCTGAAATATTTTGTAGCTGGGTTATTTAACCTTATGGTTTATAGAAACTTGGAAGTTGTATGGGGCCATGTATATAGATGAAAATTATATTGAAATAAGAAATTATTTTATCATATTAGTCTAGAAAGTCTATTTATGCATTTCCTTCTCTTCTTCATCTTCAACTTATATGGCATTTTTTTTCCTATGACCTATCAGCCACTATGCCAAGAAGCAGCGTAATTTCTACCACATGAGAGAAACATCACTTTTGCATTCTCCACAAAAAATTTAAATTTTGTGTGCCACCTTCACACAGTAATTTGTTTTACTATTTTTGTTGCTGCTTCAGCTCTGATCTTTTTCTTCACATCTTATTACAGATTAATGTATTTCAGTTGCTGTTAAATTTGTTTTCTCATCCTTTGTCATATGTATAATTTAAATGATTTACTAAATTAATAAAAACTTAAATCTTTTTATAGAAAGAATGAAAAATAATCCCCCCTCGATGAAATATTGCATGAAAGCTTGCATGACAAAATCCCCTAGTGTTTTTTCTAAAACTCTTACTTTTCTGTATTATGTGGCTATAGAATTTTTTTAAACAGTAATCTCACTGTTCTTAGAAAAAGCTCTGAAATGTCCTTTCATCATAATCCTGTTCACATTTGCTTGAGGCCTATTGATGGATTAGTGTTTTTTTAAAAAACAAAACAAAACACAATGATTATCTGAAGCTTGGTATAGGTTTTTGTGCAAATTAGCATGTTGTCACTGTCACTTCTGCATCCTCCTTCCCAAGTGTGTGACTTCTCTTTAACATTCACGATGGTCACTCTCCTGGCAGCATTTACCTTCTGCCCATTTATTCCTTCTAGAACTTCTTTGTCATTTGATCCTGAAACATAATTCTTCTCTAGATTTTCTTCTGTTTCGTTGGTTTATTCTCCTTTATTGCTCACTTCTTAATTTGGTCTGAAGAATATTCTCCTCAGTCAATTTTTTTTTTTTGATGGAGTCTCGCTGTGTCTCCAGGCTGAAGTTGAATGGTGCATTCTTGGCTCATGGCAACTTCCCCCTCCTGGGTTCATGTGCTTCTCCTGCCTTAGCCTCCAGAGTATCTGGGACTACAAGTGTGCATCAGCAGGCCCAGCTAATTTTTGTAGTTTTAGTAGAGACAGGGTTTCACCATGTTGGCTAGGATGGTCTCAATCTCCTGATCTCATGATCCATCCACCTCAGCCTCTCAAAGTGCTGGGATTACAGGATTTTTTTTTTCAATTTTTTACCTTTTTTCTAATTTACATCCTATATACCAAGGCTTCAAATCCAGCTAAAACTAAACTAACAACTTCCAAGTATATATCATTAGCACAACACTTTACAGTTGCTTATAACTGAATTTACTTTGAAAGTGGAGATACATTTTTTTTTATCTTTTGTATTTCTTTAAAAACTAATAGAATACTTGGTATGCAAATATTAGGTATAAAAAATGTACATAAATTAAATTGTTAAAATAATTTCTATATCAATTTTAAGATTGTATTTTAATGAGATATGTTCCAGTGATTCATTGAAAAAACAAATGCTGTAGATTTTTTTCCCCAAGATACGTTATTTGTACTTATGTCCTAATGACCAACAGACTATCCTCACAATTGATCCATTTTTAGCTCAAGTCTCCAAGAGACAGAAATGCATGCTAGGGATTCAGATGATATTTTACACAATAATAGTTTTCTTTATTCTTGTGGGACATACTGATTTTGAGCATAAGTCTGTCGAATAGAAAAAAGAAAATATTGGGAAATTCTTTTTTTTTTTTCTTAGCGGTGGTCTGTTATTGCTGAAAGTGAATATACTCTAGAGCTAAAGAAAGACCTATATTTTTAGCATTTAAAAACAGAGCTGCATTTGGGTTCTATGGAAACAGACGATATGGCACATGTTACAAAATTTTGTTTTAAAGCATTACTCCCAGGTTAAGTTACGTTTGCCAAATTACAAGCCAAAATATGTTTTTACAAATCAGCAAAGCTCTGAATTGAGAGTCTGTGATGATAAAAGGGTGCTCCTATTTTGTGATGGGTCAAAAGTGCTCTGTCCAGCTGTGGATAAGAAAATGAACCTTTCATTGCCTTAGAAACATGCTGTGTCTCTTCCTGACTGGACTAGTAAAGCCAAAGATGGTCTCTGAGATTTACATTTGTTTAATTAGAAATGTGTTAATACATGTTGTGCATTGCTTTCACTCAGTTTTAGAGTGATCGGTGGTTTTCCTCAACATGTGTTTGATGTTTCCTTAGGGCAAAGTTCTACCACTCAAACATGATAGGGTTGAAAGTGCATTATATTTCAAATGGGGTAGAAATCAGGTTGCTTCTTAGATCTGAGCCATTTGGTCCCTGCCTTCATCCTTATTAGCTTACAGTATATAAATATCATTAGGGGACTCTGTGAGGTGGGTTCCGACTGATGTTGGAGGGGATATGATAAAGTTCCTGCCTCTGCATTTAAGTGTATGAGTGTTTCACAGGGGTGGCCAACATGTCCCACTCTGGGAACAGAATGACAACAACAAAAGGCCAAAGAAGGTTTTCTTTAAAAATTTTCAATGTAATATATTAAACAGATTTGATGTACTGAATTGCTTTTGTGTATGTTTGTGGTTTCCTTGATTTTGACACTTCACAGTATTTTGAAAAGTTGGAGGTATGTGTCTTTACGGCTTTTTCTCATTTTTTATTAGTAGGTGTTGTCAGTTTGAGTACTTTCTATGCAGAGCCTATCTTTCATGCCACCTACTAATCTCTTTGGTTATGAGACATTTATATTGGCTTTAGGGGTGGAGTTTTCTTGATGCTTATGGAAAAATAAGTTAAAATATAATGACAACAACAAATGGAAACTTTCATCTCTCTCTTTCTCTCTCTCTCTCACACACACATGCAAATTAATCATCTTTTCTTCTTCTACCTGTGTCACACAGCTATTCTGGGACACTGTGGATACAGAGTGTAATGCTCCCTTGTTTATGGCTTGGAGCTGCTCCCTGCAACCCCCTCCTCTGTAATGTCCTATTTGGTAACACTGTGGACTAATGGGGCCACAGGTTGGATCTTACCTTTTTTGTGAAGCACAGAGATTTTGTTCATGTTTTTATTTTTTGCCTCAATATGAGGACAGAAGGAATTTATAACTCCTGATAGAAAATATTCTTCAAATAATATCCAGGACTGACAGCATAAAAAGTTAACAAAAAGTGTTAAGTGGCTGGTAATATTACACCCAGGTTTGGGACTATTTTTATAAAACATATTGGATGTATCAATAAAATATCATTTTAGCATAAATGCAGAGAAGTTTATTACACACAAGCATGGCTGCATACTTGCATTCATTCCTAGTTTGAATGCTGGAACTCCATAGAACCAGGACAGCTTAAGATGGCCTGCCAGTGTGCCTTAGCAGTTTTGTATTACAGGAGCTGTTCTTTCTGTTGTGATGTGACATGCCACAATACATGTAATCCCCCATCCTGGTTTTGTCTGACAAACTGAGTATATAGGACCTAATTTATTTAGAGTTTGCCAGGTAACACATAAAGGTGTCTGGTAGACTCCCCTGAAAATATACTATGGTAATGTCAAGAATTACAATAGTGAAGGACTGGTTACTTCCTGCAGATCACAGGGATAATGGAGGCCTCTCAGGGGAGGCACCATCTCAGCAGAGGTCTGGGTGAGGAGTAGAGCTGGTGGTGCCCATGCCAGAAAAGGCCAAGCTGAGCCAAGGACACAGAATGTGGTATGTTCTGAGGACAGGGCCACAGCTAGCCCAGCAGGCAGGAAAGAGCAGGTGCAGGGGAGAATGGCAGAAAGGAAAGAAGAGGGGTACACAGCAGCTGGACCACAGGGGTAAGAACCTTTTACAAAGGTAAAACGCAGGACAAAAAACTTGACTTCCTGGAAATGGGATGGAGAGCCTCTGGATAGCTTTAGCAGGAAAATGACATGCTCTGATGTGCAATTTAAAAGCTGACCCTGACTTTCTGTGGAACATAGATGGTATAGGGGAAGGAGTGGAGGCAGGGAGGCCAGGTGGGTGATGAGGACTTGCACTTGGGAGTCAGGTAGACACAGAAACATGGCTGTGTTTAGCATCTCAGCACCTGTGTAGCAACTGGAGTAGAAGGTGTCAACTGAAGAATCATGAAGTTCAAAATTTGTAAAGAGCTTTATTTCTCATAAAAGGTTACAGGCTGAAGGCTGGCCATCCTGCTGGCTAGAAGGTATAGCTGAGAGTAAGCACTTGGAGGGGAGGGAAGGCAAGACAGAAATTCATGCTGAATGGGGTGGTCAAATATACATATTTAATGAGCTATAGGAGGAGTTACAAATATTTATGAGAGAAGAAACCTGTTCAGGAACAATTCTTAATCCCTCTTCATGGATTGCATGTTTTTAAAATGGCAGCATTACTGTGATCTGAGGTGGAGTTTTCAGCCCTCTAACATCAAAACGTGAAGTGAAGGACACCAAAATTCTCATTGCATCCTCTAAGAGTCAGCCAAGGCACATACAGAGATGGTGGTGACTGTTTAGAAAGTGACTGGTAAGCTGTCACTTGGAAGCAGTGAAGAGGAAGGGGAAACTGGTAGCAGCCTCACATGACTGACTAAAGATGACAAAGAAACAAGTCATCTATCTTTTTCCAGAGGTGTCTCTGCTGACTCCTTAAAAAAGAGTTTTGGCTAAAGGTTGATAAGGAAGGGGCATACCGAGGTATGTTTGACATCTGATACAGCTGTTAACTCAGTTTTTAAGGTTTCTCTGGAATGTTCTTGGCCAAGAAAGTCAACCTCAGTTGACTATGGTGATTAAATTTTTTTTTTTCATATTTCTCAAAGATTAGCTAAAAGGAAGAACCAAAGCACGTGCTAGAAATTTGCCTAAACAAGAGTTTAGGGAGGTAGTGGAGCTGTTAGCCAAGATGGAAATCACTTAGAAAAAAGGGGCCCTGTGGAAGAACTACATCTCCATTCTAGCCATATCAGTTGCAAATGTAGGTGACAGAGAGAAGCAGCAGAGTACCCATGAGTGTCTTCATGGAGTTTAGATCATGATGGGAGAAAAGACTGTGTGATTGATATAAGAGAGTGTCCAAGGTATGCCTCATCTTAGAAGCCAGGCGGTGGTATAATTAGTGCTGAAATGTGGACTGTGGGGTGACTTCATTGATCTGGTAAGAAAGAAGGAGCTGAAGGGAAACAGGTGGAAGAGGCAAAGCAACTGGCTAGGTCTGTGTAAGTACACTCCAGGATGTTTTCACAATAGGATGCATTTCTCAAAATGCATTTCCATTTTTAAGTGATATGCATCTGTATTTTGTAAACTGTTGATCCCCTCTGGAATGGTTTGGAGACTATTTTTATTTCACAGGTACCAACCTAAATAGGACTTTTCCTACTAAGAAATAGTGAGGTACCATAAAATTCAATAAAATGTGATGGACTCTTTAGACTTCCAGCCTTCTATTCATGAATGAGCTCTGTGTTGCTTATAAACTGAGCACCAAGATAGGGCAGATTTTGCTTAATCGAGTAATGATGCATGACTGGTTGCTCAGATAGCACAGCTGCAGTGTGCTGGAGAAATAGCAACATTCTCTGCAAACAGTCAAATTATTACAGTTATCATTTTAAACTGTTAACATTTTAAGCAAAATAGAAAAAGACAATAGTCAGGAGTATAGTAAAATAATGAATATGAGATAAAGTCAGACCACGATTGCTGGGCTAAAAATTGAAGCCATTTTATACAAAGTGTAAGGCTTGCAATTGATTGAAATAAAAGTTATGAAAATAATAGCAAATCATAATATAGGAAATATTAGTAAGTTATAGAATAGAAAGTATAGCTGTTGTCTGCTATACTTTATAGGTCTGCAGGAGGATTGCTTGAGCCCAGGAGTTCTGGGCTGTAGAATGTCATGCTGATAGGGTATCTGCACTAAGCTCAACATTAACATAGTATTCTCCTAGGAGCAGGGGACCATCAAGTTGCCAAAGAAGGGGTGAATAAGCTCAGTCAGAAACATGGAATCAAAACTCCTGCACTGATGAGCAGTGGGCTCACACCTGTGAATAGCCACTGCCCTCCGGCTTGGGCAATATAGCCAGACTCTGTCTCATAAAAAATTTATTTGAAAAAATATATATCTGATACCATGAAACAGTCACTGACGCTAGCATTGGAAAGACATTGATTCAATTCTTGCCTCAGCCCTTTATTATGTGACATTTGATTGAACCCCTGAGCCTCAATTCCTTCATCCATGAAATGGAAATAATTAGTATGTCTATTGCAAGGGTTTTGAAATAATATATGTTGGAGTACTCAGGAAGAGTTGTTGATAGAAGAGAGTCGAAACTGAAACTCTTGAGAAATAATAAGTTTATTCTGCCCCTATGGCTCCTTTGTAGAGCATGCCTTGTAGCTTGTAATTAGTGGTAGGCAGGTAACAGCTGCCTACCTGGTATATTTTTGAGTTATGTGTATCTGTAGAACACCTGTGTATTAACAAGAATCACCTGTCAAAGAGCAAACAAATAACATGGATGAAAGTCTGCTTGAGGCCTTTAGTCTAGAGAGCTGTCAGCCCCGCAGGCTCTCAGGCTGTTGGTCCCCTGGATGGATCCACTCTGTTGTTCTATCTGGGTGTCTGCCTCTCAATACCTTCAGCCCACCTGGCTGAGGGTTTCTGGACTAAGCAAGTTCTTGCTAAGTGGCACCCAAGTGTGGGGACTTGAACCCAGGATGAAGAGTTGCCTGAGCAATGGAGAAAGGAGAGGTATCTTGAGTACATTTGGAAAGAATTCCCAGGACAAGTTGGGGAGCTCAGAAGGTATCCCAGGAAAATTTGAAAAGAATCCTCCAGATGAGTTAGGAGGATCCAGAGGGAACCTGGGGGAGACTCCCAGGTGAGCTAGGAGAACCCAGAGCTAGACCAAGAATGTTTGGAAGAGAAAGAAAAAAATCTCCCAGGATGAGCTGGGGGAGCTTGGAGTTGGCCTGAGAACATTTGAAAAGATCTCCCAGGGTAGCTGGGGGAGCTCAGTCATATAGGGTAACATGGGATAAAGATAAAGCAAACATGGGGCTTATTTGGTGTGGTCTCTTTGGGCTTTGGTGTGTTTTGCCCTGGAACTGTTTCAGACCCATGAGGAGGAAGACAATTCAGGAGAGGAGTCATGTGATAAAGTATGTAAAGAAATTATAGAGCAAAAAGATTAAAAGTCAAATGAGGAAAAGGTGTGCCCATCAGACCCCCACTCCAGGTATCCTATCAAAGAATGGCCAGGTCCTACCGATATTTCTACTTCTGCTTCTGTTGGTGTTTGTATTGCTAGAACTATGGTAAGCAGTTCAGATGTTCGTATTCCTAGAATTATGATAACTGGTTTCCTCCAAGCCAGAATTCAACAAGTGAAAAAAGAGGAAGATTCGGAGGCAAGCCAATTTCCAGTTCTTGTACACCCTCAATATCAGCAGGGGCAGGTATAGGCTGCTTTTGAACCCCTTCCCTTTAAACTGCTAAAGGAGTTTAAACAAATCATCAATCAGTTTGGGTCTGAGTCTCTGTTTGTGCTAGGATTATTGAAGATTGTAGCTATTTCTTGCCAGCTGATTCCAATAGATCTGATTTTGGGAAATGGGTTGAGGGGCATTCCTCGGGCCCCAATCCATACTGGGGCCTATCCAGTATGAGTGATTCCCTCATCCCTGTACAATGCTTGTTCTCCACCACAGCTCAGAGCACAGAAGTAGATTTGCGCAGGCAGCTCTCAATGGGTAAGCATTTTACTGGGAGAGACACCGCAAAAAATATCTACAGGAGTTTGTGGCCTTTTACCCCTGGAATTGTAGGCTTACTTCTAGGAAGATGGTCTTACTGCCTAAGGAGATAGAATTCATACATGAGTTACCGATGCAGACTTTTTAGGGGAAATACAAATTGTAGTGACTTCTTCTGTTCCTTGGAGTGCTGAGCCTGGGGAACGTGTAGCACAGCTTTTAGTTATACCATATGAAACAATAGGAAAAAGTGAATGTAAAAGAGCAAGAGGACTTGGAGGTATAAACAGACAAGACAGAGCAGCATATTGGGTAAATCAAATTAGTGGTGAACATCCTACATGTGAGATTACAATTCAAGAAAATAAATTTAAAGGATTGGTAGATATTGGAGCAGATGTTTCTATTATTTCTGTCTTTCCAACGGTGGCCACTTTCTTGGCCCATGGAAAATGCTCAGTTCAGTGGGCTTGGAGTAGGGGAGGCCTCTGAAGTGTATCAAAGTAGTCATTTTAACCTGCCTGTGAGATAGCTTGGAATTATTCAGCCTATTGTGATGCAAATGCTTTTTAACTCGTAGGGAAAAAACTTGTTGCAGCAATGGGGAGTTCAGGTTTTAATACCTGAACATTCATGTAGCCCTCCAGGCCATCAAACGATGAAAGACAAGGGCTATGTGACTGGGATGGGATTGGAAGAAAATTTGCAGAGCCCAAGGGAATCTTTAGGAACTAAAGCACAAACTCTTGTCAGGACTTAGGATATCCTTTTTGATAGCAGCCATTGTTATGCCTCCAGAGCCTATAGCTTTGAAATGGATGATGAACAAATTGATATGGATAGAGCAATGGCCACTAACAAAAGAAAAACTGGGGGATTTAGAAAATTTAGTTACTGAACTACACCTAAATAAACAGTCCAAGGAAGAAACTACAAGGCAATTGATCTGGTGGTGAAATCCACTCACGAAGAATTGGGAAAGAGGTAATGTAATAACCTGGGGGAGAGAATTTGCTTGTATTTCTGCAGGTCCAAATCAACAACTGGTGTGGATACCATTCAGACATTTAAAGCTGTACTATGAGCCAGACATAGTACAATGACCAAAATGAGACTTGTAGAGAACCTCCAACTCACAGAGATGGCAAGACTATCATCAAGGGGGCGTACTGTTCCCACAAGGGGATCACACCAAATGTCACCACCAACTTGTGGTCAAAATTAAAAAAGCTTTCACAAAGAGCAGAGGAAAACATGAAGAAAACAGGACAGCTTATTATGGTAATCATGTTGATGGTTATCACAATTAAAGTGAGTATTTCTGGAGCTGGGATAAAAGTAAAAGAAAGTTTCACTCATTAGACATATATTCTTTCCTTCCTTTAATGATTGCTGGCCTTGGCATTTTCTGTAATAATTTAGGAAATAAAGTAACAATGCTTTGGCCGTCAAAACTTGAACGCAAATAAAAGAATGGTCCCCTAAGTTAAAGACATTAACCTGTTGAGATTGTGTTGTGATAGAGGCTGAGGTGCTACACAACAATTCCTATGGAATTATTATTATTATTGATCATTGGTCCCCTAAGGGGATACTTAGTATTTGATTATACCAATCAGTCCTCTTGTAGGAACATAAAATTCAGATGGTGGATAAGAACTACAATTATTTGGAATTTATACATATTGAGATAAACAATTTTATTATCTGGTGAGATGATGGATTAATAAAGCCACTACCAAAAATAGTATGGCCAATGATAAGAGCTGAATAAAAAGAACTTTGAAAGATAGTTATGACTCTAAAACCAATAAAAGTCTGGGAAGGGAAATATAATAGAAAATCACATGCTAATTTATTCATTAGAAATTTACCAGAAATAAAAGCTCTTTAGATTCAGAGCTGTGTTAAACCCCCCACATCTTTTGGTGGTGGGAGAATTTTTAATTAACTTTAGTAACTCTAAAAAGTATAATCAGACTGAACATAATCAGAAGAGAATAAAACAGCACTGGAAAGACCTTTAGACAGCAAGCAAGGAGATGGGACCCAGAGGGCTCTCCATGTCCCTTTTCAGCAGGAAGTAGTTACACTCCTTAAGGAAGAAACCTAAGAGTAGGTAGTTAGTCAGGTTCCGAGGTGCTTGAGGAAGCTCTAGGATTTGGATGAAAACATTTGGAGAATCTGTGATTGCTGTTATGATTATGTTATTAATCTGTCTTGTTTCTCTTTGTGTAGTTTGCAGTATGGATCCAGAAGCCTCAAAGAAATGGTTCACCAAGATACAGCTGTACTTGCTTACCTAGTTTTGTGAAACAAAGAAGGGGGAGATGTTGAGAAACAGTAAGTTTATTCTGCCCCCATGGCTCCTTTGTGGAGGATACCTTGTAGTTTGTAGTTAGTGGTAGGTGAGTAACAGCTGCCTACTTGGTATAGTCTTGAGCTATGTGTATCTGTAGAACAGCTGTATATTGATAAGAATCACCTGTCAAAGAGAAAATAAGTAATGTGGGTGACAGTCTGCTCAGGGCCTTCAGTTTGGAGAGCTGTCAGCCCCACAGGCTCTCAGGCTGTTGGTCCCCAGGATAGATCCACTCTGTTGTGCTATCTGGGTGTCTGCCTTTCAGTACCTTCAGCCCACCTGGATGGGGCTCTCCCAACTGAGCTGGTTCTCAGTATGAAACCAAGACCCACCTCTCACTTATGCTGAGGGCAGTATGTCATTGATGAAAATAGGAAGTACTAGGGAAAGAGAGGAGAAAGTGAGGGCTGATTTTAGAAAAAATATGTGTTTATGATTTGGAAAACTTTTGTTGGAAGTTTGGAGTGATTTCAGGGTGTGCTTTAAATCCTCCTGTGCACCCAGAAGTGTGTGTGTATAAATGAATCACCAGTCTAGGATACGCACTCCATTCTGTCAGAGGTGTGGAGCCTCTGCCTATCAGTAAGCTTTGGGGACTATGCTTTCTTCATATTTGTGTCTCTCAGAAGTAACCAAGAGGTTGACGTGCAATCAGTGCTCAAAAACTGCTGGCGAAGGAAGGCATGGTAGTAGTAGTTGCAACATTATTTATTTTATGAAGGAAATAAGTCAATGTTAAATGTAGATTGCATTATTTTAACTTTTAAATTTGGACCTTTCTTCTTTTAAAATTTTCATTTGGGTTACCATAAAATCTTTATTAAATCTTTTCTTCCCCAAGAGCATCATTCTATTTTAAAAAAATGAAGTTTGGTGTGGAGAGGCAGTAAAAAGAGTAACAGCAAGAGGGAGGGAGGGAGGAAGAGAGAAAGAGAAAGAATTTTGGGGTCTACAAGCTTCTGCTAAACTTCCACTGCAGTTGTCAGAATCGAAGAAAACATTAGGGAAAATGTCTCATTAAGGGGCTCCCTGGATTTTTCTGCTCTGGGAAGCTGTCTGAAGGATGGATTATGGCCAGCCTGCAGGAGTCAGAATCCTGGTACTGTGTCCTAGCCTCCTAACTCATTGGCTCCGGTTAAGTAATTTCAGAGCCAGAGCTGTTTTAAGATAAGTGCAAGGCACTGTACAGATATTTGTTGGGTAAGTAGAAGTTGATAAAGGAAGAAGTATATGCTTCATTTTGAAGGTTTTGCTCTGTGGCTTCTTGGGCTTCTGGTGAAATGGAACTTGTGGAAGTAGGAGCACAGCTAATTGTGCTAGGCAGGGCAGCCCTTTGAGGCATATTTTACTGCTGTCTGGGTTTTACAGAGGGAGAAAGTGAGGCATAGAGAGATTAATTAACCATTTAAGTGTAGCAGTTCAAGGCATAGAGACACAGTTCCAGGCAAGGTCCATCTGAATCTTAAGTCCTCACTCTTTGCCGAAGTGTTCTACTGTTGAGACTGTCCCTGTGAGTCCTGAAACTCTACTGCCCCAGTCAATATTCACTGCTACTCAGTGAGGCCACAGAAGCCAAGGGCTGTGTCCCCAAGAGGACAACTCTCTCCTCCTGAGAGTCTTTCTCATACATCTCAACTCTAAGCTACAGACTGAGAAGCAGGCCAGCAAATCCACTGCATGAAAGGCAAACCAACATTGATCCACTGCAGTGACCACAAGCAAGGGAAGCCTGGCTGTGAGCAGAGTCATAACGTCATTCAAGTTTGGGGATTGAAAGCCTTCTATGTCTACCTGAACATCCTCAGTTCCTGCTGACATCAGCAGTGGAGGTTCTCTGCTGATTGATGTAAATTATTTTCAAACCCAGCAATGTATTGATGGCTGATAATTCCATGCTCCTCAAACTTGCCAATGAAATGCCTGTAACAGGGTAGGAGAAAGAAAACATACCCCAGTAAGTATTCTAGGGCATTATGTCTCAAAATTAATACTTATTTAAAGACTCTGTTTTTAGGTAAAAAGAAATTATTCAAATGTATTCTGAACAGGTTTTTGGTTTTAATATAAAATGATATGTTCTCCAAATCTTGGGGTGAGTTTGAAGATCCAGGAATATATATCTTCTTGATCATTTGGCTTAATGCAGTTACCCACAAGCAGTACTCTAATTTAGGATCCATGAATCTTTAGATAATACTAGCATTTTAAAGGACTTTCTGAATGTCCCAATAAGTGATTGATAGAAACTTTTCAATGAGTTAAAACAGCTCATATTTAGGATATGTTCATGTGCATACACATTCTGTGACATGTATTCCCACATTTTCATTAACTCCATGTAGAAAACTAGAGGCTAGGGACCCTGTTCCTTCCAGGGTCACTGCCATCAGGCCCTGTGGGTGACCACTTATCTTTAGCACCTGTGAGGTGCACTTGGATGGGGGGGTGGAAGGAGTCTTTATCAACAGCAGCAACAATGACTAGATGTCTCCAGCTTATGGTTCCTGCCATCTGAGAGTCTACAGAAAAGCCTGAGTCCCAAGATGGTCTCTAGGACTTCCAGGACTTTCAGCTCTAATATTCCTTTTCTCAGTGATAAGGATAAGATAAGCAAATGGCCTGGGCAGTTCCACTCTGTGTAATCAGGTGGCCTCATTCCCTCCCCAGCCCTGCAGAAGTAGCTGAGGCTCTGGAGAACAACTTGGGCTTAGAATTGCCCCATTATTCCTGGGGCCCTGACTCAGGCAGGCAGCCAGTTCAATAGTTTGATGTGCAGCTCTGTGAACAACACTTTTCATGAGTGATCATCACCTCTTTTAGCTACTTGGGCACAAAATTGTTGGTGAACATCCTTTGTAATCAAAGAGCAACATCTGAGTGTGTCCTGAATAATGTTCTGTGGAGATAAGAAGCAGGACTTGCCACCACATGATGAGAGAAAGTTTACCTGTATCAATTAATTAAAATAGGAGGCAGCCAATGGGCATTGGGCACAAGGGAATAATACTTGAGATGCCAGCTTTCTCTCAGTACCAACATCATTATTAACACTTGCTGTCTGTCACTGATCAGCAACCTGTTCCCAGTGTAATCTGAGAGTTCCGTAGCACAGCTCAACCCTTCCACCTTTCTGAGAAGAGTGATGTCTAGGCCTCCTAACAGTGGGGGAAAGTTGTACTATTTGGATTCAGTTTCTCCTCAAAACTCATTCAGCTGTCATTACACGTCACTCTTGGCTATGTCCAGGATGTCTGAATGAGAATTGTGGTTATGATCAACATTGTAAAAAGTCACCAGCCATGGAAAAACATACCAAATTGTAAAGACTATAGACACTAAGAAGAAACTGCATCAACAAATGGTCAAAATAACCAGCTAGCATCATAATGGCAGGATCAAATTCACACATAACAATATTAACCTTAAATGTAAATGGGCTAAATGACCCAATTAAAACACACAGGCTGGCAAATTGGATAAAGAGTCAAGATTCATTGGTGTGCTGTATTCAGGAGACACATCTTACATGCAGAGACACACATAGGCTAAAAAAAAAATGGGATGGAGGAATATTTACCAAGCAAATGGAAATCAATTAAAAAAAAAGGGGTTACAATACTAGTCTCTGATAAAACAGACTTTAACCCATCAAAGATCAAAGGAGACAAAGAAGGACATTACATAATGGTAAAGAGATCAATGCCACAAAAAGAGATAACTATCCTAAATATATATGTAACCAATGCAAGAGTGCCTAGATTTATAAAACAAGTTCTTAAGGACCTACAAAGAAACTAAGACTCCCACACAATAACAGTGGGAGACTAACACCTCACTGTCAATATTAGATCAATTAAACAGAAAATTAACAAGGATATGCAGGACTTAAACTCAGCTCTGAATCAAGTGGACCTAATAGACATCTACAGAACCCTCCAGCCCAAATCAACAGAATATACATTATCTCAGCACCACATCACACCTTTTCAAACAATTTACCATATAATTGGATGTAAAACACTCCTCAGCAAATGCAAAAGAACAGACATAATAAAAAACAGTCTCTCAGAACACAGTGCAATCAAATTGGAATTCAGAATTAAGAAACTCCCTCAAAACTGCACAATTACATGGAAACTGAACAAACTGTTCCTGAATGACTACTGGATAAACAATGAAATAAATGCAGAAATAAAGATGTTCTTGGAAAACAGTGAGAATTAAGACACACTGTACCAGAATCTCTAGGACACATTTAAAGCAGTGTGTAGAGGGAAATTTATAGCACTAAATGCCCAAAAGAGAAAGCAAGAATGATCTAAAATTGACACCCTAACATCAACATTAAAGAAAAAAGTCTAGAGAATCAATAACAAACAAACTCAAAAGTCAAGAGAAGACAACAAATAACTAAGATCAGAGCAGAACTGAAGAAGATAGAGACACGAAAATAAAAAAACTTCAAAAAAATCAATGAATTCAGGAGCTTTTTTTTTAAAAAAAAAAAAAAAAAGATCAACAAAAGAGATAAATTGCCAGGCAGACTAATAAAGCAGAAAAAAGAATCAAATAGATGCAATAAAAAATGATAAAGGCAATATCACCACTGATCTGATAGAAATACAAACTACCATCAGAAAATACTATAAAAACCTCTACACAAATAAAATAGAAAATCTAGAAGAAAGGGATAAAATCCTAGACACTTACACCCTCTCAAGACTAAACCAGGAAGAATTCAAATCCCTGAGTAGATCAATAACAAGGTCTGAAATCAAGGCAGCAATTAATCACAGCCTACCAACCAAAAAAAGTCCAAGACCAGATGGTTTCCACCAGAGGTACAGAGAGGAGCTGATACCATTCCTTCTGAAACTATTCCAAACAATAGAAAAAGAGGGAATCCTTTGTAACACATTTTATGAGGCCTCCATTCTGATACCAAAACCTGGCAGATACACAACTAAAAAGAAAATTGCAG